CTTACTCGTCCCATTTCAACGGAACGCGGGTTACCCGATACTAGTCGCGGTAATACGGGCGGCCCCCGGGCCCCCAAAACCCTTGGTCCGGGCACGAGCGCCGCGAGTGATACCGAAACGCCCGCCCCCCCCACCGCCAATATCCGCGAAAATAAATCTTTCGCCCTCCCCGACGCTGTCCGTGACAAATACACCGCGGTTCCGTTGACGGCATACCGATCGGACTCGAAGAAACTGTCTCTATAAGTACGTCCGCAACGATGAGACCTCGAGTGTTTCGACTGTTCGTGGATATTCGCGGGAAATGATATTTCGATTGGACTTTCGAACAATTTCGCGATTTCAAAAAAAAAAAAAAAATCACGAAATATTCCGATATTGTTATATTTTGTCTACAAAATAAACACAATGGCTAACGGTGAACTGACTATAGGCTGGATACGCTGGATACATTATAATATGGGGGCGGGTCGTGTTTTGCTATTAGTATTCGATTCGATCTGTCTACGGGATTATTATTCAAAACTATAGACCGTAAATACATTTAAATGAGTTTCATCGAAACTCGGTTTGAATACCACAGTCCTGCGTTAAATTAGTAAACGACATCATGAACACAATTACGCCGTTGGTCAAAATAATACGGAACGAACGATCAGTAGCGATATTTTAAAACTGCATTTTCCCGTTCTATAAGTTTCGCAATAATCGATTTCACCCGGTAAATTAATTGGTGTAGACGAACGCAACCGTATCATAATATATGGCTTATCAAATTACACGATTACTGCACTGTTTACGAATATAAAATAATAACGAATGACCGTAGCACGGATACCGTACATATATATATGTATCTCCGCGTGCCATATTCTCGATAAAATAATATTTATTTGTTTTTTAAAGAAAGATGAATTATAATTGTTTTTAATTAAATACATTAGGTACGTTATTCTAACAGTATTATGTGTTTAAAAATGATTATAATTGTTCTATCTGACTCGGTCGCATATAATAATTTTTAAATTATAACTGTATAAGTATTTAAAAATAGCTTATTATTCAAAAGGTTTTTGTTTTTTTTTTTTTTTTTTTAATGTAAACCGGTGAACCGTAATCTTTTCCAATAAGTCATCTGTTTTATAATAATAATAGCATTTGGTGGGGGGAGGGGAGGGAGAGGTCGAGATGTGTTCGAACAACAAGAAAAAAACATTCTATAAATACTACTAAAAAAAATACTTGAAATGGTAACTGTACCTACTTGTATATGTTTAATGCATAAATAAGTGGTTAATTAACCAAATTATTGATAAGGTTTCTCGCTGTAGACGACTGCAGCGATTAAAATAAAATATATATGCGTATTGTATACAGTTTCTAAACGGCCATCATTAAAAAAATAAAAAATAAATAATAATAATAAGCTATAGAATATAATATTGTATGTAATATATCTATATTTGAAGAATGTTGAACCTACTTGTGGTTACATTAATCGATTCAGTGAGCTATTTATACAATATTGAGAAGAAGACAACCCCATCACTGCATGAATAATCTATATAGCTGAACGTATCAATACGTTTATGAGTTTTGAATAGCACTAGAAAATTTCAATAAAGAAATTTGTTTAGACGCTCGGTTTTTTTTTTTTTTTTACTGTATCCTACCTAATAGTTGGTATTAGTATACGCATAAAAGTTAATTTTTTTTTTTTTTACGAATAAATTATTTGAAAAAAAAGCTGACCTACTTAACTCCTCGGGTGGGCGGCTGCTTTAGACCGGCACGCGCAGTAAATCACGTTATTATTATTTTAAAGGGACGATAAATCATTCCGGCACGTTCGAAAAACGATTATACGACCGAAATATTCAACGGTTTCCAAGTTTCCGACACGAAAACGAACTTTCGGCTACTAAAATTAATATTCGGTGAAATTTTCGAGACGCTAAATTACGGAAGAATGATTATAATATTAACAATGAATAATCGCTGCTGTAACCCGAATATCGACCGAATAACGAACAAACGGGTGAGTTTTCCGTACCGCCGGGAAAACCATATTAGGTTTTATTCTACGGACGTTTTATTTTTTTTTTTTTCTAAGAAAGAAAACAGACATGTAGGTACTCTGCTGGGCGCAATCTAACGACGCCGATAATACGTATTAAAAAAAGTAAAAGGAAAACGAGCATTATTACCTTAGTTTCAAGATAAACGTCATCTGAATTCGCAGTATTGTTTTTCTGACGGACCGCGTGACGCGTCATCGTTTTGTGCGGCGCACGGTATCGCGCGAAACGCGAACATAATTAAACGATATTAAAAGAAAAACAAAAAAACTCTTTATAAACGAGTAAAAAATAAAACGAATTGAAAAAAAGAAAACGGTACGGTGCGAACCGTACAACTTTCGGCGGGCTTTGCTAAACTACAAATGATACGACGGTATTATATTACGGTAAACGCGCGTCGCGGATAACACCGTGGTCGCGGATCGAAAGGACGAAATATGATCATCATCATGGCAACTGCACCATCGCGCGCGGACGAAGGGGACGTCCTCGGGGTTGGCTGTGCGGACAAGAGGCCATTATTAAAAAAAAAAATAAAAAAAAAAATAAAACGAAATGAAATGAAATAACTTGCAGCTGCAGCAACCCTCGCGGGAATCGACGAGTGAGAGAGAGATGGAGTGAGAGAGAAAATAAAAACCGGTATTATAATATTTTCGGGGCGAGCCTCGCGCAATCATAATTCACCGACGACGACGACGAGCCGATTTGAAAATGTCGTCGATTACGCAATGGAAATATCGCGGAATAATAACGTTCGGGGAAGGGGCGGGGAGGGGAGGTCCCGATAACGCGCGCATATTACACAGCGCACTCGGTAATATTCGTAAAATAGAATATTATTATTTATGTAATGACGTTGCACTTTCGGAACGATCGGGGGCGACGAGTCGGACGCCTTTGCGGCCGATAAGAGGCGACCCGGTATCAGAATAATAACGCTACCGGTATTTTTTCGGCGGCGCTTTTGATGTACGCGAGAACGATAGGCGCGCGCTGTTGATAAAGCGGAAAAAAAACAAAAAACAACCATCCGATTATATAAGTAGCGCGGTCGTTTGACGGGGAATTTCTCTTCCGAATAATACCATTTATACTAATCTCGTTACTTATTATTATTTTATTTATTTTTTTTTTTCCCTTTGTGTGGTTCGGCGTTGATATCGTTTACAGCGTATGGAATTGTTGTTGATAATTACTGTGATTCATTATTTGAATAATAATGATCAATTGTTGTCCTAATTAATTATGTTTGTGCGGAGTGTTGTTATCAAAAACGACGAGACGGGCACGGAGAACGTGATTTGACGAGGTGACGAATGTGTACAACAATAGGAAAAACAAAACGTGCGAGATTACAATATCGGTCGACGCGATACAATCACGCGATCATTACAATATTATCCTATTGGTATTTTTATAGATTAATCGATTTTAGTCAGAACTCGTCTCAAAAACGATAACTATATTGTTATGACGAGGGCGATAAAGCGCGCGGCTAATGAACGTGCACTAATATCGGTTTGAAATTATTGAAACGATCACGGTTCAAGATTTCCGTGGCGGTTATTATCGATATTAACACGAATCAATCGTTTTATTCTAGATTCGGCCGAGAAAAAAAAAACCGACATCTGTACGTGTCAGGGGATAAAAATTGCGACGACAAGTCGACAACCGTTTCCAACACTCTTGCGTATACTCTGGCCTCGAAAATATTTTTAAAAAAAAAGCAGCACTCGTACGACGTACATTTTCTCGATCGATTAAAAACTCGAACCGGTATACCGTATAATTAATAAAAAAACCGTTACAACGCACAAATCCACACGAATTCCGCGCTAATTAACGGCGAGAAAAAAAACAACAATGTTCCAACTTTAACGGGGGGGGGGGGGAATTTTCACCTAGAAATCTTGCCCCGATAAAAAAATCACAAGAGACCTTATTTGTTGCATTTCGGCTCTTGTCGGAAATTTAGAAAGGTGATTTTTTTTTAGATTCTTAAGGTTCAGAATAAGGTTATCATTGGCAACAGTTTTCATTCATATTTTGCCATTATTAAACATTTATTAAACAATCATTGTTGTCGTGAAAACGTACATTGTTGAAAAAGCAAATACTATTGACCGAGCTTCGTTCAGAATCGTTTTACGTTAGCAATCGTCGCGCACGGATATAAATTAAATTCGTCACAATATCTAATGTTGCCCGTACAACAGTGGCACGCCCGTCGTGCGAATTACATCCGTCCGGTTTTTTTCTTTTTATAATTACATCTCGTGTAATTCGCTTGCATTTAATTTGGTCCATACGTTATAACCGTGTATTGTTGTACAGTATTCTTTACGCCCCTAACCTAACCTGACCTAACAATTAAAATACCATAAGTATTACTACGTAACATACTATTTTTGTTTGGCGAAAACGACACGAGTCGTACAATAATAATTAACGTGCGTTGCTATAGTCAGGACATTGTGTAATTTGGTATCGTTCAGCCATTGATCGAAATATATTGAAATTATGTATAAATTATGTATTATAATCGACGGGTCAGCAATAATTATACGGTCATTCGGTTGTTTCCGACACATTTTAATAAGCTAATTAACAGGCTCGCGTCGAGAACAAATACGATATCAAACGGTATTATTGAAGCCTGCACGTGCAGCCCGTTGCGGTGTATACGTACAATAGTGCACTCGGTGCAGTCGACGTGTACACGGTTAAACGCAACACGGCCCATAAAAACTAGGTCGTAAAATCGCTCTCGTTTACAATACGAGTGTATGGAATATTATTATGTTATTATTATATAGTGTGACTGGTCCCTTTCTTTTCTCTCTCTCTCTCTCTCTCTCTCGGAAAGGGACGAAAATTGTCGTAACTGGCGTACAGAAAACATACACACCGCCTCAGTAACAGTAACATTACGCAAGAGGACTCACCTTTTTTCGTCGACGTCGAGTCTTTAGGACTCTTGTGCGGAGCCCGTGATGCTGCTGCTTCGGTGCGATTCCCCACCGCAACGTAATACGGCCGCTTTCGGATCTGAAACGGAATTAAATACACGAGGTGAGTTATTATTATTATTATTATTATTTTTCATTCCACTCGCTGCATATTTTATTATAATTATAAACCGCGGAGACGGCGGTAATATTATTATACGGCTTATAATATTATATTAGGTTTTATTTTAATTTAAACGGAAAAAATCGCTTTAACGGCTGCGCGGGCGAAATTTATAAAATAAATTAACAAATACGTAAAATACAAAACGCGTTTAATTTGTATTTTCGAAATCTCTTCGGAGACTGGCTGCGAGTAAATTATTATACGATGTGCCGGGCGCCACGTAATTGAGTTTTCACCTAATGGCCTAAGACGGATTCATTAATTTTTTTGTTTTTAATTTTTAATTTTCTCGTATTCCGCGAGACGAATTTTCCGTCTGTGTATATAGCATTAGATGTATGTATGATTTTGATGTGGTTTTCAACAAAATGTTATTCGATCTGCAGTTTTCGAGAAAGTTTTATATACGCGGCTACTTAATTATTACCCCGGAATTCAGCTTCCCTATTATAAGTTGTGTTTAACATTTTGATTTATAATTATATTTGTTTTATTATTTTTTTTTTTTTTTTGGGTTTCCTCGTAGCGACACGGTCGAAATATCAAACGGTTACCTACTATTATTAACTTAAAAAAAAAAAAAACTGGAATTAAATTGGCACACGCAACGCTAGACGGCCGGACAACTATAGTGAACATCGACAACGTCGTTAAGCGCTTGAATGGGGGGGGGGTCAACAGACAGAGTAATTTTATTTTTTCTAAAAATACTCTAGCGTCGGATTTTTCATAATGGTCTTAGAATTGGTGTAGACAATTATTATCGATGCAACCCTCTATCGAGTGAACAAATGTTTTGCTGAATCTCAATATACTAAATTTATCGAGTTTCAAAAAGTTTTTTACCCATTTTTATTTTTATTGATAATAATTTTTTTCGATGATAAAAATATATCGTTCTTATCATGTTTAGGTAGTAATAGAATACCAAAAAATCGTTTTGCAAAATGTAATCATTGTTATTGTATCGCCGACGTATACGTATCTAATTTAAATTTTCAACAATGAGAGGGGGCGAAGTCGTTCCCCAAGCACGCCCCCAATCTTCTGCCCCGAATGGATATTATATGAACTAGTACGGACGTAAAAACAATTATAAACCTTATGGTACGCACATTTTTGTACGCTTTTGCTCAGTGGCGCGGGAAGATGAAAGGATAACCTTTTTCAGACACCCCATAAGGGAGGCTAAATTCCCATTGTCGGGTTAGGCGTGACAGAAGAATTTATTCTACGATTTGTTTGCGAATTACGATTATTATTCACTATACGTCTCCTCACGTTGGAAACTCCCGGGCACGCCGCGCTGCATTTGCGTCCCCTTTTTAATTTGATTTCCGACACGATTCGACCGCCGGTCGTAACAATACCGTACACGAAACTGACCAAACATAGTATGCTATACTGTTATGTATAGTGTTCGATTGTTTTTAATTTTTTTTTTTCCAATTTCCGAATACCTTCGGAGTACCACCCACCACGCGCGCGTGTACGGAAATATCGCAACGCCGGTGATTCGTTCGGGGTTGTCCGCGGTCGTCCGCCGGGGATGATCTATAGACGCGCGCGAAACTATAAAACGTGCGGCCCATTAACGAACCGTGAAATTTGTTTTCAACACTCGCCGAGGTATTATAATACGATCGTCGCGGGGGCACTGCGCAATGTTTGCAAACAAAATCGCTTTTTTTCGTATTTTTTTTTTTTTGTTCGCCAAAGAAAAAAAAAATAATAAAATTCCCCGTACATACCCTCGGACCGCCGAGAGAACCTTTACACTGCGGCGTGAAGACCGATAGTTCGAACGCGTGCAACATGGTCGACCTTGCCGTATGTACAATACGAGGATCATAATAATAATAATATACAAGGCTGTTGTGACCCGGGCCGAAAATCAAACGTTATTGGCGAACGATATTATGTACGAGCAGCGTATACCTACACAGCGGCGGGTTTTTTTTTCCCCCGAGTATGAAATCGATTACGGGAGGGGCGCAGGTAAAAAAGGATATGCGGTGTTAATTTATCTGTCGGCATCCTGTAATGGTTTTTTAATTTTCTTTTTTTTTCTGCTTTCTTGTTTCGCTGCCGCGGAACCTGTCAAAATATTATTGTTATTATTGTTTATGAAACGCGTAAAATACCGCAGGAATTTTGTCGCGGATTAATGTACGCATTATTTATTTTATATAAACGTACATCGAGTTGACGTGCTATTATGGAAAAAAAAAAAAAAAAAACAATAATAAAAATATTACGTTTACTATTATTATTATAATATGTTAAGTACGTAATTTTCTTATACATAAATTATAATATAATAATACGCGAGTCGGAAAATCATTATAATAATATTTCGCACGGTCTATAATATTTATAATAATATTATGTAAAGTACACGGAATTAAGATTTTCAAACGAAATAACGGTGCGTTTTGAATTTCGAAAAATAAATTACGAGTTTTTTTTTTTTTTTTTATTATCGTAAAAATATAAATAACGCGGTCGATTTTCTTTTGATATAATAATACCTATATATAATGTATAATACGCGCGATAATATTAATTTCGTTACAAACGTACGATAAATCACATTTTTATGCGTTGTGTTCGTTCGAAAAGGGCATCTCGTGCGCCGCTTTTGACTTATACGCAGTGCACTCGTATATTATTAGGTATGTAATATTATATTTGTCACGTGAAAAAAGTTCAACCGTATTACTGCACGTATAGGTTGTACGTAAACGATTAAAAACAGAGAACGATTTCTCGTGCGCGTATCGTAATAACAATAACGCGTGTTCAGGCAACCCCGAATAAATAACTTAGAAAAAGACAAAAAAAAAAAAAAAAAAAAAACCCCTCGACATTTATATGTCATTTTAATGGGAGACATTTACCCGTTTCACTGTAATAACAATATAAGTGTCGTGTCGTACGACAATAAACGGATGCGGTGTATTAGACCTTACGTCGAATTATTTAACGGTTAGATTAGGTATGTTTATAATCACAAAATAGCATCTGCTTTCTTTGCATTCCGTCGGGCCGCGACACGTTCTCTTATAACACCGTAATATATTGTAACTTTCATCTATAATTTTTTTCAATTTTTTTTTTTTTTCAATCGTTTATCAATTTGAAATGGTTTTTTTGTCGGGTACCGTTTTCGGCCCACAATGAACCTTTTCCTTTTCGGCCAGTATGTTACTTTTTGCCCACTCCACAATTTCCTCATTTCCTTTTGATGTTCGTGATGTTTACGATAATTATTAAGAAAAAAACATGAAATAAATTTAAAACAAAATGGACAAAACATTATTGGATTTGTCTATTACGTTTTCGTAGAGCACGATTGAAGTAGACTAAATATTTTTCAACCGTGGTATTCTGATAGTTAGTAAAAAATATTTTGTGAACCGTTAAAACAATTTTATTTTTGGTTTTTCATTGAAAACTATGGAAATACAATTTTTACAAACGTTTTTTTTTTCATGAAATCATATTTACCTATATGAAATTAAAATATTAAAATACTAAATTATTGCCTACATAGATACAGATCTAGAAGTGGTGTTCATACCTATCGCCCCTGCAATCTTACATTGGTGAGCAAAATAGTATACTGGCTAAAAATGGTTATTATGGAATGGCTGAAAAGTAACACAGGTCGAAAAGGGAAAGGTTCATTTCAGCCGAAAAGGGTCGCGCCCTTTTGTCGAATATGCTTTGAAAATATATCAGACTATTGCGCTCGAGGTCAAACAAGTCGCCATGTCTGAAGCGTTTTAAACATTTATGTATAAAACGTCCAAAAATTCTATATTAAAATAACTAATATTACCTATTGTAACATTATTAGATTCTGAAGATTGAAGATATGCATATAGTCCCTGTTCGTTTTTAAAACATAAATGAAAATAAACAGTTTCTATTATTTTTGTTTTGATAAAGAAATAACTTTTTTTTTTTTAAGGGTTGTTTTTTTTCCTTAAATAATTATTACGAACAAATTCAATTAATACATATCGTAATGTGATATTTATGATAAAAAAGAAACATTCACATTTGGTTACTATTATAAACATGTTTAAATGAAAAAAAAATGTTTTTTGGTTTTGAAACTCTGATTGCATTGATTGTATTATTTCTGTTATACATATATCTTTTACAAACTATATTCGGCACTTTTAACGGCTCTCTCTGAACCAAGGAGCTAAAACCCGGGAATATCATAGTTGTCTTATAAGCAAGGGACGATAATTTTATGTAAGCATAGCATTAGAAAATGTGCCCGTTTGAAAGTTTCAAATTTCACAGGAAATACCAGGTTGTAAATTACTCTCCAGACTAAAAGAAAAAAAAAAATGAAATGAAATATTGTAACGTTGACAAGTCTGCTGGGAGAAAATTTGACTCTAGTAACGGAGCTCTGCTGTTTACGAGTGGTTTTTTTTTGTCATTTGTATCATCTCTTTTTGTTACCACTTTAATACTGTGCACGCACACACACACACACATACACACTACACACAGACACATAGACCGTAGAGAACTGTATATACTGTATATAGTTACAATAACGGATAATACAGATGTGGAATTGCCTTTGACCAAATAAATACTACTTATATTGTAGGGGGAGAGATGTGACGGGGGGCAACAAAAAGTAAATTACGTATTTTAATTACGCGCGCGAGGACTCTTTTGACGGTGATATTTCTCTTTTTTCTTCCTCTCTTTTTTCCCGCTTCTGCCGAGGACAATTCTCTACTAACCTGTCGCACCGACTTAGGTATAATAAATTTCCGTGATGTATGGCCGGAACTTCCTCGGTCACGGTCGGAGAAAAGTGTACGGTTATACCGGAAAAAAAAAAAGAAAAAAGTATATTATACACTTTATACCGCGCACACACCAAAGGTAAAAGTCACGAGACATTTAGATTAAAAAAAAAAAAAAAACAAATACATTTACCGGCTGTGGTAATCAACGTTATATTATTATATTTTCTTTTCACTATATATGTATAAGAAAAATACAATTTAAGAATTTAAGAATTTCGTCTAGGGAAGTGTATGATATGTGCATTATATTATACAAGTACCTGTTATTATAATTCAATAGCGATTTAAATATTTTGAACCTGGTCTATAATAAAGGAGTAGGTTTGCCTGCCGGTAATTTGACCACTGAATTTCGGATCTTATATTGCGCGTTCGACAATCGGGATAAACATTGCCGGGGAAAAACATCTCCCGAGGTTGATACGAGGAAAACAAATCCCCCGACCTTTATTTTTCTGTTTTACTCAATCGACCGTCGATATTTAGCTGACTTTGATATTAAAAGCGGTCCTTTTGTTTGACACAGATAAGTTTGATAGGAAAAGATTACTTTAGCAATTTGTAATATTTACGCAAATTTGATACAGTAATCTACGATAGTAGTAAATAGGTACAATCGATTAACGACATGATAATGCAGCTTACATTTAGCGTTTGAACACTTTGACCTGTTTGAAGCCGGAATTATTTCATTGTTCACCGCAATCAGGCATCGGTTATAACATCACCGCGTTAACCATATCATATCAGGCATATGACTTATATGCCTCATAATAAAAATGTATCAAAATAATAATAATTCTTTTTTTTAATATAATATTAGGTACCAGAATCGTATTAGTAAAGTTTTTTAAATAAATTACAATTACAATTTGGCAAACGAATATTATGAATATTATAATATTTTTATCGATAATACCAAAATTTGGTCACAGTGTTGCGGATTTTTTTCTTTGGGATTCCTTATTTTATCGGTGCAATCAAGTGCACCATATTTTACTGTCTAAAATTGTTGCACTTGTAAATTATTTTCGTTATTATTCCGGTATATAACATCTCAAACTGCTACTTCTTCTCTGTCACCTATACCTCAGTCGCGTTTCTTATGATTATAAAAATTGAAATACAATATCAAGAGTATTATTTTTTGATCAACCATAAATTATGAAAGTGTGAATTCTACAACACGAAAGTCGAAACAAATGACGTCCCCTTGCGAAAACCTCCATTACCCGATAGAAAAAACTAGATAAGTAATATTTCGCGTTCCGAATATGGAAGAATAATGACAATTACTTATTGTTGTTTTTTTACAGTAATCTGTCGGCTTGTGCGTGACGATAAAAAGAACTTGATCGTTTTTATTGTGTTTATTACAGCCGTAATGTATTTTTCGTTTAGTTCGGTTTATTGTCACTTATTCATACGGTAACGTTTTAAACAACGCGGAAATGCTAATGTCCATGCATCGGGGGTTCCATTATAACGGGAAAGAGCAGACAATTTCGCAAAGTTGTTAGACCGCGACCAATGCAAGGCGAGTACAATTTACACGTAACAAAAAAAAAAAAAAACCCCCGATAATTACGTATTTTCATATTTCCACGAAAACCTCGGTAAGTCGAAAAAATTGCATTTCCCTTGCATTCTGACCCGTCGAGTTTCCGCTCGTAAAACGGAACGACACTCGTATTTCCGTCTTGAAAATATCGCCTCGGCAAATAACAGATAAAACGAATTTAGGGGAAGAAAAAAAAACGAAAAACAAGATGTACGCCCGGCGCATAAGAATATTGATAAAAACTTTTTTGCGCGAGAGTCAAATGCACAATGCACACAATCATTATTCTATATTTATACTGTGATAATAACTGGCATACCATTGTAATATATATTATAACAGTGACGCGCGACCATATTAATACCAGACGCGAAACGTTCGAAACTTTCTCGCGTATAAATCGAAAACGTTTCGCGGTTTCTTATCAGTGCGGGCGCGTCGCGCGCGTTTGTAAATTTATACGCGCGGCGGCGAAATAATTAAAACCGATTCCATTAAATTACGTGCGGCGACCGCGGCCGCAATTATTCACCTCGTCTCTGGTTCGCGCAGATATATTTATATCGCATAAATATTCGGCCGGTCGGTCGGCGGCGGCGGCGGTTTTCGCGGCATCGAAAAACCAATTTATTTTCCTTATATACGTTTTCTTCCCGCCCGTCGTCGGTTTCGGGTTTTTTTTTTTCTTTTCTGTTTAATTCACGAACGCACGCAGGAACTATTTGTCTGCGCGCGACGCGATAGAGAAAAACAGCGAGGAGCGCGGGAGACGCGGAGAGAGAGAGAGAGAGAGAGAGAGAGAGAGAGGGAGTGAGAGAGTGTGAGAGAGAGTGGTTGGGGCGGGGTGCGTTGAGTCGGGCCGAGAGAAAGACGGACGAACCGAACCCTACCCCTGCCACCCGCGAAACGCTGCGGCCCACGCGGAGGGGCGCACAACATTTATCTCTGCCCCGCGAACCGGCCTTAATGCGTATTCCATGCAAATACTCTACGTCCCCGTACCGCACCGCACACACCCTATGTATGTATATATTTATTGTGTGTGTGCGTGTGTGTGCGTGTGCGTGCGTGTGCGTGTGCGTGCGCGCATTGTACGCCACCGCACGTTCATCGGCTGTTACCCCGCGCGCCGCCGAAACCGATCGGCCGAAACCGACCCCCCCACCCACCCACCCCACGCCGAACCGTCTTTCGCGACGGCCCGGTGACGAGGGGTGTTTCGCGCGCGATCCGGAGGCAGTAAATCTCTGTCGATTCATTGGTCGGCGGGCAAAAAAAAAAAAAACCCCGAGAGAGAAATAATACAGATGGCGACGCGGTCTGCGAGGGCGCGAGTCCATCACACACCGTCACGGGCCTCGTCGCCGCCGCCGTACTTTATCGTCTTATCGGAATGCGCTCGTTCGCGTAATGGTACCGCGTACGAAATAATACTGCCGCGGCGGGTTCGTCGGGACGGTTAACGCCCGCCGTCAATCGTTTTATCGACCGACCGCGCGTCCGGCGGGTCAATTAGAAAACCGAATTAACTTGTTGACTCGAGTCGCGGGTTCTCGGCCGAAGTGCCGAGCCATACGTGGCGGGGGTTTATCGCCTCTTTTTGCGCGTCTGTGAATGTGCGCGCCGCCCCCCCCCCCTCCATGAATCGGACGATTCGTAGCGTTTTCGATCCGGTCGGCCGGACATCGAAATGGGGCGATTTTGTCGATTTAACCTGCGATCTAATAATATCAATGACAACATTTATTTATTTCCCCCACTAAAGGGTAACAAATTAAAACACACGAATAAAATCACAGTAGTTGGCCACTTCCGAGCCGTTGACCGTGCGTAAGTGGGAGTTCGAATTTAAATTAACAATAATAAGTTGTGTACGTTATGCGTGATACGTGAAAAGCAATCACAATAATTATTACAATGTTATGAATTTATAGATATAATAATATAGGCGATACAGTAATAAAAAATGACAGTAAATATAAAATATATTGGAATTTTCTTATTAAACGGGGAAAAAATTGTACATTTTTTTTTGTAAAATTGATTTCCGGGTCATCTTTGCTACGAAACTGAAAACATACGACTGACAATACTCGGCTCAGAATCGTTTTTCGTTAGCGACGGTTTATCGTTGAGTACACGTATAAATTAAATCACTGTATATACGTATCGTCCCTTTAGGAACTTCCTCCCTAAAACAATGTTACACCCACGAACATTATTAGCATTTGATTTTTGTGTAAAATTGTTGTCGTTCAGTACAAATGATTGCACCTATACAGAGCGATTGTAAATTTAATATCACGTTAAATTATCAAAAGAAATTGCTGAATCGAAACTCAATGTTGTAAAATTCAAAACGAACAAGTTAATCTAGGTAAACAAAATAAATTAAATTAATACAAATTACATGTTAAAAACTTAGTTTGAAGATAAAATCAACTTGAATTTTAACTTTTTAACTTGTTGATGTCCCGCAACCTTACGTATTAAAGATGTAATATTTTTTTTACTCGTACGGCGAACAAGTTATAACATTGTAAATTTGAGATTGTTTAACAGTTTTTGTGTATAACGGGAAAATAAATTTATTAAACAGTTTAATTTCGTAACAAGTTAAACAATAACAGTTCGGGTTAAATTAATAATTTGTGTTAATTGTGTTGTATTTGTATTATTTTAATTTCGTCTCGCAGCAAACGGAACACGTACCTATAATATTATCTATATAGTAAAGTATGGAATTTGAACATTTTTAAAACCTTTCAGAATATCCGGACCTCGTGAACCCCGATTACTACGACAAATGACAACGCACGATGTTTTTTCATTGCGTTTACCGTCTATTATTGGACGATTAAAAAAATAATAATGACACGCTATTCCGCACCTACACCGTTTATCATTTTACGCGAAACATTCTTCGTCGTCCGAAAGGAAATTTAGAATTTGTAGTTAAATTCTACAAGCGGCGCCGAGGTTTGATTTACGAGTATTAATATTTTATATTTATTGAAATATTCGTGTACAATAATTATTACGATTTTCATTCCCATATATTGTATGTAAACGTACAAGAGTTTTGTTTTCGTACGGGCCGTTATAATATATTAATAGTCTTGCACATAAAATATATATTTGATGTACAAAACCGGAAATTTCTCGTACATGCATATCATTCGGCGGTATTTGTGCGTCGATCCGAAAAAAAAAAATATAAAAGAAAGGAAAACGTCGCAAAAGTAAAATAATGTCTTCTCCGTGCCGCCTACGATTTATTGGGGTATTATTTTTTTTTTCTTTTTCTTCTTGCTCGGCCGCCGACGTTATAATATTATAATATTTCTTCGGGCGCGGGCCAATAGTGACGGCCGAGCCAGGAAAGTACCCGGTTTTTATTGCGAAGGCCTGTGTGGGCCCTCTTATACATAATAATAATAATAATAATAATAATAAAAATCGTCCGTTGCAGACCGTCACGCGTAAAAGCGTTTAAGGAGACGGAGCGATAATATATATATAGACATTAAAATATACATATATATAGATAGATAAATTTAAGGAAGGACGAAGAAAAAAAAAAAGGGAAGAAAAAATGCTGTCCGAGAGAGAGGGAGGAAAAAGGATGGAAAAATATTTCGCGAGACGCACAAATCATTCTGCGCTGTCTCTTATACACACACACACACACACACATACACATATATATATATACGTCGCATAGCCGTTTTATTATGTATGCAAATTTTTTCGAAAACACGCACCCCCTTCACCGGGGGCGCCGAGCGTGCCAAAGGCTATGCGGCTATAAATCACCCGGCCGCGTTATACGTACGTCTCTTGCAGGGACAAATGTTCCGCACCCCGCGTATATATATATATAAGCGGGAATAAAAAAAATATACATTTTTCTTTCGGCGAATAAACCTCGAGTTTAAAATCGTACGGTGTTTCGCCGTGCCGCACTCGGTTATAACATTTCTGTGATCTAAAAACTAGCCGAGTATAGCTGAGCGTATTAGCGTATTTATTTTTTATACGTTCCGTCGAATTTCGTTCGTTTTCTCACCACTAATGTGCGATAGACATTTGACTGCGCCTACGTAATAATATTATACAAAACCCAAGCGAGCACTGGAACGGATTTCACGTGAAATGCGTACGCGCCCCGCACTGAATTCAAATCTGTTTTCAATAGTCTTATCGTCAGGTGCACATACAGTGTACGCCGGTCGGACTGATTGAAAGTACATCCGTCTAAATTGCTACGAGACGAACAAAAAACGTCCTCACCCGATGACCTTTGTGTGGCCGGCGTGATTTAAATGGTTATTTTTTTTTTTTATTGGAAATACGAATACATTCTTCGAATCTCTTTGAATTCCGTTTATCGATATTTTAAACGCATACTGTTCCCTTTTAACGTTCATTTTAATACCGTCGTATGAAATCGAATGAAAAATCAGAGTCCAATGCGGTCTATACGGGATGTTGTGGATAAATTATTCAAAAAAAAAAATGTGTAAGGAAAATTTTGATGACCGTGAGATATCTGTAAGACGTTCGTTGAAACGTTAAAAATGATTTTGTACAAAACCGTAGACGAATCGCAGGGACAGTGACCGGTGTCACAGTATTTTAATACCCACCATAAAATATTATTACTTCGGCAGGTATAAATCGCCTGTATGAACAATCGCCGACAGTAACAGGCGATTTGTACCTCACATAATATAATTTTACCTCGGTGCGTATTAATCGTCAACATTGGGTAATGATTTGTATTGTATTGTATAATTCACCGAATACAAATGATCGTATTTTAAAATATGTAACTGATATAAAAACAATAAAATCGTAAAAGATACGCACAATGTGATATTACCAACGGTCTTGTACTTGACATTACCAAGTCCGGAACCACTGATCTGATTCGCATGCGGTGTTCAGTAATTTATGAAACGTGAACAATAATAACATAACAATATTATTATTAATAAATAAAAACCATAAATCTTCTGAAAACAGACTTCTAAAATTAACCAAAGCATTTCAGATTTCCAATTCCAATAGGTATCGGTCGCATATTTAATTGCAACATTTTATTCTGTAGGTTCTGTTATACACGTTGTGCCGCATATTTCGTTTAACTTTACCCGTCTTTGGTCGTATCTCTCATATTATTACCTACACCTGGCGATACACGCGCGGGGGGGGGGGCGCGAATCTCCCGTTATACTGTAGGCGATATTTCCTACGGACGATTCGCAGCCGGCCGGGCGGTAACGCGTGACGCGGGGTACGGATCGCCCGTTACGCCGGTACTCGGGCCGCCGAAGTGGAGGACGCGATATCGAAACACGGTCGCCGTTTCGGTCCGAATTAATCCGTAAAGCGTTGGTGTGTTTTTTTTTTTATTAATTATTTTCAAATGGCTGCCGCAGTTACACTCTGCCGCGCACAAGGATATTTCCCGGAAAAGCGTACCCGACAACGGGCGCCACTGTTCGAAATGTCATCGTTACAGACTGCGATTTCGGCCCGTAAACGGCGCGAGCGTTCCAATTCAAACGGTGTCGCGCGGATCGCGTCGCCGGCGGACACGCGGCCGGCCCGAGACGGTTCGGGACGCGGTCCGAGGTTAAAACGGCGTAACGTATTTTAGCGGGTACCCGCCGCGTGCGTGTTTACGCCCGCGCGTATTGCGTATTTGTTTTGTTTTTTTTTTTCTTTTACTTATCGCGCCGCCGCTCGTATTATTATTATTGTCGTGTCGAAGGCTCTCCGGTCCGTACGCATTCCGTACGGTAATATTTTATTATCGTTTACCGTATTCTCCGCGTTGCTAAACGTCTCTGTCGACGACGGCTCGCGCACAAACAATATAATAACGAGATAATAACGATAATAATTACGATTAAGTCGTCAACAACTCGTCAACCGCGCGCGCCGACGGCGACGACCGTTTCCCCCCCCCTTCGTCTTTTTCTCCTCTCTCGCGCCTTTAAAGGGAATCCGGCGCGGCGTATTGCGAAAAACGGAAAAAAAAAAAAACCCAAGATTACGGGGTCGGGGGGAATCGCGCGATTTCGACGGACGACGACAATAAAAACCGGGGTGTGTCCGAATCGGTTCCCGTTTAAACACGCACGTTTCCCTTTCCGTTGTCACGGGCTCGGGACCGTCGACTCATGAGAATTACTTAGATTTCATACCGCAGAAACGTGTCCGTATTCCATATCCGGTATATTATACGTACACGATAGCTACGCACAGATACGTGTATCCAGACGGATTGACGGACGGATCTCGATCGACTGCGGTATACACGCCGATACGACGTTCATTTACCACACCGATAACTGCGTTTGTCGTTTGAATGCGTATCGTGGGCACAAAAACGGGAACGAATTCGGCTCGCCTCCGTAACAAGTACCTCATTCGAACGGGAACCGATCCCGGGGTATGAACCCGGCAATCGATTCGGGGGGCGTAAATCATTTTTGGCGCATCACTATTATTGTTTTCGATATTTTCCGTAAGACATTTGCTGCGCATCATAAACGCTCAACAACAGAGCGCCGAAAGGGATTAGGATTACCCAAAACCACAAATTGTTTCCTAACTTTCCGCCCAATTTTCAGTGTCAATAATTTTTGTAGATATGTATTGAATACCAGAGCTTAAAATTCAAATATAGGTGTTATAAGACGTACGCGAGGTATAAGGTATTTCCGTTTTAAAAATATGCGTTGTACAATACGCACATAAAAACATTGGTACGTGTATAACAAAGGACAAATAAACAGATTTCGTTTCATACAAATAACGGGTCATTATGACACGCCCCAAACGACATAATTCGACTATTATATTGTATAGGTCAGGTTAGACTGAGACGATTAAGACGATTTTCCGTTTCAATAAATCGCACGGAACTTTGCACTTTTCGATATTTTCGTATCGCGTATTTATTTTTATTTTTTTTTTTGTCACCTACTCATTGTAAACGGACGGCGCGCGAATGACTGCCGCGATTCGGATACGTCCGATAAACGACGTCGTAACGGACCGCCGCCGGCCGAACGACGCGAAACACCACGTGTCGGCGGGGATAATACGGAATTTCGCCGGAATCTAACGGTCCGGGGGCCCTTTGTCCGTGCGTTCGCGTGCGCTATACGCGCGTGTAATCTAATGACGGTACGCTCTGTACGGAAAAGAAAACCGCGACAATGCCTCTCATGGTCTTAATACCGACCCGCGGACGACCCCCGAGCCGACGCCCGCCGAGGCCGGGCGTACCGTTATAATAATATTATCTCACCGTTACGGGTACTGTTAAATTCGTATTTTTACGGCGACCTAATGTGTGAATCGGCCGTCGTGACATAAATGCATAAAAGGGACCGGACGTTGATCGCGCCGACATTTAAACTGGTTTATTTTTTTTGTATACATATATATATATATATATATATATATATGTGCGCCATAATAACGTTATCTTTTTCTTCTAGTGGCGGATTGAAATTTATCATAGTGGATTTCGAATTCACTATGATAGATAATGTGGATCCATTATTAACGTCAGGCGCTATAGCAGCTATAGCAGTTTAGACGAATATCAGCCAGTCAAACTCCAGGACGGCGAGCGTTTAAGCGGCAGCACAGCTGGAAGATTGTAAAAAATGTAAAAAGTATCCATCAGGAAAAGCCAGAAGTAGCGGAGTCCTTTCTGGAGCAGTTTTATACAAGTCTGGGGGTTCGGGAGTCAAATTTGACTTCCGTATATTTAAACCGGTACCTAAACACAGATGATCGGGCACCGATTATAGTATTTTGGGCGGAAACCACGGATAAAGTCATATTCGAGAGATTATGGGTGCCAAATGTAAAGGCATACTTTAACGTAATCAACTACAGGGTGGCCAACGCCTATAATTTCAACCTAAAGTTAGTGAACGTGCGCACTAAGCAGGAAGTTATATTTTCAGTAGACATTGGGTACCGTGAAAAAAACCGGTAAAATATTAAATTTAAATGAAACCCACGACGTAGTGTGCAAACAGCCTTTTTCTTTGGTGGGGAGGTGTCACGGACTCTGTTCTTCACGTGTGTAAATTCGTTAAACACAAATCAATATTTCAACGCGACTAAATATGTGAAATGGACCGTCGCAAATCGAAGACGTTCCCACGGAACAACGTATGATACGCGTCGATGGGACAAATGGAAAACGTGTCCGGGTGCGGACAACGCGGCACCGGAAGACGACGACGGCGGCGTCCGTCACCGCCTAGGTCCCGACCAAAGCGTCAATCGTGTATAAGACGACCCGGAGGACCGCAATGGGAGTTCGGTTGGAAGTCGGGAGTCTGCGCTGCCAACCGACGCGCGATGGGGAGGAGCACCGTTGCCTCGACGACGACCCGCCGTTCAGTCATTTCTCTAGTTGTGTACTTGTGGCTGATAAATACAACTATAAGTGTTGACCCGGGTCTGGCGTCGCGACGACACCGCTTATAATTATTATCAATTGTCAACCGAGTTTATTTAAAATATTAATAAGGACTTCATTTACAGACTTAAAAACACTTGTCCATTTTCCCGTCCGAAGGCTGCGTCTGAACGGCCCGTAACAGTATCGTGTCGTGTGGAGCGCGCGTGACCCACGTGGCGGCGAGGGGCGAGTACCAGTAAAGTCCGGTCCACGCTGGGGCGAGGTACGACGACTTTTTAAGTCGAAACGCTATTTGACGAGACAAAAAGTCCCCGCGTGTTTCGAAAAATGTTACTAAACGTTCTGTCGGTAATAATTCATCGCGAGCCAGGCCCAGATTACCGCGCAAGCGAAGTATAGGCACGCGCCTATAGGGGTCACAAAAATCACAGAAAACCGCATGAAAAAAAAAAAAACGCGCAAGCTCGGTGGTCGAAAACGTGAAAATGTCTCGGTGAAATTAAAGAGTACCGCGCACAAACTCGACAGCTCCACTTTTTCAAACTGTTCGGGAAACGAAAAAAATGTTTTAAATTTATGGAGTCGTCTGGTCTCTCGTCCAATATTTTTAGTTCGTCTTTTTTTTTTTTATTAATTTTTATATTTCATTAACATTTATTCCGAATTTGTTCATTTACATCTAATAAAAGACATCATTCTTCAGACATAAAAAGAAAAGAAATTAATATTAAGATACTCGTATAGCTATTACAATAAAATTATCCGGAGTCATCTCGTTTTTTCGAACAAGACAACTCCAATTATGCGCGGAACCCTTCAATTGGAAAAAGAAAAAAAAATCAATATTTTAGACCTGAAACACGCATCGTAATGGTCAATTAATAATAGGTATTATAATAATGTACTCTGTAGTATGTTTCCCGCGCACAGTATTCAATCAAATCGATATTATGATTTTTCGCAATCGTACATTATAATTAGGTATAGGTACCAATATTCGAAACCGTATATTATCGCGATGAAAAACTCTAAAAGGAAAACGTGACCGTACGCGCGTGTATGTGAGACGGAGAGATGGAAAGTTGTAATCAAGAACGTCATGCGAAGAACCTTCAATATTATTACGGAAAAAAAAAAAAAAAAAAACACGATTTAACGAGATAAATAAAAATTCGAAAAAAACTCATCGCCGTCGTCGTCGTCGTCGTCGCGGCACGATCGGCTAGTTAAAACAGCGTAAAAAACGACGTCAACGTTTTCGTGCCCCGGCATATCATTTACACGCACGCGGCCGCAGCAGCTGGTACGGCGGTCAAAGCGCGAATATTGTAATTATTATTACCGTACGTCGGCGCTGCAGTACGATACTACGATACAATATTATAATACAGTGTGTACTGTACACCTAATAATTAAGATTGTATAGATAACGGATATGCTTTTATGTACGTGTATGTAATTTTTTTTTTTTTTTTTTAACGAAGCAATTACACAGTTCGCGCTATAAAATGAAAAACGGCTCTATTAGACGACGAACGCGCGTGTTATTATTAACCAGTATAACGAGCTATACATAATGTCTACGATACAGTGTAACAACAGGATGTTTATGGGATTTTAATAACCCGGACAACACCTTTTCGGTCTACGCTCTGTGTGCACAATACGCACGTTAGACGAATAATTATTATTGTTCAGACGTTTGCTCTCCCAAATTAATTCGGAACACAAAATATACGGTTTCGCTGTTATTATTTACGACTACTGTTTATTAGATTCCGAGCGTATCGAGGGAGCTATCGGTTTTACAATGCTGTTTATTCATTTTTTTTTCCCCCTTTGTTCTTTGTTCTAGTATTTAAACTTGTTCCGATTTTATTAATTTTTTTTTATAAATTATTATTTTTTTCTTAAACAATTACTACGAAAATATTCAATTTTATACATATTGTAATATAATATTTACAACGAAAAAAAAAAACGTTAAAAACATACACATTTGTTTACTATTAAAACCGTGTTTTAAACAAAAAAAACTATCTTTAGATTTTGGGCGTATCGAGGGAGCTATTAGTTTTACAATGCTGTTTATTTCTTTTCTTCTTTGTTCTTTGTTCTAGTCTGTGGACACGTTTTTTCCTAGCAAACTTGCTCCGATTTTTACGTGTAACACTTTTTTCTGATAGCTTAAGTTATCTAGATTGTACTTTAAAGAAGTCACTTTTTGATTTTCGTCGGCATTTTTTAATAAAAGTACTTGAGTGGAAAAAGCGTAAAAAAACGTACAATTTCATTATTTTATAAAAACACGGACGACGTTTTCTACCAGAAAAAATGATTTAATAAAAAAAATCACAAGATGACTTTTTTATTGCCTTTTTGATTTACTTTCTTACGGCACAATCGTTTGTAAAAAAAAAAATTGATTAATAATGTTTTTTCAATTATATTAAAACAAAACGTGCGTTATTTTTTTCTCAATAAGATACGACATTATCCACCAAGATACAATATGATCACCTCCGTACAAGACGAGACGATTACCAGGTGTGCCTGAAAACATGAGACGAGACTGGATGTTCAACACACCAATCTAGCAGCAATTCAACGGCTCGACAACTCTCAAGGCGTTAGGCGTTGGCCAAAGACCATATGACTTTATGTACGATTAGACTGAGGCTGGGGCCATTCCACTGGGTGTGAGAATCTACACATGTTTTTTTTTTATTGATACACAACAAGTATTCATGCACACCTTTAAAATGTATTGTTAATGGTCTTTGATCGTTATAATAAAACCTTTAGTAAAAGCTTTTATTAAAAAAAATTGCATATATGTTATGTATTTTATAAAAAAGTACGTATCCCTATGCTGTTTGATGTTATTTAGGGATAACGAAAAAAAAACAATTTATTCACTTCGACTCGCAGTTTTGTATTTATTCGAATTTTTTTAAAAAAAATATACTTTTTTTTTATTTGCCATATTATATATTATTCTAAAACCGTAGTTATTTTAATTTGTAAATACTTATTTGAGTTTCGGGTGTTTCGAGCGTATAAGACTTGTGCATGTGTGCGTGCAACATGTCAGAACATCAAGAGCAATAAATTTCGATCGGAATTTGCATGTATTATTTTTGAACAGTCAAAAAATATTAAACGCATGTAAGACAACATTTTATCGTAGAAAATATTTTCACGCTTTAGATATACGTATTATATACATTCATAAGCGAACGGTTTTAATTTTATTATGTTATAAAATAATTTTTTTTAACACGACGTTATACGTATAGTTTTAGTATACTCGTATCATATTAAATTGCACGCGGTTTTTCCGCCGGAAACTCGTGTCAATGCAGAGTGATTCGTTTATCCGTACAATCTTTTATGCGGCGTGCAGATCAAAAAATTAAAACGGCATATATTACAGTGCGTACGCAGAGGGGGAGGTTAGGGGTATATCAGCCCTCCCCATTGGCTCGAAATACAAAAAAAATATGAGTAATCTGATGTCGAAACGCATAGTGCAAAGTTACGAGGGAAAACTTGACATATCGATTAGAAATTGGCCTTTTTTAGGACCCGGCTTTTAAATTACCATTTCCCACAGTCAATATGGGCAGAGCAGACGGATTTATGATTTACTCGTGATTCTTATTGTTTGCTACATCCCCATTGATAATTCCTGGATACACCACTGTATATCAAAATAGATTACAAGCGGTTCCGTATACTATTTATAATTGAACGAATCCAAAAAAAAAAAAAAACAACCGAATTCGCTGGAATCCTCCGGGAAAATGACCGGTTCGCGATGAATACATTACCCCGTACATAATGTAACGATAAATAGCGAACGAATAAACAAACACGTATTTTTTATCATCGTATTGTTTATCAAAGTACGAGAAACGTCGTCGACGAGCCGGCGCGTGTGCGTACCCGTCATCGTCGACGTGTATACGTTACGTCAACAATATTATGGGTAATAACAATTTTCGTATTGTCCGTTCATACTCGGGATACCTATCTCATTATTGTATACGTTTTTGTTGTGATGACATTGGTTATTTGAATAAAAAAAATGAAAAAAAAAAAAAAAATCCTCGTAAAACGGCAGAGTAGTTTTTATTAATTACTTATCGAAAAATTACTATTACTTTACGCTACCATTGTAATAATATTTACCGATTTACACCAGTGTAAGGTCCGCGCCGCACGTTGCGGTTAAGACGCCGCATTGCTCGGCCGTGGGACACATTTTTCGTACAATATGTTATAATATTGTCAGGCCCGTCGCTAGGGTGCAAGCAAGCCGACAAGCCATGCGCTGCTTTAAGGCGGCATGCGATCTCTAATCAAATCGAAGCGGCGAAATGAAATTAATAATTGTCAAAGAATACCGGCATCAAAATGTTCGCTTTATGGCTGTAAATATCTATTACGGCCGACCTGAATATTATAATATTTATACAAATCCAGAGAACGCGGAAAATGTAATGTTTTTTTTCTCTACTGCGACTACAAACAATACACAGACGTGGCCGCACTGTGGATCTAAATAATCCCGGCGACTTTTTTTTGTAGTCCGTCCCCGGACAAAACGGTCACGCGCGTTATCGCTTTGGACCGCGAAAGGGTTACGAACAAAAAGGTTTTGAATTGTAGGATAAAAGAAACGCGGCGACACTATAGGCATATGGACACGTGTTTCGCAGAAGAGATAAGACGAGTTAGGACGCAATATAATACAATACTATTAATGCCATCGAATACTTGAATATAGTCATAAAAATCAACAATAATCGAAGGCTGCTCGGAAAGAGGAAGACCGCGAGCAGTGTGCGTATCCGAACCGCGAAGGACGTATAAAAAAATACAAGGGTCTAAAGCAGTGGTTCCCAACCTACGATTGGACCACCGCGGACCGCCGGTGGTCCTCCGGGCGATATTTACAAAATGTAATAAATTATCTATTTAACGTACGCGCTAAAAGATCACTTGCGTTTATGTATAATTGAAATTCCGTAATTTGGCGTGGCCCGAATGGATGACCGATAGTCGCTGGACTTTTTGTTTTTGTTTGTTTTACGCGAGGTCCGTGGCTGGCGTATTAAAAACGATCGTGGTGGTCCGAGGCACGCGGGAAAGTGCCCCGAGCGGTCTCCACGCGATTTTCAGAATCGGTTTTTCGTTAATGTTATTACGGCGTACCGATTTCTCAATACGCATCGCGTATTGAGTTTTTCATTATGGGCGGACACAGCGGTCCGTACAAGCCGCGTTGTATTACGTCGTTTTCGAAGCGTTTCCGGATAAAGTGTCAAACGGTTAAACTGCGTACCGACAGAAAAACAAAAAAAAAAAAAAGCGTACGACAACAATCGATTAATAATATACGCGCGCCGCTGCGTTGTTAAAAACGATAATGACGTACGGCGGTCGCGGTATCATAATGCTATGTTACGTACCAACGGGCAGCGGGCACAGAGAAGTCTATTGGAGCGTAGCCGTGGTATTGCGAACGTAATTTTACCGCCGTGCGCTATTACGGCGAGTAATAATATTGTTGTTATTTCGTAATATCAGTTTGATAAGCGGGAAACGTAAATATCGAATGTTATCGCAACGCACGCGCGTTTTACCGCGATAACAATTGATTGAACCGCGGTCGAAACTATTCAGGCGAAGTTAATTGAGAGTCTCGTGTATTGTATTATAGCGGGTACCCGGCCATTTTATTATTTTCGGTAATACGTTCAAAAATAGACGGTACTTTTTGAGCTGTACGGAAATGTCTGTCGCTTTTGTGTTCAGAGAAACAACGGGATAAAGTGATGTTTTCTCTTTCCTTTTTTTGTTTTTTTTTGTTTTTTTTTTTAACCGTCATTCACGAATTATTACCGAGAACATATTTGTAAAAGCGGACAATTTTAATACTAACAATCTCGCAGTAGGTATAGATCCAACGCGATTAAAAATAAATATCTATAATTAAAATAACCGAAATTTGTCGTCCGGTGCACGACTCGGCCGTTTAATATTATGTACAGTTCCTTTCGCTTCGTGGCAAATATTTTACGCGGTAATCCGTGTACCTATTTCGCTATAGTTTGAATAACCGAAACAACTTTTAACGGCGACGCATATTATCCGCACGAGTACAAATTTAAGTGTAATTACCGATCACGCGAAACTACCTCGTCGGTAATCGTTTTTCGAATTTTATTTATTACAGTAGGTAAATTTTATTGTGATTTTTTTCTTTTCCCCGCAAACACGTCCAATAGCATCGTTTAAGTTGTGCGGCAAACTTCGCGGACTTTCCGGATTTCGCGGAACAGTTCACGAGGTGCCAACTGATAAATAATAATAAAATTAAAGCGATAAACTTCGGTATTGAGTAAATATCGCTTAAAAGAATAAAAGATTTTTCATTGCAAAAAAAAAAAAAAAAGCCAACGGATTTTTATTACTATTTCTGTGTTTTTAAAACGGTCAAGTGCGGAAAAACGTTAAGAGGCGAAATAAAAGTTTCACCTCTGAAGTCTCCGTTACGCGAATCAAACCGTGCACTCGGAAAGCATTGTCTAATATCAATCGAAAAAAATATGCGTTTCGCATTGAAATCCGGGCCCCGGTAATACGGCAGGGGCGGCCAAACGCCGATCTCCCTTCGTTGGAATCCGGAGGATTCACTGGAGTCTCGACAAATGAAAAAGACATTTTGTTCAACCGCGCGTTTTAGTCGTGTTGTTTGTTTGCGCGTGTTCTAAACGCCTATCGGATGTCAGTTAATACGAGTGTTCTTTTTTTTCTTTTTTCTCGTTTCTCCGGCCGTACGACAGTCGACACCCCCAGAGGAAACCCGTACGCGCCGCGATAAATATACGGAATTTCGGCCGCCCCTGCCTGCGGACATAAGGCCACGCGGTCGCGGTAAAACACGGGAGATCGCCCGGCACCGCGCGCGCCACGCTCGTGTATCGTTATAATTATAATGATAATAATTATCGCGCGCCGCGGGGCCGGGACGACGATGGCCGCGATGACGCGTCGCCCGTTGTGTAATTAAAACGCTACGCGGCGACGCTCCGCTCCGGTACGCCGCGCTACACCGCGGCGTCGCGTACGCACGTCATTCCGTTCGCTGCCCGCGCAGCAGCACTACGGTATTCGTGTTCGTGTGACGTGTGCGAGCGGGCGCGTGGGGGAGCGAAAACGCGTCGTATTTCATTTTTAATTGGGCCGCGCGCTTGTGTGCGCGTTACGGACGCAGTGTATTATCGCGTGTGCGCGCGTAAAACGTACGACGTCGGCCCGCCGCGGTTTTGATATTGTAGACGAGAAAAAAAAAAATAAATAAAATTATTATAATGAAATTCCCCGCAGAACGGTTCTCCGTCGGGCCGCGCGCGGCGCTGCGCGCGGTACATTACTATCGTTATTAACATTATTGTGACGACCGGGAGGCGTGCCCGGGAATTTTCAACGGGAGGCCCGAAACAAACAAAAATCAGTCAGATCGTCTTCTCTGTAGCCCACTCGACTACGGGAATCGGTAATTCGAAAAAGCCGGATCCTAGAAGAAAAAAAAAAAAAAGGCCAATTTCTAATCAACGCGTCGAGCTGTTTCTCGGAAATCGACCGAAATGCATGAGTTTCGATATTAGATTACTCATATTTTGTTGTATTTTCAAGCGAACGGTGTGGGGATATAACCAACTAACTTCCCTCTCCCCCCCTCCCGGGCACGCTGCAGTACGGCGTATAAGGTATTTACGGCGGCGAGCGGGTCTTCGCGGTGGCTAGAAACGGAAAGGAGGGGTGGGGGGTAGGGTAAAAAACCCGAACGCGCGCGACGAACGAAAATATGACATTTTACACGCGAAGAAACTGCGCGTAGTTATTATACGTTTGTGTAGAACCACGATATTTTGGCAACCGCGCCGATGCCGGCCGGCGTGCCGTAATTTTTTTTAATAATATTCGTCGTTCGGTTTTCTTGGCACCAGGCCCGTCGCGGCGTCGTGCCTACCACGCGTCCATACCTGCTGAATGCCTCTCCCGGACGCGCACAACGTAATTACGTTGTTAAAGTTCAATATCGTGTCGGTTCGCCCGACCCGTTATTGTTTACGTACACAGTAACTGGTCGACGTGGCCCGGGGATTTCAACGTCCTCGAGAAACGGTCTTTTAAACGCCCTCCCCTTTCTCCTCCCCCCCCCGAAAACGAATACCCGACGAAAACTTTCGGTTTCACAAACGGTAGCGTGTTACGTTTGAACGGAGTAATGACGCACCGCAGCCGTTAATACGCCGAGGATATAAGATCGGGATCGTAAATTATTATTGAACGATCGGCAATCCGTATCGTATTAGACCGAATTTCAGGAAATCATAATAATTGCCCGAGAGCTGATGATATTATTTAAAACTACCCTAGGTCAACGCTTGAAAATCGTATAATATGTATCACAAAGGTTACTTGAAATTGTAGAAAAAAAATAAAGGCGAAAGAACACCCGAGGGCTACCCCGCCCCCCCCCCAACAATAATATTTTACCTAGAGTTGGAATTTTTCAAATAATAATAATTATGACAAATCGTAATAATATTATGTTGCATTTTAAAAACTATTTTTTAACAAAACGTTTAATACATTTTTTTAATATTAAACAGTACGTGTATGATTTTAAGCGCGCACAAGAATAACCTGGTATACGAGTTATACAATTTTATTTGACGCGTAGGTTGGTGAATTATATTTTATATTATGAAAAAAAATGTATATAATATTTGTACAATAATAATACGGTTACGGTTATCGTAATACCGCATCAGTTCAGAAATAATTAACGTTTTAATAACACACCGCGATTTCATTATTATATTATTCTACAATAATTAATCAAATATTTGATATTCCATTATATTGAATATATACATGGTTATTTATTTAATACTATGTTATATCGTTTGATTTTTTTAAAAGTCGATTATAAAATCCATTATTTAAATTGTTTATGCGTGAAACAAAAATATTATAATATCATATACTTCATATACCATCAGGCGATTTTTTTAGAAGGATTATTCCCGCAATTTTTTTTTTTCAAATTGAATATACAAATTAATTTCGATTTAAACGAATTAAACTCGATTCGCACTGTTTAGGTGTACCGGTGACTTTTTTTTTTACCGTTATTAGTGATATTACGGCTATTCCAATAAAAAAAAAAACATAGTGTACCTCGGCGTTGCCCAGCAATATCCGCACATTTAACATTTACAACACCTCATGTTATATATTTCCATTTTCTTTCGTTCGATTAAAGTTTTATTTTTTTCTGTATTCAAATTAACCATTCGGAAAATACAGTTTACATTCGAAACGCATATATGTATACATATGTATAGATGTATAGATGTAACTACTGTAAAAAAAAATTTACATACTACCCACCTTGTTTTATAGGACAATTCACAAAGAAATATACAAAATTATAATAGTCGTATTAATAACATGTATGTTTTAATGAGTCACGGTTAGGTTTTTCGTCTTGTTTAAAAACTGTACGGCGGATAAGAAGAAATAATATAGAATAATCAAAAGCGCCGGCCACGGTAATAGCTAGAGATTTTACGGTATACGCGATGATGGTTACCCGAAAGGCCAAACGTCATTTCCTCTCGCTGCAACCATCACGAATCGACCGTTATCGAGAAAGACGCTTTAATTAGTATTGATTTATCAATTATAACTATTAAACGTTGAACGAGAACGCAAAATCAAACCTTCATCGCAAAGACGTTGTGTGTTTTAGATTGTGGTTTCACTATATTTTTTTTTCTCTCCTACCAGAAATATTGTTCCAATCAACAACTTTATAGGGACTTTCCGGTAGCGTTTGGGCGTATTCAGTGGGTCGTTTTTTTTTAATTTTTCTCGTAGTCTTCCTAATAATCGGAAAAAACAAGAAATTATCGGTTGATTTCGTGAGGTGTTTGTTTGATCGACAACAAGAGAAAAACACGATTAATACTCAAGCCTAGATTAAGACATTTAGAGGCCCCAGGGCCAAACGTTTCAACGGATCTCTCATTGAAAGTCTAATAACATACTTATCAATATGTTTTAACAAAAGAAAAAAAAAAGAAATATTATAGACTTTATATAGATCTTTGTTCAAAAACCGCAAGTATTATTTAAATAAAAAAATGTATTATTTTTAACAACATTCCTAGTAGTTTCTACTATATAACAATAATACAAATAAGTTATCATCAGGCAACGAAATCATATTATAATATCAAAGTTAACGGTTTAATGCGTACCTACATAAAGAACGTACTGTGTCAAAAACCGAGGCCCCGGGAGTCTGGTGGCCCGGGGGCGGAGCACGGCCATCCCTGGACCCCTCCTTCAACCGGATTTGCATTAATACTACTGCGCTCTGAATCATTTTTTTTTTGTTTGCAACATTTTATAATGGTTTGTCGGTAAATATAAATCGAATTACCATCATGTACATCCCTATATATGTATACCAGCCAATAAAAGTTGAGGCCTACCCGCGAGCGCAGTGTATGAACTTTTTTTTCTTACTTAAAAACCGTATATATCGCGTGCGCCTCCGACAACAAATACTGTTATTTTCTAAAAAAAAAAAAAAAAATATATTATACCGACGGAAAGTGCGATGCGGTTTCTATTATATTTCTTTATCGTTCTGCGAGATCGCGGTCATGATGCTGCGGTCTCGCACGTGGAAAATAAAGGCGCGATATCACGATCGCGTATTTTATACGTGTGAAAATAACACTTATAATAATATATTACAATAACGGTTAGGAGATGCGATGATTGGTGACGAGTATACGCGTGTCACAGAGTCTCTTATTTTTCTTCCTGACACAATTCTTAATAAGGCGATAACTGCGCGCGTGTCGTCCGGTAGAAATTTAAATTCTGACGCGGATTTTCACACAATAATATTTATTGTAGATGTATTCCATATAATATATTATATATATATTGTATATTAGGTGCTCATTGAAGATAGAAAAAAAACGAAATGTTTTCAAATTTTAAAAAAATGATATTTTTTCGCGTCGGACCGCGGTAAACCTATAAGCACACGCGTTGACGCGTAAGTATTGCTGGCGAATTCGATCGACGATTATATTGTTATGTTTTCTGTCGGATTCGAAATATATCGAATACAAAACCAATTCGTTCGGCGGTGTTCAATCATTAAAAAAAAAAAAAAAAAAAAAAATCAAATCGTATTATATAATAATATATAGAGTAGTTATTATTATTGACATTGTTATTCTTTGATTTTCACGCATTTTTTAATAATTATTATTAACGTATCGCGATCGATTTATTACAGAGATGTGTATAATACGCCATTACTCATGCTATTATAATAATTCATACCGACTGCAGGCAATGAGAACACGTATTTATTATACAATTTTTAAATTATTTATAATATAATATTATAATCCGGAAAATGTATATAACAATCTGATCAACGATTATAGCGAATAATAATAAAAAAAAAATTATCGATTTTAATGATTTTTAGTCTGATAAAATAAAACTATATTTTGTATTAAAATTGTGCGACAGATTACATATTTGCCCTAAACTGAATGATATTTTTGTTGAATAATAATAAAACGTTCAGTTACGTTTCGCTTTATACAATAGTCGATAAATATTAACTCCGAAATTAGAATTATCAATGAACCATGAACATAAGGAAACATTGTGGCCCATAAAATATAATAATATAGACTGATTTAAATACACCCGAACCGTTCTATTTTTATTGGTTTTTTTTTTTTTTTTTTACAATTTTTTTTCATTTCTGTCTTTGTCTACACACGCTGCGGGATTCTGCAGCCTGCATGGAAATAATTTCTGACAAAATAAACTCCTGAGTCGTTTTAACTAAACATTTAATATGGAAAGGAATTTCGCAACGGTTATATCATTTTCGAAAAAATATACAAAAGGATATAAATAAAAAAAAAAAAAAAAACCACTCGTGTTTTCGTGTAAAACTAACAACCATTGCTTCCGCTCGTTATTATTCCGCAGAATCTGAAATTACATCAGCTACACTAGAATGTATATTGCGTGTATAAACGTTTTAAAATTAAACTATTAGAAGAAAAATGTATAATTAATTCGTGCGATTGGAAATGCGACTCACGACTCGAAAACTATACATTAACCGTCCATAACGAGAAACTGCTGCAGCGAATGCAGTCGTCGTCGGTACACGTTAACGGTTCCCGTATATAATATCGTTGCTATTCGACGACGTACTGCAGTCGGAATATAATGCGTTTTATCGGAGATATTTAAATATAAGTAATGTATAAAAAAAAAAAAAAAAAAAAAAAAATGATAATAATAATCGAAACCCGAGCGAGCCGACAAAACGGGCGGGCGGACCGAAGTGGAAATATCGAGCATCCTATATGCATTATATATTATTATATTATTATGTTATTATATATATATATATATATATATATATATATAAGCGGGATTAGGTGGGAGAAAAATAAACTGGTAAGAAAAAAAAAAGAAAAACAGCACGGAGGAACAACATTCCATCAAATATATTATATATAGCCTTGCGACCGCGGTGGCGACAACGTCTTCGACTCAATACATTAAAATAATTCGTTAAATCGACAATCTGGTTTTTTATTATTTTTTTTTTTTTTTTTTTTTTTTTTTTTGTACACATTATATACCTATACTTTGTTCCGTTCCCAACGGCCTCTCATTTGAATTCGGTTTTATAATACTATATTGTGTGCGGCGAATAAGTCAAGCGAAATCGCCGTGGCCTAAATGGTTTTTTTTTTCCGATATCAAACGCGTTAAGAACCGAGTTCACAATATTATTATGTATGCTGAAATCACGCGTACAATTTAAAGCGAGAATATATGTGTTTTCAGAAACCCGAGGGTACTGCAATAAGGGATTATATACCGGTGCAGACCGGAGTCAGTTCCGTAGTCACGGGGAGGGGTGCAAGAGGGCCATTGTCCTCTCCCGGACCTAATCGTTGCCCCCCGACAAGTATTAAATGTGTATACGTAGTTGTATGTTTTTTTTTCCAATGTCCCGTCTAAAATTTGGTTTCTCCCTCCGACGATTTGGTCTGGCTATACGAGCCTGACGGGAGTGCCACTGTTTGCAGACGGAAAGTCGGGAAGAATGGATACGCTGCAGCAGAGTTATTAAATTTACATGGTCTGTACCTATACGCAATGATAAAACGTTATTTACGAAAAACGATTCTGAGCGAAGTTCGGTTGAGTAATTCTTTGAAACGATATTACAACAAAACGTATATTAATTCATGAATAATTGTATAGTAAAACAGCAGCGCCACCCGAATTACCCCATCTATATCGCACTTCGCTATACCCAAAATGTCACGATTCGAACACTTTAAATGTCACGTTGATAAAAGTAGACTAGAGTATTCTGTGAAAATTTCGAACCTACAATTAGTTTTAATCGAATTCCATTAAAAAAAAAAAAAAAAATGAAACCGTTATCGTCGTACATATTTTGTCCGCGTTTTTTCACGGAGTTTCTGAATTAATAAGAAAACTACGAGGAGAATCAAAAAATGACTGCAACAATTATTAGGAGGGAAATATTGAATTGGAAAATTGTGTCGTATTGTATAACGATCAATTTGTATGCATTTTCGTAAGTAATGTACAATTTTAGGTGTACCTAGATAATTGATTTATTATTGATTTACGCTATTCATAGATACTATAACATAACTTCCTTTACATTGTAGCGGTTTGAATATAATAAATAGGTTTCGTTTCAAACATTAAAATGTAGGTATACGTTCGGAGTTTTTTGATAAATTAACATTATTAACTATACGATAGGTACCAACACATCAAATTTTTGTTTTTTCCATCCGAAATGTAAATAATTTTGTATTCAATAACAGGCAGTCTTGCGACCAATAGATTGATTCAAGGGGGTGACATAATATTATCCGATTATAGGAAAACGCGTCGTAAAATTGAAAAACAATTAAAATAAACTTTCCGACAGACCGTAAAAATACAATATATACGTATAAGAAGAGGTAGGTATATATAATAACCAATATAATGTAATAAAAAAAAAAAAACAAAAAAAAACGGTTGTCAATATTCCGTATAGCACGCGATGCCCGGCCGCAGCAGCGGTGTACCATAGGTATCGGATCAAGAGACGTGCGCAGTGTATTATGTTATATACTATCGTAAGTCTCCCGCTGATTTTTGTTAAAGCTTTCTACATAATGTCGGTATTTTTATTTTTATTCTTCATATTGTTGTGTACGCGTGTATGATAATATTATACGCGTGTATACTGAACCGCCGTACATGACCCAGTATTCCGCCGGAGCGTAGGCGTGGCTTATATTATTAAAATTATACGTAATATATGTATAGTATAGGTACATATAGGTATTGTAAGGTATGGACCGCGTGGCAGAGATGACCGGAGATAAGGTTTTTTTTTTTTTTTACGAGACCACCGAGTGTCCGCAGGTCGCGCGGTGCGTGTATAATAACACACGTAGTGTAGAATGAACGGTCTTTATAATATTATTGTACGTGTATACGCTCGGAGAGCGAATCGAGAATCTTATCGAGACGCATCATCAACGTGCGAAAAATAAGAAATTCACGAGTGTATAACACTCATGTTATACCTACCTATGTGTATATATATATATATTATACCCGAGACTCGCGGCCGTAAGTTTTCGGTGACGAATCGCCCCGGAATGCCAGTTTTACAACAATAATAAAAATATTAAAAAAAAAAAATAGTGAATATTATGTCGTTAAAGAAACGGGATAATAAGACGGCAAATAATTATAACAACGTAGAAAATGTATAGGTACACCCGCGGAACTCAACAGCAACAAATAATATCGAATGGACGACACGGATCGAATAATAAGAAATTGACGAAAACACATTGTTCACGTGTCATATATCTAAACATGCAGTATATTACGTCGTGCGTTGTTTAGGCCTAAATTTGTCCGTCCCTATAATTATAATATTATAATCCGAGTACTCGTCGTTCGTTGAGTTTACACAAAGATACGCGCGATAATATATACGACTACGAAATATGTATAGGGGAATATAGGCAGGCGCTGCGAGTTGGCCCACTGATGCTGCAGCAGTATACTTGTTTGACGGACAGGACAATCAATTTTCGTTTCGTCAACCGGTCCTGACGGATATTGCGTCACGAAAGACGGCCGTGTAAGTTTATACGTGTATGGCCGCTTTTTGCAGTGGGTATATAGCAGTGTATTGCTAAAAGACAATGATTTTTTATTATTCATCAAAAAGAACTATAGTTATAATAGTCGGGTATCACCTATGCACATAAAATGAGCTGGTCTAAAAGTGGAACAAAACTTGTAGTTCTTAAACAAATAAAAAAAAAAAAAAAAAAAAAAACGAATTTCGAACAATGAAACAGATCGTCTCGGTGTACCCGGACGATGCACCTATATTATGTTTGAAAACAATTTAAATTCTAGAAAAATTGGATTATTAAAAAAAAAAAAATTGAAAAAATACAAATCCAAGAGAAATCAACATGTTATACGATAGTGTTCTGCATAATTAATAAAAGTTTTATTTAAAATGAGTTACGATTTTTACGATAACTGTTGTTAGTAAAACTGATTATTCAACGTGACACTGAATTTAATTAATTTATCCAACGGTCAGTGCGTGCATCAAAATGTTTCTAATGAACTAATAATTTATTCAAATAACAAATAGGTACGTGCGGTGAATTATATTGATTGTTCTGTCTTGATTACGCCTTTAGTTACAATTTAAATTATTATTTGAAATTCACAATATTTCTTCATAAATTATTATAACGCGGTATTAGTCTATAAAAAAACCAGGTAACGTTTTTAAAACCGCTAGAAGAAAATGACTATTCTGCGGTTTGTTCGGTCTTTATGACTATTTCGCTCAAAATTAATTCTCCAGCTGTTTATCCATTTTAGCTGGATTATTCACTATGGGCTATCTACCAAAGCTCTCACATTCTTTCTAGCTGCATCCATCCACCTTATTTTCGATTATTCCGACGCCTTATGGCGTTCTGTTTCAACATTGCTTTAACAGTACAAGGTTTTTGACTAGTACACGCGTGTCCAACCAGAAGAAAGCCAGAAGAAAATAAATACGTTTTAAAGTGCTATACGAATATTTAAATAGTAATAATAATAACAATAACGATCGTTACTGCAGTTGAAATATTCTACAATTATTGTTCACGTGGAAACTATAATAATATTTTTGCCAATATTATTGTAATCGAAGAAACGATTTGGCGTACTCACATATTGTATAATATAAACGTATACACGGGTAAATCGAAAGTCGCGAGCAGAAAAAAAGAAAAAGAAAATGACAGTTATAAAAGAAAAAAAATAATAATAATAAAGTCTAAAAAGATAGTGAAACAAAAAGCTAACGATTGAACGCATTAGCTTTTTTTTTTACCTATCCGTACGACACATTTGATTTCCTAAGTTCGTAAAAAAAAAAAAGCAAAAATGTAAACGTCGTCGCAAAGACAATAGAATATTGTATACGAATCGCAGGGGCGGAACGTAAAACCGATGTCCGGATGTTTAATGGACAATATGAATCCCAGATAATAATACTATGACTGCTGCTGTTGCGGAATCGTCATCCCGAGGCCGAGAAGTCGGAGATTATCGTCTATAATAATATATAGGTATTAATATCGACACATTAAATTCGCATTACCCGGCAGTCGCGGTTTTTCACATCACAGCGCGCGGAAGAGAAAAATATCCAATAAAAAACGTTCCGTGTTTGCCGTGCCATTTGTCGCGTATCTGGTACGCACGGCGGCGGCGGCGGGCGATTAAAATCCCATTTAGACCCGGAGACTTAGAGAGAGCTTATTGCTTTCCGCCCAAAAACAATCCCCCTTTAAAAACCCCTTCCCCGTGCCAACTCTAGCACACACACACACACACACACACACACGCACACATACACACACCCCGGGACGCGTGTATATATATATATATATATATACATATAATGTATACACCCCCTCGGATACGTGTGCTGTATATGCTGTATACACACATTACACACACTGCATACACTGTATACACAGTTGTGAGATTTTTTCCTTTTTTTTTTTTCTTTTCATTCATTTATACACGTTACACTTGTCCTAATGCGAAATCGATAATGTCCCTTTTGGTATTAGATATTATATATTATATAGGCTCTCGTCCCTGCACCGAAATCGTCCACGTTTATGAAATCTATACCCGAATACATATAATATTATGTAAACCCAAAGTCCAAAACGGCGAACCCTGTATTATGGTGGACCACCGCCACCGCACCGTCACCGTCGAGTGTGTAATCGCTCGATTAAACTGCGTGTGTACAATGTACACTACAGCACACAGCTAATATGTTATAATATTATTGTATTCAATTTTCCCGAACGTTAATAAACATCGGAAACAATTATTTCTATAAAGTAATAGTTTTACATGATATGCTGCACGGTAACCCTTTTTTTGTTCTAAAGATTATCTCTACTGCCCACCTTCCCCCCCTCCCAAAAAAGTTCCATTTCCTTAAATGAATGTCGTAAGTATAGGTATAGCGTAAAAATTTCTCCGATTTTAAAATGTCTGAAACAATGTACGATAAGACACGATTATATGAGTTTCCGCAGGTAAACAAGTCACGACGAATACGTAAATTTGAATTGTCTACAAATCTGAAATTTACATTTACCTAATTTTAACTTCAGCCACTTCCTACAACCCGAATCCGGGTTCTATTGCTTTCCAGTCGGATTAAGCCCGTTATATCGTATAATAGTTTTATTTATTATTTTTTTTTTAGTAAAAATACACTACATCTGGAAAATATACAGTTGGTATACAGCGCGTACTCGCGAATAGTTTAAAAAAAAAAATCGTCATAATATTATATGATCGTTGCTTGTTCATACCGATTATACTGTAATCCATTTGTACAACTCGTATTCATTTCAGTAATTACCTATAACGAAAAAATTCACTATTTTCTTACGATTTAAAATATAGGTTTTTTTTTTTTAAAAAAAAAGCGTTGAACGTTTTGTTTCGGTAATTCGTATTTAATGTTTGTACAATTCGTGATATCTATTTGACTGCAGTATGAACAGCACAAATCGCAAAAAAATTATAAAACGTCTCGCGCGAGAGATATCATGCGTATAGTACTTTCGAAAGAAAAAAAAAATACGAGAACACCGCTGGTGCCTGACTGCGTACCGGCGTTATTATGTTAAATTGTAATTGTAATCATCGCTTAACGATCGATAGTCCGAGTTTGAGCGGAATAGTAAAAAAAATAAGAACTAAAAACCGACCGTGGCCCCTTATCGCTATTGACACAGGGCGGTCTGGTATGGGTCTGTCACACAATAATAATATTATTATGATATCGCCGCCGCCGCGATATTTTTCCCACAGTCGGAGCCGCAAAGTTATAAAACGATTTCACCGCGCGATCGCGATCCCGGCTCGCCTACGGTATACCTATACACCGACACAATATCATATAGGTACATGTATGTAAAAAAAAAAAAAAAAATAGATGACGCCGCGTGTCATTATTAATTGATCGACAAGGCCGACCGACCGATCGTGTTGTGTAAATAATCTATAATAATAATAATAAAGTTATCAATCCATATCGGGGGAACGGACTATCATCGTCGTACCTACCGGTTATCTGCAACGGCGGACGCACGCTAAGTTATAAGGACATCATCGTCGTACTACAATACTACAGCGTGTGTACAGCTCCGACGGCGATATTATTTAATACGACTCTTTGTCAATATACAGAGACGCGTATAGTATACGAACATAATATAGCGAAACACGGCGTATATACAAATATATATATATATATGTATAGTAATTTATACGGGTATGACATTAATACTTATATATTATATATATATATATACTTACCTAACTACACTTAAGTTCCCCCCTCCATTCCCACCTCCCCGTGAAATAAAACCGAACCGAAAGATTCGTGTTTAAATCGTTCGAAAATTTCACGTTGCTATATCATTGTAGGTACATCAAATACTGATATATATAAACATATAAATACCCGCACGAATATTCATAATCCGTATATTTGCAGTGCGCAGCGTTACTAAACTCCTCGGTAAAGTTCGAAGGTAATCGAGATAAACGTACGGTTCAGTAGAATGCGTTTACGCGCACAACGAATGCCAGAGGTCAACTCCGACGGAGAATATTCGAAAATAATAATAGTTTTTATACCAATAGCTGCGGGTACACGACTGCACCGGTTTAGTTAATTAAACGGTTTGTTGTGGTCCTCGTGCATCGCGCATAAACGCTAACAAACTCCAATTACATTCGATATTTTGTACAGGTGCATAGTGCGCGATGTAAACGTCCCGCGGAGAGGCTTTTTTTTAACGAAAAATTACGAACCGTTCGAAGCGTAACGATATTATTGTATGTTCTGTAACGAAAAACACGTATGATACGATAATTTTTCGTTTTGAAAATAAAAGTTGTACGTCTTTGATATTATAATAATATTTATAGGTACCTAAATAACGGTCGACGAAACAAATCTGCATACATTTCGTTTAATTTTTGTTGAAAAGTCACACACGCGGATTTATTTTCGTAAGACTCGCGGAGGGGCAGGGACTCTTGTAACGGCGATGAAAAGTTTGCAAAGTTTTGGCCGTAAGTCGTTTCGCGTTAAGCTCGGGGTATTATATAGCGCAGAGAGAGAGAGAGAGAGAGAGCGAGAGCGAGAGAGAGAGAGAGAGAGAGAAAGAGAGAGACGTGTTTAAGATTTTGGCAAACCTTTTCGGTGCAATACGTCTGCGGCTTATGCCGCTACTATATTATACTACATTACTTATATATAATACACGAAATATTTAACTTAACGATGGTTAAAGGTATAGCGGCGGCGGTGTGCACGGCGCAACAGTGAAACGACGTCTGCGGAATGGAATATAAAATACTCGGTTTTTTGATGATGGAATTTCGGATGGCGCGCGCATCATAAAAGCTGTACGGTATTAAACAATGATAATTCGTTTACCGAGTGAATTTTTGTCCAGAGGCGAAATCGTTTCAAGGTGCGAAAAATGCGAGAGAATAAAATATCACCAAGGGTGTAATGATATTTCGTTCCGGCGAGCGAATTGCGGATTTTAAAATTGACTTAAAAAGTCGAAAGAGCTGTTCGAAACGAGTAGAGGGAATAATATTGGAACTCGGAACGCGATATAAGTATCGTAGTACCCATATGTACTTACAGGTTTTATTACGCGTAAAATGAGCGTGTGCCGTGTATTTCGATCACTAAGTTGTGCGATAATTATAGTAAAAAAGTCGGAAATTAAGTTACTTTTTTTCGGTAACTTTTAATTCGACTATAGTTGTAAAAGTGAAATAAAATGTTTGAAAATAACTTATAGTTATTAACCAATTCGTTTGTAAAAAAAAGCCGTGAACTGTTCTTAACTTATTATATGTACACAATACCATAACTGAGATTTATTTTCATGCAAAATACGTTCAATAGTGTATATAAGAGAAATTGAGACATTTAAAATGTAGTCTATAATTTAACTCGAGTTATTATTATTTAAGCTATAATCGCTTTATGTTTTAAAATTAACTTTCAGCTTGGTCATTTCACCGGTCAAAAAAAAACCGGCGTATACTGCATACTTATGTGCAGTTATACAAAAATATTCGATTGACTATATAGTATGCCCAGCTTTGTAGTCTATATAAGTACAGATTTGATTCGATTCTCGGTGACGGGGAATTGTTTACAAATACAATTTCGCGGAAAAACACTAACGTATGGTATATTATCGACTGAGAGCCGTTTTTTTTTTTTTTTTTTTTTGTCTAGATCTATATTGACGCGTGAAATGTCGTCCGCATACATGCGGTATGTATAATGTTTCGTAATAAAAAAAAAAAAAAAAAGAGTTAAAAATGATTTCATCGCGCGAGTGTAACAAAAATACCATACCTATACATTTACTATTACTATACTATTATACATCTGTAAGTCGTTAAAGGAACAATTTTTTTTCCCCGGACTTGGGAGTTAGTTACCGGGAATTTCGCGATTAAATTCACATATATTCGTGCATAAAAATTACGGCTACATTATGTACCCTTTCCGATAGGCGATTATGTTCCTTTCTATAACCGCAGTGTCAACTATATTACAGACACACTCTATCGTACCCATAACATCCAGCAGCTATACAGCATCAGTGAGCGCGCGCGCGCGCGCGTGTGTGTGTTGGTACTTTTTTCGTATTCCATTGTCGAAGTGAATCGTATTATTATTATTATTATTATTACCTACCTACCTATACACTCTCGGTCACGTTCTTTGCCCAACACGAATGTCAACCGGTACAGTTGCCCGCTCACGGCCCGGCCGCCGCCGCAAACGCCGCGAGCAGCCGCCAGGACCGCAAACACCGCCGTCGGGCGCATCACCGGTTAGGCAAATTCGCCTGTTTATACGAGCGTGTGTTTTTTCGTTAAATATTTTATTATATGTACCTGTACGTTACGAATATCGTTATGCGCGTTTTAACCTATAAAGTGTGTACAATACACGTTTTCTACGGTGTAAACCCGCGCGCAATAATAACAGGACCTCAGTAAAAACTACAGTGTTTCCCCTTACGTATTTATTAAAAAAAAAAAAAAAAACTCCGACGATTACAACGTATGACTCGCAGTGCTCTCGGATAAATATCCATATCGAAAAATAAAGGTTTCGTCACGAAAGGGTATGCATAGATTTGAAAGAAGTTACGCAAAATCCTTACCGCCGTGTTAGTTCACGTCGCTAATTCGATTTTACGAAAATGTTATTGAAATTGTAAAGTCGTTGCTCAGAAATTGCCAGGTATTTGGTTGTTTACGCCTAGGTTAAATTTTTAGCCTTTTTACGATAGCTATACCGAAGTATTTACGTATGGACATTTCAAGTGTTTCTCAAGAATATTACACACAAATGTAAAAACCCAAAGCAAAATCTGTGCGTGGGTTGAGTTCCCCCCTGTAGATTTTCCGTACGTTTATGTACGACGTGTTAACGGATTAACAACAAACCGTACGATTGAACGGCACAATTGAAAATCGTATTATCCCTACTCTGGATTTTTGAAGGTGGACATGGGACATCTTTGGCGGTGCATACTCGGGCAATTAAAACATTAAAATGTATTATTATAATAATACACACGGAGCGTGTCGTTCGTCACGTCGACGGCGTAGTTAAAATAGCGACTCTACAGGACCTATAATATTGCGTTATACCCGCCCAACGAATAGTTTTACCAACGACTTTGAGCGGATATTAATTAAGCGAAATCAAGTGGACGGGAGGCCGGAGACGTGTACGTGTCGTTTGTTCAAACGATCCGATACGAAAGAGCGAATGGGAGGCCTCCTCCTATCTCCCGTGGAGACTCGTGACACAATGTCGCCGTTATTGTTTTTGCCGTTATCGCGCGCTTTATAAAACCCGTTGCCGTACAAACGACGTGCGAAATTTCGCGCGTGAAAATTTCGGCGAAATTCGCCGTTGGGTGGACGTTGTAGGGCCGAGGACGCGGACGTTTGATATTATTGTCGGCGTGTTAAACGTCCGAACGGGGTCGGGGGGAGGGCGCTGCGGCGGTGTCGGGAAACGCGGTAAATCAATTTTCGTTTTTGTGAATGGAACCGGCCGCGTCTGTACGCTACACGCCGGCCGTTATAACATAATACGGTGTACCGTACAATAATAATACAAGCATAATAGCGCGAGAGGAACGATAATAAAGATTTTCGCCGCGAAGTAGCGGCGGCGGTGTCGTCGTATATAACGCGTACGAGGCGCGGGCGCGTAAAGAGATAGAAAGAGAGAGCGAAAATTATTAAGTTAACGACGTGTAAACACGGGTTTTTATTGACGGTAATTGGTCGGAGCGCCGAGGCAAAAATATGGTCGAAACCAGGTCGTAAAACAGTCTCTCCGCGTGTGTGTGTGTGTGTGTGTGTGTGCAGCGCGCGCCGACCTAAAGTGCCGAGGAGCGTGCCGCCGGTTTGCTCGGGAGCGCGCGCAAGCATAATACGCGTACACGGACGGGCGTGTGCGTGTGTGCGTGTGTGCGTGTGATAAAATCACATACACTCCCCCTTATTGTATATTTTATACATAAATTAGGCATGTTTATGATGCGGTTTTTTTTTTCTCTCTCTCTCTCTCTCTCTCTCGAAAATCTCTTTACTACCGACGACGACGACGACGACGGGCAGCAACAGCAGCAACGGCCTATATTATACGACCGTGCCGGCGACGACGTGATTTTATTCAGCCGCACGCGTTTTTTTTTTTTTTCTTTTCTCTACTATACACACGATTATAATATTTACGGTGTCGTCGCGTATTATTATTATTATTATTATTATTATCATTATACGTTTTAAACGAGTAACATTATTTAATATAATATGCTGTGTATATTACATCGCGCGTACCCATTATTTTCGAGGAGCGCGCGCGTCGAATTGAGCCATTATACGACGGAGGATAGAGAGAGAAGAAAAAATAAAAATAAAAATAATAATACGCGGTCGTAAATACTCGGCTAGCTACCGATACGAAAAATACGATGATAATATATGCCGGCGCGTTATTATTATTGTTTTTATAAGAGAGCGTTTTTCTCCCTCGCCTTTGACGCCGCCGCCGCCGCAGTCGTTTATGAGATACGCACGGTAATTAACCGGGCGCGCGTGATTGAAACCGTTAATGTTTCATAATGATCTCTCGTGTAAAAATAACATCATCGGATATATTATACGCGCGACAACGTGATTTTTTGGTCGCCCTTTATTTTTCTTTTCGTTTTTCGCCCACACGCATACGCGTATACGATATCGTCCGCGTTTTTCAACCGCACGTTCCCCTCCCGTCATATACGTATATACGTACACAAGACGTACGTTATAGTTTTTCAATTGAAATTAGTTGGTATTTTTTCCCGCGAAACTACATCGTACCCGCGCGCACTGCCGCGCGGTCTCTATTACAATATCTATAATACGACGACTATGCATACATTATAAACATAACGATAACAATTAACGGGTATCGCTATGTTATCGGTATGAATATACTCGACATATTTTCGGTCCCGGGGAGAAAAAAAAAACAAAACAAAACGGTTCGATTCGCTATATAGTTGCACAATGCACTTACGTAATTTCTGTACTTGAAAAAAATTACAAAATAATTATTACTTCTAACATAATGCCGTGCCGAATAATTTTCCTAATGTTTACCAACAAATTTATCATATTTACGATACGTGTGTACACAATGACAATAGATAAAACGAAAATCATTATTGTTCGAGTTCTAAACACATTTCGTAATATTTTTAATATCCAAACTTTCAAGGCGCTCCTATCATAATATCTGAGCCCTTTAGTAGGGCGTCGCCCTGTTCGCCGACCAACTCCGTTCCATTGGCAATTGCGACACTACAGACTAAAAATACACAATACAGAACATCAAATATCGTAGGTACTGAATACAATTATTGAAAAATGTGTTCTTCTTGCGGTAAATTTCAGACGTAAGTGTATTATTTTTTTCATTTTTTTTTAACCAGCTGATGAGCCCGTGAGCTACAGATGATCGGCTATATTATGTTCCCTATACAGTTTCAATTCGTATTGGAATTGTTACTCGGTAATCTTACTATACTTATGAGATACCATCGAAACATTTGCATTTTGTTTGTTTCGTAATTCATATAAAACATGTTTGTAGTATTTGTTGCATCTGCGATTAATTACAATATACTTAGTGCACATTGAAGATTGAATGTTTGTCGAATTTTGTATAATACATGGAGTTTTTCAAGGATCTATGTCGACGGGGATAAAATAAAAATGTTAAAACGAACACTATTTCGATTTTAATTTACTGATTTTATACCGAGGCGAGTTTTTATTTATGAACGTTGGTGAATACGAGTATGCAACGTTTAAATACGATTTTATTTTTTCTATTTAAATAATATCGAGCAAGCATTACTACCGATAATAAACTGAAGTGTTTAATACATTTGAAATTATAGGCCATTTAAAAATGATAAGCCGCCTATATCTCCAGTACCGTAGACAAGAGGGCGGGCATTGGGAACACGTGCTCGTCTGAAATATTTCGTTTTATTGGCGATTTCGTATGTATTTCATCATTCCGAAAAAAGTAGGCATAATAACGAAAAAACACATAAGTGAACTCATCCCTCCCCCCTTCGAAATTAGTTCTTGGCTACGAAAATAATACCAAGCAGTCCGTTTTCGCATTTCGTAGGGTAGTGGCACGGCTTATCACGGTATATTTTTTAACCATGATGTAACGATTTTGTAGAAGATAAACGATAATACTATACATCGTTTGTGTGTAACCCTGGACAAAACCGCGTCTTTTGGTCAACCCCACGAAATGGAAGGTAGGAGAATAATATAATGCCATAGACGCAAGTCAAGGGGCTACGGAGGCTCACCCCACAAAAGCGTCAAAATACTCGCTGAAACGTGTGTTTTAAATTATACGAAGCAAGAAAATTGTAGCAACTGGTTTCTCAAATTTTCCCCGATTTTGTAAAATTACTTTTAACATTTTAACAGCCATCGAATGTGTAAAAAGTTTTCCTATTACCCGATACCTGTCTAGGTGGAAGGTAGACGAAAACGAATTTTCGCGGGAAAAACTCACGCCTCATAAAATGTCCCGATTTTAAAAGTTTTTTTTTTTAAAACATATAAAACTCTAAATGTATTACAGATCTCATCGAACTCCAATTTTCGGTTAACTTGTATTCGCGAATGTTTTACAACGCATAATATAGATTCTCGGATTTGAATTTTTCGGAATTCCTAAATAAAGGTCGCTCATCTTCCGAATCATAATAATAATATTAAAAAATCTAACTATCCTACAAGGTGTGAAAATTTTTCCCGCGGGACGTGTGTTTTTTTTTTAAATATAAGGCGGCTGCGGCTATTCCTATTTCCCCCTACCCCCCAAAAAAATAGGTCTCCACCAATAGACAAAAAAAATACGTTGAAGATTAATGTTGTTTTCTCGATATTAAAACTACTGAGTTGGATAGATATATTAGTTAATTTGCGAAGGATCGCCATATAAGGTTCATGGAATGGGAGGAGGAGGCTGAGGTTGGGGCCATTCGACTATTCGAACGTATTGTACTTATGAATAAACTGTATAAGGTATTGAGTACTTATATTCATACAACTAATAATAATTTTTTTATTTTATAAAAAAAAAAAAACACTCACCGAAAACACGTTGGTCCTTGTGCGTGTGCGTGTGCGGGATCACTTTCGAATTGCGCGAGCAGACGTATGAAAAGAAATTACGTGATTGTAATATATAATAATATTTTTGTGTTTTTGGCGACGCAAACAAAAAAAATAATAACAGAAAAAAATAAAATCAAAACAAAACAAATAATAAAATAAATGAAAAAAATCGGCGGAGATTTGAATTTAAGTGGTAAAAAAAATAATAATAAAAACGAATCAACAAAAGTCGAATACCGTACAACGGAAAACCGTGGCGGTTAAAATGTCGCAATCAAACAGTCGGTGTTTAGTGTGCATTGTTTTTTTTTTGTTAAATTTTCGATTTTAAAACGACGGAAAAACGAACGTCCCGGGCGCGTTTTCCGTCGGGCGTTTTTTGGCGGGCAGTCGTGGCGAAATCAAAACGAGTGTAATATTAGTGTTGTAAATAGAAATAGTTTAGGTAGCGTAAAAATAAACAAAAAAAAAAAACAAACAGATAATAGACTGCGATAACGGACGGGGGGAAATAATAATAAAAAAAAAAAATAATAATAATAAAAAATAACAACCAAAACAAATAATAAAAATCAAAATATATTTTTATAATACGCGGGAATTATATAGCGGCGCGATAATAATGACGACGACGGCGGCGATAATAATAATAACATAAAATACGCGCGCGCGACAACAAACACGACGGTCGACGGTCGTAATAATAAAAGCTATAAAGTGCGCGCGGGCCTGTGTGCTGCTGCTGCGAGCGCCGTGCGTGTGTTATGGGGGCTCCGAAAAGTTTGTCCTTACGATAATGGGACGCGAATCGAAGTGTTGGGCGGGAGAATGGTTTACGACGGTCTCTCGGAACTGATAGAGAGCCCGGCCCCCTGCGCTACCGCCCGCCCGCGAGGACCCCCGCCACCGCCCCTCCGACCGGTACCGCCGCCGCCGCGCCGGCAGGCAGTCGCGCATAAAGAATATGACCGGCCGGCCGCGGCGACGGCGGGAAAGGGGCGGCGGCGGCGGCGGCGGCGGCGGCGGCTGCGGCTGCGGCGGCGGGCGAGAGAGTACGGACGCCGGCGCCGACGGAGCGAGCAGCATACGGGTCGGTCGCGGGCTAGACGGAGACGCGACGACGACCGCGACACGCACACACGCGCGTTCGTACACGCACACGAGCGCGCGGACGCCGCGTACCGCGCGCCTCGTCCATCACCGCCGTCGCCGCCGCCGCCGCGCGCACAGACACAAGCGCACCACTACGTGTGCGCGGTGCTCGTATATCGTCCGCGCGCATTGCGCTTGTCCTACCGACGCGGCGGCGGCGGCGCGGCGGAGACTTACGACGACGTTTCCGCGGCCGCCGACGACCGACCGGCCGAACGCGAAGTCAATAAAGTCGCCGCCGCCGCCGCCGTCGTAATTTCCGCGCCGCGATCGCTTTTTACGCGCGACGACCGTCCGGGCATGTGTGGCCGCGGCTGCGACGAGCCTAAAATACGACGGAGACGCCGGACACGAAAACGACAACAGACGACAATAATCTCGCGATAAAAATGTTATAACGCGTCTCTCCGGGAAACTCCGGGGAACGGACACCGCGGGCCGCGTATTTTTAACGGAACCTCGTGTGCCGCCGACACCTGTTGCCCCGGCACTCGACGACCGCGACGACGACGCGCCGCCCAACACACACACACACACACACGCACGCACGCACGCATACTCGCGCGCGGGCCCGCGGTAGGATTTGGTAAATCGAGAACAATAATTTCGCACGTCGGTTTTTCCGTCACCAAAACAAAAACAAAGTAAATAACAATAACAATAATAACAGCAATAAAAAACACGGAGGCCGGTCCGCGAAAAAACGGAAATCGGTTTTTTTTTTTTTTTCAGTCGGTATACGACAGTTAGTATTCGGAATTACGTATGCACTCGCGTGTCGTTGTGATCGACCGTCCGATATTCAAACGGCACGGCCTTTCGTAAAGTCGAGTTTGGCGCAGGCCCGTCGTAAGATATTCTCCGCCGTAAAGCGAACATTTTGGTGCCGGTCTTTTTCGACGATTATCAATTTCGTCTTGATTTAAATTCTATGCCGCCCTAAAGCAACGCATGGCTCGTACAAACGCGTGTAAACCAAAGACCCCCCCTCCCCTCCGGAAAATTTGCTTATCGTCATTTCGGTTCCGCTAAGAATTCAACCAGAATCGCCCGGTTCATTTCCGGGGCCATAATCGGATCGAGGTTTAGAGACTATTTGCATACATTTTCAAGCGTTTTCTGCGTATTTTCCGTGATAGCCAAGGTTCGGATTTTATAGCATTTGTTAATTATTACACGGGATACAGATACAAATAGCGGAGTGGATTTTACACAGTTTTTGTTTAATGCGCCAGGGACTCCAAATACGAAATTGTATATTGATATTTTTTTGCATATTTCAAGTATTTTAGATTCGTAGTGCTATTTTTCAGTTGTTGGTGCTTCTTTTTGCCGCATAATATAATTGTTTATTTTGTATTTATCATAAATAGTAGACGAATCTTTCATTTATGCGAATCCATAAGAAAAATACCTACACTATTTCATTTTATATTGTAATTTTTTTTTTAGTAGCCCTGCGTATTGACTCATCGAACAGTTTACATTTATGACCGTATTTTCGATTGTATATTAAAAAATAAAAAAAAATACATTTTCTTCTTAGACATTTGTCATGTTTTTATGGCATACTATAGTTTATTGTGAATTTTTTCGAACGTGTTATAGTGCTTATTTTCAGATTTATTAGGTCATATTGTAGCGCATATTTCAGTTATAAAATCCGAGCTCTGGGGATAGCATAGTATTCGAATTTAGCCGAGCACAAAAACAAACCGCAAATCTTCGGGTCGGGATTTTTCAAAATCTATACAGTTGCATTTTAGTGTCCACCCGAAAATTCTCCGTTATATAATGCGAATTAACACGTCGAAATGGGACTCGAACACCGCACACACAAAGCATTTCTTCGGTATTGTTCGAGGAACACGATTAACGGCTTTTAGAAACCGATAAATACATTCGGGACTCGATTTGCCGACCATTGCCAAACGTCGGGCGACATAAAATTATTATTATAAATGTTCTAGAAGCATATAGAAAAAGTTCAACAAACGTTATCGGTCCACGGACGGAGTTGGGCAAAATTTCAAAACATCGGATTTTCATCATCGTACTCGTTTCTAGAAAGATTAATAATTTGACTTGCATTTTCAATATTCATTTTTTTCTGGTTTAGAAAATATTTCGAAAACGGTTTCGCGTCATTTGTACAGTCTATAATAATCTGTGTTTAATAAAGAAAATATATAAAGTCATTTTTATTTATTTTTTTTACCAACTAAAATCGATTATTACTTTACATATCTATTTGTTTAATTGATAAAATATTCCTCGCTTGTACAACACAAATTATCGTAAACTGTTCCGTTATATTAATGTGTACTGTGTACGCGATAATAAAGCCTACACATTTGTAATCCATTATCTTACTTGATTCATGAAACAAGTTTTTAGTTTATTCTTTGCTATAATTATTTAATATTTACAAACAATAATCTGCATTATTTATTAACGCCACTTTGTATCGTATCATTCAGTTTGTTAACTGCCTATACATTATTAGTATTACGGATTTTCAAAATCAATTTTTAAGGGATTTCGTCCATCTCCGGTTTTGGTTCGATGGCCGATGATAATAGTAAACGGCTATAATTGTGGTTCTGGTTTTTCTTTCGAAATTCACCGATAATATTATTATAACTGATGATGTAGACTGCATTTAGATATGTTTGTTATTTCGTTTTTAATTTGAATCAACTTTGAATTAATTTTCGCGGACTAACCTCAACTATATTATTATTATAATAACAACAAAAATTACACGATAAAACACTTGCGATAAATTACAAAGAGTCTTTGTTTTCGGGTTTCCTTTAACCTGCGACAAAATTAATATTCAAAAAGGACCAGTTCCTATGCGTTTTGTTTATTCCGACCGAAAACAAAGCCGTACAGAATTTATTTATACTGAGTATCTATGACAAAAAATAAAAACCAAATTCAATTACGTTTTACCCTGACGAATTTGTAAATAACGTTTTTATCATCGAAATAATTACATCGAAATTTTAAATCAAATTGCAGCGCGAAACCGAAACACACAATAATCCATCTTAATAGTATACAATACATCGTTTATGATACAATAAATTGAATTGTTCGTATATTATTAGAACGTTTGTTCGGGAATGAAATTGTACGACCATATTATAATGTACACAAATTGACTGGACTGTTTTTAAAAAGAGAATAACGCAACGTCAAGACGGAGCGATCGAGACAGCAATACGTTTGCGGGCTATCGCAAAAGAATAATAAATGTTTTTACGTTTCTAATTCATAAAAAAGATCGATAAGATTAATATTATGATCGATATGTGTTTTTGATGTTCCAAAAACAATTATGGAATCGGTTAAATATCGATTACTCGTTCTGTGATAGCCTACAAATGTAGTTCCGTTTCTCGCACTTTGTGATAGCATCCATAATTCTGTACGGTAGAGAGTTCGGCTGTCCAAAAATATAATACGGTATCTGACTCTTTTATCAATTTTCCCGTTTCGATATTATTCTGATCAAAATTAAATTTCCCAGGTTGTTCGATATTGTACTTTCGGTCAAAATATTTAAATTCTCCGTCTGGAATTAATCTTTAAAATTTCAATAACCTCTGTTAGGTAAATTACTAAGATAGCTCTACGAAAAAATGTGTGAATTGTGACTAACTGTGTTATGCTATTGGACAACCGAGTGAGTGCAAGACATGGTCCGTTTTATTGTGTAAAAGTATGCGACGACTGACGGTTTTGGTTTGTTATTTTTTTTCGTAATACTCATCTGCTCAAATCAAAATTGTTGTCTAGGAAAACTAAAGAAACATTATATGCCACGTATCTCGGATCAGCTGTGTCAAGCATGTTGTACCTGGGCTATACAATAGCAGGTGATGAAAATAGACTAAATTTATTTGAAAGAAAGGTGTTGAGGAAAATTTTTGGTCTCTTCTATAATTACGATACCTAAGTATGAGAGAGAAAATCTAACGAACAGGTGTAGAAATTATATGGAAAAGGAAGTATTACTGCACAATTCGTAAAAGGAACAAAATTAGAGTGGGCAGGCCACGTCTGGAGAGCCAACAACTGTTTGGTCGAGACGGTACTTGTGAACAAATTGAACAGAAAAATACTACGTAGTAGATTAGGTTAGGTTAGGCAACGGTGGTTAGATGTAGTCATAGAGACATACAGGAGTTGAGACCCGATTTGAATGGGGACATGAACCGTGCGTATATAACCGAGACGTGGAAGGATTTAGAATTGTCAGCAAAGGGCCTAAAAATATGGTCTATAATGGTAAAAAAAAAAAAATTCTGTATAGAACATAGAATCAACAGTGCAGATTTATATAGTACGATAAAAGAAAATTAAACGGTTCGTCTTGAATCCCCGGAGAATAGAAGCTATTATAGGTACCTACGACACCCGCGGAATTTCGAAATCGTGTTATTTTAATCGCCCGCCGCCGGTGCAGTGTACGAAAAAATAAAGGAAGAGAGAGAAGGTGGCGCGTTATATCCGTCCGGCGAGAAAATAATGGCGGAAAAGTTTTTGTAGAACTCAAAAGTGTATACTCGAGACGACCAACCGTGGCTGTATAATAGTATTCGGCGAACGGGGAAAAGGCCGGAGAAACGGACAAAAGTTAAGAAAACTCTGGACGGGTCAAAAGCGTCCCGGCGGGTGAGTTTAAGGAGAACACCTGTGCCCCGAAATACCACGCGTATACGATTTTATATTTTCGGGGGAGCCGGCCGTTTAAACGACTTTGCAGAAGAAATAAAATCAAGTGGCGCAAAAGTTATAAAACGAAAACAAGTAAATATACTCGTATATTGTTATTAGGTCGAATCTCCGTACAATTATACTCAAATAGAATTCCGTTAAATCGATTTTCGTATTAACCCAAAAGTCCGAAGTTTATTTTTTTTTTTAATTAATATTTTTTATTTTTTTTATAATTATGGTTAAAATTTATTTTTAAACAAAAACCGTTTTAATTTTTTTTTTTGATTTTTTAACCCAATAATGATGACTAAGATTGAAAGTGGACTACATTTTAAATTATGGTCAAATATTTTGTAAAAAAAGTTTTTCGTTACCATATGGTTACTTAAGGACATACAATGGTTTAATTTCACTTTTTTTTTCTTTTTATCAAATAATCGTTTCTGTTGCGCACTTGTTACTATATAGAACCGTATTGATATTGCGTTGTTGTTGAATATCGCATCGGAGTCGTGAAACCGACAAAATGTAATTGTAAAAAAATAAAATAATAATACAAGTACATCGAGTTGACCTAACTTAATTTGATTTTACCTCGCGGGGCACTACGAAATTATTGTTTTAAATGAGTTTTTATACAAACATATCGTCCGCTTCGTCTGCAGTTATAGGCTGTACGCCGAATACTCGATGACGACCGCAAGAGTATAATACTGTTACCGAAAATATCGCCACCGCAGCAGTCTTTCCCTCCAGCAGTTCATTGCGCTTGTCAGAATAATTTATAGCGTTTTGATGGCCGATCCGTATATTTTAAGTGAAACCATTACGTGTCCTCGAACGGTTAACGCATCGGTTAAACGGCCGAATAACGAAACCGATCTTTAAATAGAAATCGCATCCCTGAGTATACGAAAACCCGAGAATTTCTGGCATCACCACAATAAGCCGTTTAACGGTTCTCCCGGACAAGTGCGGATCCATGGTGGGAAGGAGCACTGGGTGCAAGTGCAAAAAACAATTCTATTTATATTTGTCAATCGCACATTTATGTAGCATAACAATTTATCATGACGGAATAAATAAAAATAAAATATTTTTCGTAATTGGCAATGCAATTCATACAGTATCTGCAATGTCTACAGTACGATTTGTGTTATAATTCCATTATAGTTATACTTCATTAATTTCTTACGTATGGTTTCATATTGACAATTCGAAATTATCAGTATAGTAAAAGTCTGTCCGATTCGAGTGCCCTCTCCGTAAACGGATCGTGGATCCGCCCTCGCGTATACGGAATTCTATGTGTCATAATAAAATTAATAAAACGGGTACGGATTAAATACCATATGTCCGATTATGTCCAATAGGCTATATAATATAGTACTGTGTATTATTAATTTCACAAGAAAATTTCAACTTATTGAATATTTATCACGTTGGTAATTGTATCAAAAACGTAAAACTGTAGGTAGATATTCAGTTTTTCAATTCGACTTGTTCAAGTTTGAAATTAACGTTTATTTTACATCAATTGTTACTATTTTCGACATTAAACACCTATAATTATTGTATAACGCGCGGTTTTAATTTCAGTTCAACTCTGGTTAATTATATGACCGGCAATGAAAAAAAAATCGCATTATTAAATTCTTTAAAACAATGTCTACGTGCGGTATTAAAAACTTTGTGAACGGTTGGCGACGACATGACATTGAATAATAATTATAATAGGTATTTGTTTAATCGCAATAATCATATTGCAATGATACAATGAGTATATTTATTAAGTTAAATTATCGCGTTTATCTTCCGAAATTATCAGTCGTATACCACTGTATAATATTAAATGATTAATGTCGACAAATACGTAAAAAAAAAAAAAAAAAAAATGATATTATAAATTAATTACTATATAACGTCCTATCGGTGATAATATTGTCCGCCACCATTGAGAAATTCGGCAATAAATTTAGCTATAATAGCGTGTTCATTATTATAATCTAAACAAACATTACATTATATTAAAACCAATACATTGTTTCCGCTCCGCTCCTCAGATATTGTAACAAAATATCGTCATCAATACATATGAAATCGAAACTATTACAGAAATATTACTGCGGAACGCGTATTATTGTAACGCGTAGAGAAAATATTATGCACCGATAATTTTATTAAAACCGTTTTCGTACATTTTATTGGCTAAATAATAATAATAATAATAATGTTATTAGACGATAGTTGCATTAATGAACCCCGGCGCACACACACATATTACAACACTATGTGTTTTACGCGCCGGGTGGTCGTTCAATTATACACATCGCACTATCACGGTGTACCTACCTACTACCTACCCACCTACCTACTATACATATTATATACGAGTACCAACACCACGCACGCCGTAAACATTGTTTTTTTTTCTTTTTTCTTTTCTTTTTTTTTTTTTTTTTTATAAATCCTATAAAATCTGCCGACTAAACCCGCAGCACTGAATATATTTTATGAATTAAATTAGCTTATATAGTATACCGTGTATAATGTATACTGCTGCTGCAGCAGCGGTCGGGCGTTTTAATAAAATATAAAACGTTCGCAGTAGTCTTTTAATTAAAGGTGTACGTATAAGACGCGGTTATGGTATTAAATGAAACACGACGGTAAGTGTAACACGCGGACATGGATGATTTAAATGAGATGTAACGTTTTTCTTCAAAAAAATAAATAAATTCATTTATCCGTTGTTCCGGATTTTCTACCGTCGACAATGGTAACAGTTTTCATCCTACTATAATAATTTGCCAATTCGTTTAAATTATATACAATATATACATTTCTGCACACTCTGGTCAATATTGTAATGGTTAAATACTTAGAACAAAAATATTCGGTTTTGGATTTCTTACAATGTATTAGGCGCTCACAATAATTATTTCCTACAGTCTCTAGACGTCATCATACTCTAAAACAGCCTTATTCTCGAACTTACAGTTATTTTTTTTTTTACAAAACCGATACGCGGTTATTATACAAATAATATACAATCGTCTCTTATTTAATTCACTTATAAAAATGATATTTTATTTGGGTGTAGAATCAAAATATTTTGCATATTAACATACAATCTAATCGATTTTTGTTCATTCTAAATTTGTTTCATTGCAATACCATTGCATTGTATACTGTATTCGAAACGATTATATTACACTGGAAAAAAAAAAAATCCGAATGTATTTTCGTTTTATCATCGTCGTTGTCGTTTCAATTTTCAAAATCTTCGGACCGTGAATGAAGTCGTATACGTGTAATGGGCACTGCGCGGCAATAAGGAAGTAGGAACCATGTCCTGTGCAATGCTTCTATTTCTATTATTTCTCTCTCTGTTTCTCTCTTAGGAGTTAGAGGCGACGTAGTCATGGAAAACGGTTTGAAACACACACGCGTATATAACATAATACCGGGGGACTGATAAAACACGTTAGTCTTTTATGCACCGGATAGTTTTATTGTAGTTTTCCGGTATATATGACAAAAAAAAAAAAAAAAAAGAAAAGAAAAAAAAACCAAAACGAAACGACCGTGCAGTTATACCGGCAAACTGATCGAAAGTAAAATAAATATCATTCTAACGGTCGTAATAGAAATAAATATCTGACCAATATCGTCGCAGACTCGTACGTATATACATGTGTATACTTAAAATACCCATTCTCCGTCAGATCGCAGATATATACGTATGTATAGTGTAATATATATCGAATATCTAATTAATGACCGATTTGTATTTCAATGTTTATCGAAATACACGAAAACAGGGGGCGGGGGACTGGGACTAAAAAAGTCACCGGTATCTAGAGTGCAGGCCACATAAGTTAATTGTTTATACACAAAAAAAAAAAAATGTTAGTTCTGCGAATAATTGTTGAACTTCTTAAAATTTAGAAGGTTGTAAAAACATGCTAAATCGGCCGTAAGTTTTGAAGAAATGTTGAAACGTTTTTCCAAACCACAGCTGTGTCAATATTAAACTCATACAGTCTTAAAAATGCATTTTTCAAGAGTAAGGATTATTTCGAATTTAATAAACTTCCTTAACACTGCAGATCCTGCTATAAATCGCGTCGACTTAAATTCCAAAGAAGAAGACATTTCTTCTAAATTATATTACCAGCTGTATACTACTATTATCCCCACTTGTGGACACGAATTATTCCGATTTATTTGTGTTACACCTCCTGTGGACCCCTGCAAGAGCCACCACTGTAATGTCTACATGCCACATGGCCGAATTGGGCACATTGATGGAAATTTCCCTGCATTCCGGCGGCCCAGTCCGCCTCTGACCTTATATTATATTAATCGGTTAAACTGTTTATAAACACCTGGCAGGAGGTTTTCGTTAAAGTTTTCGTATATTATAATACCGTATTTTCGACCGCGCGTAAACTTTTCTCTCTTTTCCAAAACGTCTTATACGCGTCTGATATACGATCTAAACGATATTTCAAATTTCTAAAACACGTTTAACCGGGCCCCGAGGCTTTCGGTCTCCTGTGGCTTCGAGCCAGCTGCGGCATCGCCCCATCATCGGTGCAGTGTATTTAATACACCGTGACGGTGTTTATACTTTATACATCTCTCATCTCTCTCTTTCGTTATGTATACAGGCTGTCCCACGAATATATACCCCTTGAATATGTCCGAAGATAATAAAGATAATCAAATTTCGGTTTTTTTTTTTTCATATTATTCACAGCGATGATGATTACAAATATTTATATTTGTATTAAATGTTGTTTTTTTAGTAAAAAGTTAGGTTAGTTTTATCTCTAGATAACATAGATTTTCACACGGATTAGTAGAATTATTTAAAACGATTCGGAAACTATTCATCGGACATAAACGTGTGATGCATTAAAATTGTCGGAAAAATTAATTCTGCAGAATGGCTGTCTAAAAATGTTTTAAAAGAAATTGCGAACAAATATAAATATTTGCGATTCTCAAAAAAAAAAAAAAACAAAACAAAATTTGATTACTTTTATTATCTCCGGAGATATTCAATGGGGTCTATAAATTCGCGGGACAGCCTGTTTTTGTATATCAATAGTTGGGTTTAGCCGCACATTATGGGAAATCATTTCGCACACACGCCGCGGCACTCGTTACATCCCCGAGTATCCGAGATCCGTTATTATATCACGACGACAAGCCCGCAAAACGACAACACATTTACACGTGTTTATGCGCCGAGGTACAATCGCATATTATAATACTCGTATGTGTTCGACTGCGGCACACCGATTAATTACACGCGAATGACGTACACCGGAATTAATTATTACGCGACTATAAGTATTATAATATCGAAATACGTATACGTATTATATACGTATATACATAATATACGTATGCCCGTGCACAACGATCGCGTGTTTACGTATTGTGTACATTATCAAGGCGGATATTATACAGAGTGATATATTTTTTTATTTTTTTTTTATCGCGAACCAGTAAATATCTCAGAGGAATTGCCATTCCCTATACTCCTCCGGTCTGAACTGTCATAAGTTATAACTCATAAACGGTAAATCTGATATTACACTATAGTGTTATGCATATTAAAATTCCCAGAAAAATATTCTCTATTCAAATCTGTGTTCGAAAGGAAAGGGCCGGGGGAGGTTCCTGTTTGAAAATCAAAAGTACGTGCTTATTTAAGGCGTTCGGAGTAGGGAGAAAAAATTAAAAAATGTTTTTTTTTAAAAATAAACCTTAAACGGTTCCGTAATGGTTCGAGAAAAACCGAAATCAAATTCACATAAAATCCTCCGAGATAATTGCTGGTCGATGATAAAAAAAAAAGTCGCACCCTGTATACCTCGCGGGTGCGGACATTATATTATCCGGACGGCCGCCGCGGCAGCGGTGTTACGACCGTGTACATACAAATGGAATAATATCGGTCGGAATCGCACGTAAATAATTGCCGATGAAGATTCGCGCAGTCCGCGTGTACATGCATAGCGCGCAAACAGGGTTTTCGAAAAACGATACTTTGCGAAAAACGTTGCTCGATCGTCCGACCGCGGTTCTTTTTTCACCGTATAAACGAATTATACGCGTTCACACGTATGTATTTATATATTAGAATTTTAATCATATATAAAACGTTATACGGTCGATGCGGTAGCCATGCGTACAACAGTGCTCGTGTGTTTATAGGTACCGGTAGCGGTGGATACTGTTTTCGCATACGTACACGCGATGTTTAAAGCATCGCCTGCATCGTACACTGTATTATCATCACTGTAGACTGTTGTTTTTTCAACAGTCCAACGGTTAAAACACAACTACATAACCGGCATCGAAAGGACCGCGTACTTTCGAGTGGCGTGTATTCGAACTCGACGTGGAGGGGCCACGGGGCGTTTAAAATTCTTCTGACAAAACATCGATTTTATCATATCATATAAAAAAAAAAAGGTGAATGTCTTCTTTTTTTTCTTTTTTTTTTTTTGCCAGTTCATCAATAATAATTTCTTCTATTGATTGTAACATCGCTAATTCATAAACGGTAAACCCGATATGAGTGTCATGCATGCACGATAAACCATTCGATAATACATAATTTGAAGTAACGTAATTTTTTTTAACCTACGTTTTTTCCTCACTATTATGAAAACTAACTCGAAAATCCAAAAAAACGAACTGCGTCATTAAAAACAAGATTAATAATTCAACGAAAAAAGGTCTCTTGTCGTTTTTCAATTGGAGCCATGTTTGTGTTAGGAAACGTGGTAGGTGTTTATTTAAAACAATGAAATCCTAAAAAAAAACATACATTTCTTTCCCAATTAATAGATTTTATTTTAAATCCTGTCTCAAAAATCGAAAATATGGTCTATGTATTTACCAAGAAGATAAAATTGATTTTCAGGAAAGGCGCTACACTTAAACATCGGAGCAAGTTTTCTAAAATAAAAGTGATCTGCAGTATAAAAGAAAAAAGTACCATTGTAAAAAAATTAAAAAAGAAAAAAAAAGTTGTCCGATAATTTTGGAAATTTTATCACGTCTAGGTAAGTCTGATACTAATAAGTATTTCTACTAAGTTTTAAGCCTCTACGTGTATTTGTAACCGAATTAAAGCAAAAATCTCTCAAAAATTAAAATTCTTTAGAAGTTTAAAAGTGGCTCAAAAGTTTTAACAATAATACCATAAGAAAATAAATCGAAAAGGTAACAAAAAGGGTGTCTTGTAATTTTTCAATTAAATCATTTTATCTGGTAGAAAATGCCGTCCGTGTTTTAATAAATTAATGAAATCGTAAAATTGTACGTTTTCCTACGTTTTAATTTTTAATATATAATAATAATTAATGTTATTTTACTCTATGCATTCGTAGCAAGTCATTTAAGACTTTTGAACCATATTTTTTCTCCTGGGGTGGCCGAGATCCGGAACCCCCCCGAAAATACGCCACTGCGCGTACGGGAGGTTTTTCCGTTCAATTAAATTTAAACTTATGTACCGATATGTTAATTTCAAATACGGTTTTCCGCGTTATTTCAACGATAATTAATTTACACATATGCCCGACGAAGATGGAATTAGTATAGTTTTGAATTTAAAACTCTTTAAATGTTTGCATACATTTATTATATACCTACATATAATAAGTCTTTTGCTTTACAGTACAATAATCCGTCTCGAGGGACTCGTGATGTGCTGCAGTTTAAACACGTTAGATGCATCGGGTACGAATGGTAGTACGATTCTCCTACCAAGTTATTAGAGATTCGAAAGTATAAATAGACGAAATATAATTTTATACAATAACTATTTTAGTTTGTCGGCGGGACCCCAAGTTCAGACGTAAGTGAATTCGAATCGCACCATATTACAATGATATCGTAATGCGTTTTATTACCCGTTTTTTTTTTTTTTTTTTTTTGTGTGTGTGTATGAAAACAGCAAAAGCATACACGTACAACAGAATATAATTTATCGAAAAGATTTTGCCCGTGGCCAAACCCTCAGACAATCGTCATCATTATATCATACGAGTATAATAATGTACAAATATAACGTAATTTTCGCGATGGCGGGCTATGAGAAAACGCGAAACGAGAAGACTAATTTTATTTACGGTCCAAGTGCGTGGGGGAGGGGGGTCTGCAGGACGAAGAAAAATGTTATTACCCGACAATCTAAAAGATAGAAACCACTGGCTATACGTAATATGCAATAAGGGGTATGTTCTATAGACTGCCGTCACGGTCGAGTGCCGCCGAGACGAATAAAAATTTTCGCCAACACCCCTGCGCAGACACCACGCGCGGCTATACCGACGCATCAAGCGTCATTAACGTTACAACGTCTCATCAATCTTAAAATAAAAACCTCTATAATTTATACAATACTTGATGATATATATAGTATACATACACTACTATATACAATATAAACGTAATAAATAAAAAAAAAAAAAAAGCTGATACTGCTGATGGGTGTGCCGGTGGCGTAGTCAGGAATTCTCGGCGCGGCAGCGCAGAAAAACGAAAAATAACGCCACGGTATTGCGGGCGATTTGTATACACGGTCGTTACATTCGTCGTATATAGGATATACTTGATTTTTTCGGTTTCCGTGGTAATTTCAACTTCATAAATCCTTATCAAAAAAAAAAAAAAATTGTGGCTATGAATTTTCGAAATTCGTATAGTACATATATAGTATGAACTTTATTTTTGAAAAACCTCTCAAAAAATGTAATCCACATGAGTATTCAATGGAAACGTCGGGTTTCTACGATTTTAGATTCTGAGTGGAGCGAGGAATGTATTGGTTTCACAATGATGTTTATTTTTTGTTTCTGTGGACTTCCAACCATTTTGCTCCGATTTACTATGATAGCAATTTTTCTAAAAGGAAATTTGACTGGGATGATGTTTTTAGCAGATTTTCCCAAAAGTTTTCCTAAAAGTTTAGAAAAACCAGGAAAAGACATTGAAAACACGTAGGAAAAACAAAAAAATAGGTAGAATATTAAACGAATATTATTAAAGAAAATGTTTAATGCATATGTAATTATTTTACCATAATGACAAAGTAACATTATCGACCGAATCCGTTCAGAATCGTTTTTTTGATAGCAATGGTTTATCGTTATACATTAAATTCCCGTCTATATCCTACCTTCTCAACTTCTCACCTACAACAGTGACTGTACCCGTTATCATTATCATTATCCTATAGGACAGCTGTTTTTGACTCAGTTACAATAAAAAAAAATTAAAACTAAAAAACGCGAATCGTTATTGTGTATTTACACATTATTTCACGTTTTTCTGACATCTTTTTCACCCGATTATGAAGATAACAAGGCTAAAAGAAAGATAAAAAAAAAAAAACCACCTTCTCAATATATTAAAAACTCGAAATAATTCGCTAAAAATTAGCTCTCATATCGGTTTTCGATTGGAGCCAGGTTTCTGGTAGAAAAGTAGTTTACAGACACAACAACTAAAAATCATACCGTGGTAAAACCAATACATTCGCTCAGAATCTAAAATATCGTATGTAAATGCTCGAATAATTATAGTTTTTTTTCTTTCGTAATAATATTAAATTCCGAGCAAAACCTAAATTAGATTTCCGCTGCAACTATAATACATGCATACGTTTTTTTATCGGAAAACTCTTTTTGAACCAAACCCGCAGTTAAGATACCGTAAACATTTAATCCGACAACTTTTTAGCCGGATATTGAACACAGATGTTATTACGCACATTAAATCTTTCGTTTTTCGAATTTAATTATTTCTACGCCCTGCGAAAAAGTAACGAAAACTGAAAATTTGAGCTATACTAAAGTGCTAATTATTAAGTACATAGTTTTTCGTAAAATTAGACGATTTAGGTTTTAATATTATAAAGAAATTATACATTTCTCTATCGCGAGCGTCCGCCTGAACTTTTATTATTTTCCCGTGGAACACTTTTCAAAATTCTCGTCTCGAATGATTTTTACTAAATAATATATATTATTTTATTATTTTAAAACGTATAAACGCAGATATTTTATGGATTATAGCTGTATCATAATTTGCGATACTGATAGTATAGGTGTGGCCAGACTTTTTCTTTTAGCAAAAGGTGCAAGTAAAATATTTGTATACCCCCCCCCCCCTAATTTTTTTCTAATTTTTTTTTTCTTAATTTCGGACAATCATTATAATATGTAGCCAATATATGGTTTACGTGTTCGGCCACTATACGTTAGAAGAATACGATTGGCTAAACACATTTTTACAAACGTTTGTGCTATTCTATGATTTATAACGCGTCAATTGTTACAGCACAAGAGCGTATTATTTGCAGGATACACGCAGTCGGTGATACCGTTACAATTTATTATTAGTTTAATATTAATATTGTGTGCGGACGATAAATTCGAAAAGTTTAACAAATATTTAGGTAATGAACGCGCGGCGATGACATTTTTACGTCTTCTAAAGAATAATAAAACCATTTAAAAATCAACATCCTCTGCCCGTTGAATTTTTAACGAAAATTATTTATAATTTTTGAACGTTACATACGTCTTTTAAACGCGTATAGTATTAAAATATAAATAATAATAATAATACATTATAGTATAGGTGTGAAGAAGCATCGAGTTAGTCGAGAGCGTGCTATACACGTTTGTATAGTACGTTTACAGTTTTGTCTACTGTGTTTATTTTTAAGCCAGTATGAAGCGTGAGATTTGAAATGTATATCGGGGCATTAGCGTTCTATTTAATTCTTTTTTTCTCTATTAATCCGCGAGTCGGGTTCCCGGTCAGCGTCGGCGGTCGCAACAAAATCCCGGTATCGTACCGAACCCGTAGGTTAGGTTGGGTTACCACTCTCCGGATCGGGGTCTCCCGTATAGAATCTAAACTCCGTGATGGGCCCCTGCTCGTGGGCTGCGTCCGGAAATTCAGAGCCATGTAAAGTATTATCAACACAATAACTCGTGTTCCGGGGAAGTAATTCGAAATTATTTTTTACTCGCCCGGCAATAACCGATGTTCGTCAGTTTTGTGCCCGATATAATTTTTACGTAACAAAAATGAAAATATTAATTTAAAATTAATCAATTGTATGTTAAAAAGACTGATATACTTGGCATGGGGGCGGGTCACTATACAGACGAGAAGTTGGGAAGTCAAAAAGAAAATTGAATGCATATTATCTGTACGCAACGGTCAATCGTTGCTAACGAAAAAACGATTCTGAGCGGATTTCGGTTAACCGCGTTGCTTTGTCAACAATATACATATATGTCACATTACGGTAAAATAATTACAAATTAGGCGTATATATATTTTCATTTTTCTTTAATAGTATTTGTTTAATATTATACCTATATTATTTTCCCGTTTTTCCCGTTTATTATGAAAACAATCGGGGACGTCAAAAAAATGACGTTCCCAAAGTACCACTCCGGTCAAACATTTTCTTGAAAATTCAAAAAAAAAAACAAACGAAATACTGTAACGGCGACTGGACGGCTGCGGGAAAACAAGTCGACTCTATTGGCGGAACTCTTATGCGCACAGTTATTTATACAGGATGTCCCGTTTGACAAGCCAATGTATTATGCGACCATCATGATATTATTTCGGTCGTCCGTGTCGGCGGGAACAAACGTCAAGAGTTAATTTTTCAACCGTCTCGTTCTTTCGATGGAGAACCAAAATCTGGCCGATTATCCGCACGAACCGACAACGTCTAAGAACGGTAGTCGAGGGACAAACGTTTCCAATTGTTGAAAATATTCGCGCGTCGTCCGTGCGTAGGTTGTACGTAAAAAACGTTTAATAATACGTTCGGAGCGGCGAAATTTCGACGAATCGTTGTTTTTTTTTTGAAAAACGCGACAATCGTTTCCGCAGACTTGTCTTTTATCGTGCGGTATTGTCATTATTATTATTTATTTATTTATTTTTTTTTTATTTCGTCGACGTCGCGCGTTCGTTATAAACAACGCGACATCGTACATGTTGTTGTCGAGCGTATACAACACAATAACGAAAACGTAGATCGCGCGCGTACGGTTTTTCCTCCGCGCGTATCGGCGGGTCGCGGGAACACTGCCGCGGCTCGACGGCGGATGGTGGGGTGGGGAGGGGGGGCGGTGAGAGAGAGTGAGAGCCGAGAGAGCCGAGAGAAAACCGAGAGAGTCGACGAGAAGCGAAGGGCGGTTTTTGTTTTCACGAGAGTGGGGGGGGAGGCTCCCGTTGAAGGGATAATAAATCAAGGGCGGCCGCAACCGGTCGTAAATCATTGTGAGAGAGCGCGCGCGCACTATCCCCCCCCCACCACGACTCCGGGCCCGGGGTACACATAAGGTATGTACGAAATGAACGAAATTAATCACTGTCGAAAACCGCCCGCCGCCGCCGCCGCCGGTGCGCCGCGCTCTTCTCCGTCGCCCCCGGGTTACACACGGCACCCCGTACACCGGCCCCGCGGAGCACGCGGCCCCACGCCGGCCGTACGCCGCGCGACCCTCCGCGCGCGGAGTCTAATTCCCGTCCGCGTACGCACGCCGCACCGCACCCCGGACCACCGCCCCGCGGCACAGCGGCACAGCCCGCGCACGACAGTACGGCAGGTACGGCCGCGGCCGCGCGGACAGTCTCCCCGCGCGCAATCTATCTAATGTATTCCGTCAGGGTGTACGATGTACGTAGCAACGTTAATGTATTATCATCGTGTGTGTACCGGCTCACCGCCGCGTACGGTGCGCGTACCCGGCGGGGCGGGAAAAATTACCTCGGCGAAACGCGTCCCGGACGCGCATACGTATTGTCGCGCGACGCGCGTGCGAAACGCGCATAAATCTACGGCACCTGTCGCGCGCGTACATGACGGACCCGCGGTCGGTAATAATAATTGTAATGGTAACAACAATAACGTCGCGACGGGTTTTTACGACGGGATTCCTTTTTTTCCCTCCTCCCCTCCCCTCCTCCCCCCACCCCCTCCGTGTAATTTATAATAACGAACGTCCGCGGTCCCACGCGATCCACCGCCGCCGGGTTGTCGACCGGCGGCGCGCCCCGATCTCCGCAAAGCCGTTTTCGTACCCACCGATTGACGTGCGTTTCCCCGGCCCCGCCCTGTCCGCCACTCAAAGATTTTTTTCAATTTTATTTTTCAATTCACATTCATTGTACGGGGTTCGTGCGGATACGCCCGGGCTCATTGTCACAGGAATAAGCGAAACGACGCGGAAGGCCGAAGAAACGTTTTTTCAGCCGTGAGATAGAAGAGCCGAATTTACATGGCACCTCGTGCACTTTCCGGTGGCGGCGTGAAAAATCGTCCTCTTTTTTTTTTTTATAATTATAGATTATAGACGAGAATTTCTCGCGGTATCCACGGAAGGGTACGCCGTAACCGAATTTAATCCAAAAAAGAGCACCGTCGAAAAAAAAACGTTTGGAAACCGCTGGTATATTGAATATTATACAAAACAAGTATATTGAATAAAAACGAGAAAATAGAAACGCGTCCGCGTCGATGTTCGGCGTGAAAAAAAAACGTCTTTGCCGAAGGAAATGTCGTTTATGGCCGAAAAATTATGCGATTTGAATGTTCGCGTGGAGAGCTTAATCTGTAGAAATGCAATCAATGTACAATGTGGTCCGGGGGAAATGACCGGCGGGCGTCATATGAAAGTGTACTAAAAATAATGGCGAAACTCCCTTAAATAGGGTGTAACATTTTTGTTTTTTAAGAATTTCACTCGATTTATTTTAAAAAAATACAAATTTTTGACATAAAAGTTTTATTGTTTTCAATTTGACTTGTGCATTTCTGGTTTTATTTTGTATGGTGATTGGTGTTGAACAATAGAATAACCGTAAAATAAAATAAAAACTTGATTTGCCCATAACCTAAAAAATGAAAATGTTAATTCTCCCCCCTCCCTTTAATAGAGGTTTCTACGTCATTTATGGCGTACTCTCATACGTCACCCGGTCACTTCCCCCCCCCCCCCTCGGAACACATTGTATAAACGATTGGTATCTCATACTGCACTTTTAGGGGCTTTAAATGCATTTTTTTTTAAGGTTTTATAGCGCCTTAAATTCACACCTCCGAATCATTTCCATATCAAAGCTATACGAAAGTTGAATTTTCATTTATATGTGTAGAAAACTGTTCTAGATTTATATAAACACGCTGAAAAATCGATGATACAAAGTTCACATCAATATAGGCACTTAATTCGTATATGGTCTATTGGGAAAATCATAAACGACATTCTATAGCATATTCATTTCGATAATTTATACACAACAAATGCTGTATTCGATTTTTATTATCTAAAAAGTGTAATATTCAACAGAAAAAAAAATGTGCATATTCTTTTAAAACTTTATGATCTTTATTAATCTGAATTACGAAAAAAAATAAAAAAAAAAAAAAAATACTTTTAAAATTAAATCGTATACATTGTATGAATGTTTATCGAATCAATATGTTTTTATCATCTTTATAATAATTACGTTCGTAATAAAACAATATTATAATTTCGTATCTCAACGTCTAGCCGAGAACGGCATCTGTAGGTTACTGTTTGAACTACTTTTTAAAGTCAGAACACTCAGAACTTTAGAGCTTTACTATTTCGTATATTCTCGATTCAGAGTTTTTTAAATTACTATCAGTTTGTGAAATATTCGAAATTGTATGGCGAATTCGAAATGTTGTAATGACCGAATTAAAAACAATCCGAGTTCAATAATAATAAGAAAATTGTTCTTTCTTTAAAAGAAATTATAATTTTTACAAATAAAACTTTTACATTTACTTTATTAATACCTTTTTGTTATTTCTGCTAAGAGCGAATATTTATTTCATTTTTTGTGGGCTTTTGACTTTTCTACCAGAAATCTTGCTCCCATTGAAAGATGAGAGGTGATTTTTATTTTCTTGTATTTCGTTCCGTTAAAGAGGTAATTTTTTTTGATTTTCCGATGAGTTTTCATATAGTAATCGGGATAAACCGGGAACAAACGTAAAGAAAAGTTTGCACTGTATAAATGGTTTCGTTATTTTTTTTTTTTTATAAATCGGTTAAAAAACGTAGTTTAGTAGTTTTATTTTTAATGGCAGTTTTAAATTTTGAAAATTGACGTATTTCGAAACATGTTATACCTATTATAGCTAACCAATCAGTTCATTTGTACAACAGAACCTGAGATAGGTGTCAGCAATACTTATAGTAAAACAGTAAAACCTCTAAATACCGGACACTCTCGGTCGCTGAAATGTTGTCCGCCATTAAGAGGTGTCCGCGATTTAGGGGGAAAAATCGTATTTTTATTACATTAATTAATTAAATACATTTTAAAGTTGCAACAATTCATCGGCGCGATAATATTTCAACGACTGGACGGATAATATGGGATATAATACATACACTTACAGTATAATAATATACATGCATAGTAATAAAAAATTACTTCATAATAGTGTAGACTTTTATTTAGGTATTCCATAGTTATACTTAATTATCAATATCAATTTTAAAAAGTGTTCGTTATTTAGAGTGTCCTGTATATCGAGGTCTCCGTACGTATGAATAGTGAAAATGTCGCCGTTCTCGAAAAAAAACGTCAGCTATTTGGAGGTGTCCGAAGGTGTTAAAGGATAGTTCACTGTAATTATATCATTTTTACATTTGTATTCGTATTTGTTAATATGGATAATATTTGCGTATTAACACGGAAATACTCATAGATTTACGAAGCGTTTTAAATAAATTCGAGTACGAGCGTGTACTAATATTTTTATTACATATATATTATAAGCGTAGTTTTGTTTGTAAAACGTATATAAGCAGTTACGATTTTAATAAGTAGGTAATAACTTATTAAACCCGAGGGCACACTATAATGCGAGTTACATTTGAAATCCGAACGCAAATAGCGCACATGATATTATCGTGGGTGCGTTTATGTAGGTGTACCGTGTCGACGTATACAGTCTCGCTAACCTGCCCTTCTTTTTTCGTTTTTTTTTTTTATATTTCCCGGATGACAGTGCGCTCGTACGAGTATTATTAAAAGTCACATTCCGTAATATTATGTGTACACATTTTATTAGAGAAGAGGCTATATCCGAATTTATCGTCTCGGTCCAACCATGTACGGGGCGGTATTATGTATGGTGAACGTTACGTTTTTGTTTAAACACGCGAATTGCGGCGTTTAAGAGGGAATCATTGAGTAAAAACACTGTAGACGATGCGCAACGTTAAGAGGAAAAAGATTCGGTTAAAAATAATCGTAGAGGCGTGCGATTTTCACAGAACACTCGGTATTTTCGGGAGCGCGTACGGAAAATGTTCAAAAAACATTCTCCAGACTTTCGTTATATTTATAACCGTATATTTTGAAAATTTCGGGGTTTTTTTTTAGTTTTTACGAGGATAAATTATAGTTCTGACCGAGCAGAAAGGATTTTTTAATTTTAGGCGAGGTTCATCATTACGTCGTATTTTTATAGTGGTAAAAATAAAGACGTATAACGGAATGTATTGTATTTTTATGCGCTTTCTAAATTTTGACGAAAATCGTATAAATCACTTTATATCACTATGGTCTTTATCAGAATCGTGTTTCGCGAGTAATCATTTGTAGTCGTCGCGGAACAGGAATCTTTATGATTTCGTCGGTTTAGGCTGGTTTTAATCATTTCCATTAGACTTTGACTTCTTATTTTATATTTAAGAATTAAGTACTGCATAAGAAAAATGTTCATATTAAAAATCTTTGTCTAATCACAAATATTTGTAATTCAATGCCTTTGAGAGTTTAAGTTAAATATATAATACTATTATACTCCTATTATGAATATTCATAGAAGTCCACTGTACGATTGAATTGTAAACGTTGAGAGGATTCGGGTGATATGACCCGCATAAAATATGTACATCATATACCAGCGAAAACTAAATAATAATATATTTAAAAAAAAAACAGAAATACCTATTTCAATTTTATTAGTTAGTAATCGTACTCAAATATAATAGAAAAACATACGAACCGCATGAATAAGTGGTAACTATATGTTATGAGTAAATTGGGTACCATACAGGTGTAGCAGTGGTGTGTTCAGAAATGTTTAATGGGATGGGATGTAATAGCAAATAAGAATCGTAAAATCGTCGTGTCTACGCAAACTCAACTACGGTAGCTGATAATTTAAAAGCCAGTTCCTAAAAAAAAAAAAACAATTTGTAATAATATATCAAGCTTTTCCTCGTAACTTGCAAGCTGAAATACACGCATTTCAATATTAAAATACTTATATTTTTTTAAATAGTTTCAAGCCGGTGGGAGGGATATAATACCTAACCTCCCCTTACCCCTTGCGTTGGCCACTCATATAGGTAGTACATTATAATGTTATTAAAGAGAGGTGTACAAAATGCATACACAATTATATATTAAATCACTAACAATAAATGTATGAATTATTAATGTAGTTGTTAGGTACATGATGTAAAAAAAAAGAATTATATATTATTGACTCAAGGACTTTTTTATTTTAATCAACCTTTTTGTTCTAAAGACTACTACTGGTCTTCCTGCTTTACGGATATCGTGTTACGTCTGTGCGGCGATAAAAAAAAAATTGTTACGTATAGATAGGTACCGTACAGGCTACGGTAATCTTGTTTTTATAATAGATCCGTTTTTAATTGTACCTATACTTTTGTTTTGCGTTCGCAATTTTTTCGCGCGCCGATCACGCGTCTTGTCGACAACGAAATATGCATTAGATATGCATATTGGACACATTTGGGCGACCGATGTTTGTTTTTCGATGTCATATACAAAATTATTACAATAATAACGGACAGAAGCAGAGAACGGTTCACGCTGCATCCAGTAAACGGTTTCGGCACACGATTTATTGTTATCACGGCGCCCGCACGTGTAGATAACGATCGGATTCGATGACAACTCCGAAACCGTTTATGAACGTACGTGTATACTGCGAATTGTCATATTATTTCCGGAAATACAACGATGAAAATAATTGTCAATATTGTGCCGTCGGACAGCGTCCTCGTCTGTGATCTACAACTATTTCGAATATACAACGGGTGTCGATTGCGTGGAAATTGACATTTATATTATTGCGAGCCTATATACAGGACGCACGTCGTATTATTATAACACGGCAATGGTCTCGTTTGTTGACGATGACATTAGGTGTACACTTTACAGATCCACGCGTTTATATAGTCGAATCATACAGGCACAACGAGACCGCCGACTTTGAGGGTGCTAAAATTACGGACACATCAAAGGCATACAGTCGCTACGCCCTCACAATTCCCTATACGCGACTCTTCCAATAAATAAAATACACATTTCGTTTACAATTTCGTATAGGTACGCAAATTTATCATAATTATTTTTTAACATTATTTTTCGTGTACACGCGCGCGTTGTCTGTAGGAAACGTGTATTTTGTTCGGTTCGCGAAACACGCGGATAAAATGCTTAGTCGTTACTGCGCAAGAGCTCCTTGGGCTTACTTCGGGACCGCTAAAGACCCGCAAGCATCCCCCTAGTCGCGCCGATGAGCCACCTTATTAATATTATTACTACTGTATAGGTTTAATTCGATTATAAATATTACATCGAGATATCCGTCGGAATTTCAAACCGAACGTAACCGATAAAACCTCTGCGTCAAAACAGATGTCACGGGCCCGTCATGCCGCCCTATCGGTACGCCAATGCTTTTATCGCGCGCGTACGAGGCGCGATAAAAAATAACGATTCGCGTACAAAACGTCGTCCGGAAGACTTGTGCCGCGGTCGAGGGAGCGTAGCCGCGCACTTATATCCAATCGCCGCGACCGGTACTCGTCAGGATCATGCCGACGGGAGGGACGGGCTAGGCATTTACGCCCTTTGTCACCGGCGGGCCTCTATTGGGTCGGCTACGGGGTTAGTTTCGGGCCGCGAGCCTGCAAACGTAATTCATGGTTTACGTTGCGCACGGCCACTGTGAGCCACGGTCTTTTAAGATATATTTGTGATAACAATTGTGATAAGCGCGATAATTGTATACAATCCCTCTCAAAAACTGAAATGACGCCACTGAGATCGCCGCGCTTTCCGCTTTGTCTGGTGCCGGAGCCGCAGGTATCCATCAACAAGTCGCCTATATCGTAACGTTTTACGAGGCCGCGCTTTTAGTCTGCTACGACTTGAATCGAAAACAAGGGGTCGCGGCCACAACGCGGTAACGGTAACGCGTGACGGGGAATCGCCACAATAACGTACAATACGAGACAGGAGGTGGTTGGGAGGGGAGGGGAGGGTGCCGTCGTCGGAGTGGTGTGCGCCTCGAAAAAACCGACTAGATTACGCGGTGCCATTGGACGCGACCGACTTATTATTACCACTACCGATTATCCGTTGTCGGTGTCCGTACTTCGTATGTACATTTTATTTTTGGACTCTGAGTGAGGCGAGGAATGCTTTACAACGATGATTAATTTTTTTATTGTTTTCATGCTTGTACTCCGATTACCAAGTGTAGCATGCATCTTTTCTGAAAGGAAATGTTCACTGGACGGCCATTTTTTGAAACTCTCATTAACATTCGGAATAACGAGGAAAATCTGGTTCTTTGGTTTAAAAAACATTGAAAGATTAAAAATAACGTTGTCATTGGCAACCGTTTTTATTTACTTTTTGTTATTGTTTTAAAATTTTTTTTAAATTTAATATTTTTTTAATTGCTGTCATTTTACCATAATATGACGTATATATTGTTGACAAAGCAACACTATATCAACCGAACTCCGTTCAGAATCGTTATAAAATGAAAAAAATATCCCAGCCCTACACCCAGGCGCAATACCGAGCGACCGGGTGTTGTTTCGCGAGCGGAATGGCCGTACGCTAACGGGACAGCCGCTACGGCGGAAATAAAATTAACCGCGTTTAATGCACGTGAACGAAATACCCCGGAATTTTGACGACTTTAACCCCGAGTATAAAATTATGCGCGACGACTGCTTGTTCCCCCTCCCCTCTCGGCAGTTCTTCTATCACCTCCCGAATAATAATAATACGGTATTCCTTCGCCGCGCAATATTTACGGGGACCCGTCGTCGTCGGAATTTAATTTTCTTCGCCGCACTTTTTTATCCCCCCTTATTAAAAAAAAAAAAAAAATTAATTCGGATATTTAAGATCCTTTTGTGGGGCGGGCCCATAATATTATCCTCGCCGTGGCTATCGTCAGACGATACCGTTTAACATATTTTATTATATCTCGGTACACACAGACTCTGCTCGTCTCTGACCATATTTTATTTAGGTACATGAATTCAATTAAAAAAAAAGTGAACGCGTTAAAAATCAATCATTTTCAATTAATTAACTGAGTTTGTTCGACACGTAAACGCACGTCATAAGTTTACATTTTATTTTAGAAATCACGCCTTGTGTTTGTGTTTTTTGTTTTTGAAAATAAGGACGTTAAGGAGGTTATTCTTATTCCGGGGATATCAAATTACACTTATCATAATGTATAGGAATTATGCTATTAGACAGACCGTTGTAACGCGCGGGAAGTTTGAAAACTATACTATACGATGTAGGGTAATTAAATTTATCAAGGAACGATAAATATTACTGCAATCAAAAAACGATTTTGACCGGAGTGATATTAGTTGTGTTTTTCTCTCGTAACCAAAGCAACTCGGAAATCTACAAAAATAAAACCAATGTATCTACAAACATTCGCTGTCGGCTTTTTTAGATTTTATAGAAAAACGGTGGGGAATCTAGACCATTTTTATTAACCGAAAAATCGTTTCCGAGAAAATAGCGTTTAATAGTAAAAGATAAAGTATACCTACTACATATTATAGAAAACTGAATAATACGCAGCTTCGTTTCTACACCGAGAATCTAAAATATAGGCACGGTATTTTTTAAATTTTTTTTTGCATTTCGATCGTGTATTTAACCACATAATTTCGCAACATTTTTACTAATAGCATATTGAATACAAGAAAAATTCGTAAACTAAATTTAATTAAATAGGTGATAATAGCTGATTATTATATTGTACGCCACTGCGCGGTATATAACAAAATATAATATTTACTGATATAATTATTAAATATTTATTTTATTCGAGGTGGGTATATATTGGGTACAAACGCGGGTACTACACCGAGGTAGGTATACGGTTGAAAAAAAAAAAAATAACACGACACATAGAATATTACTATTACCAAATCCGTGTAGGACTAATAAAATAAAATAATGGCCGACCATTAGGCTCGTACACACACACGACGTCAGAACCGTATAGATTTATATCCGTTCACACAACTGGCGTACTTGATTTATGCGGTAAAATCGGAATTACACATTTTACATTAGTCCATTTATAGCGCGTGTTCAGACGTATACGTACATATATAATATACTCGTATATTATTTTAGTATTCCGGATGGTTTTTAAATCGTTTTTACATCTGTCCCTTCCTCCGCGCGTTTCGCCTAACCCGCGCGATAATGCCGCCCGCCGCATCGACCCCTCATCGATCACTATAATATACCGACGTTTCCGGAGATACACTAATATATTATTCGACGCGGATAGATTATCTTATATTATATATACAAATTTTACTAAAAAAAAAAAAAAAAAAATAGTTTCTTTCCTCGAATAAATGTGAAAATTATACATTTTTAGATCCGGTAACCTTTTTCTGCTCCGGCTTGTTACAATATAATACGGTATATTATTATTATATAAAACGGCGATTCGCGATCACGAGAATATACAATAATAATATTATAACGTTTATAGGTTTTGTTTTCTCCCGAATAGTTATTATTATTATGTGTTAGGGGATTGGCCGATAAACCGTAAACCGTAAACTCAGTACGGGGGGGGGGTAGGGGGTCTCAAAACCGATATTTTAAGATATAATTGTGCATGTAATATTTCTGGAATACGAATGACAAAAAACATTGAAAAAACGATTGATTCCGAATTTCAATTCGTGGTTTTCGATTTTAAATATCAGGTACCGGTCGTACGTCGTTAGCGTGTTTCCTATGCGATACGTCGAATATCGGTAAAAAGTGGCACTGCCCGTCCCTATTATACGTAGTACGTGTAGTACCACAGCGTGGTGAAAGAAATTTCGATCAGTAAACATGTACCGTGATATTATTACCGCGAAGGGATTACAATTTCATCCGTTTAGTATATTATGAAATTAAAACTTCCCAGCTCCGGTTTAATCGAAAACCGATTGGGTGGTCCAAGGTCACGTGTTTATACGTCCATTGTTTTACTGGGGCGAAGACGTTGTAAACGAATTCTAAAATAATTGGAATTATACATTTATACTAAGTTTAGCGTTATACTATAACTACCCGCGATGCGAAAAATTACAAAATGACGCGGTAGGGAGGGATGGGCTGATGACACTTAGGCCGATTCTCCGCCACGAATTTTCGTTCGTAATTTTATACGAGAAACTGTTGTTTTCTATTATGTCGAATTCTAATTCTGATTCTTTAGATTAAAAAGTAGAAAGTACCTATACGCGCAAATCGTTTTGGCTGATATAATTTTTATTACTTATTAGGTTAGGTTAGGTATACCAAGGTTGTATAAAATTATTATCGAGAACATTTAACTCAGAAAAGTTTTAAAATTTAGACACACAGTACTAACGAATTGTTTTCTAACATAATATCTTTGGTCCAAAGAGAGAAGTGTTCGAGTCGATTTTTGACACATTTATTTATAATTTCGATTCATTTGTTTTTCAGCTTAAATGACATGAGTTAATTATTCTTGTTGGACTGAAAATTAAAATAATATCTTAGGTCATCACGATGCACTTTTTGTTGGGAAAAAATTAAAACACGGTTTAAAATGTTTATATAATATTATTTGATTTAGGCCAGTTAGAACGGTCATTTGGGTCGGGACAGAGACCCCAGATAACGAGAGAGCGACCAACTGCTATAGCGGCCACACATCGCTCAAACGTTTCCCTCCGTTCTTACGTTTGAAATTGAAATTGCATTTCGTTTCGTATAAAATTATAATATCGTGCACTATTTTATAATTAACAGTATAATAGTTTTATAACAATTCAATTTCAAGCGTAACAACGGCGGGGAAAGTTTGGACGAAAAACGGCTGCTATACAATGACGGTCGCCCGTTTTCTTATTATCTACGTGTAGGCTCTACGGGTCAAGTCCACATTCAACGATTCGGCAATTCAGTCGATTCGCTCGTATTGAAAACTATACGAATTCAACTCGAGCATTTCCCCCCCCCCGGGACCGAATAAGTATTATCTGCGTAACGCGTATTCGGCAAATATCCATTTTAGTGCGCCTATATTTCACCGTTGTGTCGTTATGCGCGTACAATAACATTTAGATTTATAGAAATCCGCGAACGAGTACGCAATAAATCGTGCAATATTTACAAAAATATGTATCACGGGCATATTAGATTATATTATACGGCCGTACACACACGAATTCAGCCGAATAAACATCTGGCGTGTTTATATCATCACGCGACTATTTAATGTAATGTAAAAAATGTTGGACCAAAATATGTGTTCCTCTATACTCTCTGGTTGGTACTTATTATTACCCGTATAGTCGTATACAATGTGAAACGTTGAATAAATCTTCGACGCCGCGACAAGCGTTATTATACGAACAGTGCGGTGTACGGTTTTTTTTTTATCGCCACTACAATTTCGATAGACACGACTGTATTTTAACGAAATATACATCCCCGTCTCCGCCCTGCGCGGCGTATTCCAGTGTCACGAAATCACAACGCAGGCCATTACGATAATACTAAATCGTATTGTTCCGATCTGTCAACACTGCCGAAACCCGTCGCGTACGCGTCTTATACGATACGCGTGGCGTATCCCCGACGCGGTATAATTCATATTTTTTAAACGCGATAATAATTGTATTATTGTACGCGTATCGCGCGATTAACGCGCGGAATCCATTTTGCGAAACGGACTGAAAACCGTGCGCGCTTGTGCGGTCCAATTGTCGTTATAATATTATTATTACATCCTGCTGCTGCGGGGATACATTCGAGTACGGCGGATATGTTTCAATGTTCTTTAATAAAAAAAATAAATATATATAACAAACAAAAAAAAAAAAAAACAAACTAAAAAACCGTATAAGCCCCGTTCCCCCGGGGCTCGTATACATTTTCTATACCATATACGAGAAGGGTTTGCGTGTTGCTACAGCGTGTGTGTGCGTGTGTACGCGCGCGAAACGTATGTAAAAAAATAAATAAATAAAAATGTAAAAATACGAAAATAAACGCCGTCTATTTATGTTTTTTTATTGTCCTACACTCTTTCGGATACATATACATGTATATATATATATATATATGTATGTATGATATTACGAGGGTTTTTAATCAAAACGACTGGACGAGGAGGGGGAAAAAAAAAAAGGTTTTTTTATTTTATTTTTAAATAAATCGTATTCGGAGACTGTGTCGGAGAAACGGGAGGGGGGATCGGGGGAACACCGAATTTATCGGCAAATTTGTCCGCGTAAGCCCCGGCGCCCCGGATCGTAAATCACGACACTGTCGATGGATACGCGCCGGGTCTTCCGCTACATTTGTTCTTATTTGCAGACTGGCAAATATAAATTTACGACGAACTATGGCGGCGGCGGTGGATGTGTTTTTATTTTATTTTTTTTTTCCGGGGAAAAAAAATAAGAGAAAACTGCAACGCGCTGCCGCCGCCGAGCACTTGTGTGTGTACAATTTTATCAAGATAAACAGATCTAGCGGCGTTTTTATTGCCGGTCCGTGATAAGTTTTTGTAAAACGGTTTTTTTTTTTTTTTTTGCGAAAACTATACATACATATATATATATATAAAAATATATTTCGTCCGTAAGCGAAAAACGGCAGTATATATTATTGTAAGATCGTCCGAAAAATTATTGTTGTTCTCGGTTTATATATTATTTTCGTACGGGCAGACGGACTTTATGTAATATATAATATATTATATTATAAACTGCAATAACGGCCGCGGAATAAAATACCGTGTATATTGTAACGCTGTAGTGCGGCGGTTCCCGACCCATGGGCAGCGGGCCACTTGTGGGCCGCGAGCAGCATGGTACTGGGCCGCGAGCCATAGGTATAATATTAAATATTATATATAATTAAAATAATATTATTATATATTTTTTGTTATATTTCTAATATCATAATAATATTTAATCAGTTTTAACTATAGTGTACAGTAATTGCACTGAGAAACTTGATGGGCTTTTCGGCAACTTATTTATGTGAACGTGCTTTTTCTACTTTAATTTATTTAAAAAATAAATATAGGAATAAACCGAATGTTGAGAGTGATTTAATACTAAAACTGACAAGTTTTAATCCAGATATTGACTTTCTCGTGAAGAACAAGCAATGTCAAAAATCACATTAAATTGTTTATCTTGTGATAAAGTTGAATTAAGTTTTTTTTTAATTTTTAAAATTTTTTATTCCTAATAACTATATATACATGTATATATGTATATAATATATATTATATATTATAATTTTATGAAAACGTATATAGGTATGTTATGGGTGGGCCTCAAATATTTTTTTACAAAATTAGTGGTCCGCGAAACTAAAACGGTTGGGAACCGCTGCTATAGTGTATCGTACGCGCCTAATGTTATATATTTTCTCAGATTTTAATTGCGAACATACTGCACGGGTTTACCGATCCGACGAATTGTCATCGTTACACTTGTACACCGCTCATTTCAGATCCAGAGTGGAGCGAAGAAACTTGCGCTGGTTTTACAGGTTACTGGTTTATTGTTCTGCGGACAACTTTTCTACTTTTCCGCCGGCAATTTCGCTCCGATTTATAACGATAGCGCTTTTTTTAAAATTAAATCTGATCGAGGGGTACTTTAGGGTACTTTAATTTATTGGTTTTTCGAAAAGTTTTCCCGATAAATGGAAAAAAAAAATGAAAACAGAAAAAACGTAGAAGAAACGGGAAAATAGGTATAACATTAAACGAATATTATTAAAAAAAAATATTGAGGTAATTATACATGCGTAATTATTTTTATTAAATTATGACAATGACATAGTAGTATTGTTGACGAAACAACACTATCAACCGAACTCCGCTCGGAATCGTTTTTACGTTACCAATGGTTTATTATTGCTTACTACAATTATACATTAAATTACCACTCTACTACCTTCCCAACTTTTAACCTACAACAGTGACTGCAAAACAGTTTACCCAAAATAAACGAACGTAGCGAGAAAACGATATTCAAATTCCTTTTTCCTTCCATAATGTTTAACAATTTTAATTGTATTGTCTCCTTAGTTTTCCTAAATATCCTTAGTCTTTCACCGTGTATACGCCAGTGTAAGTCTTATCCTTATATATCTTGGATTCTATGATACTGTATGATCTCCATGATGCTCGACCTTTGTTTCAATACTCCCAACACAGTTTAGGATTTGTGTTAATATACTAATATAGGTTAGGTTAGGTTTCTCTCTTACTATACTGTCTATATAAATTTACTATACGATGGATTTAGGGTGAAACACGTTTAAAGAAGATATCATATTGACTATGGAATGAAGTCCTTATTTGAAAAATTTGAATCGCATTACCGTTAAATAAAGTTTAGATTCTGAGTGGAGCGAAGAAGCTTATGGTTTTATAAAGATGTTTATTTATTTTTATTTTTTTTTTATCTATCCGTGGATAACGCTCTACTTTACAAATGATAACAAATTATCTGAATGGAAATCTGACTGGGGTGGTACTTTAGAGAAGTCGGTTTTTGATTTTCTCTCCAGTTTTTCCGATAAATGGGAAAACCGTAGGAAAATCGGGAAAATAGGTATAACATTAAACGAATATAATTAAAAAAAAATATACAATGCCTATGTAATTATTTTATAACATATTGTTGAGAAAGCATAGTGTAGTGCAGTCACTATCAACTAAACTCGTTGCATACAGATGTACAATACATATTCTCTTTATTATTTTCCCAACCTCTCACCTACAACAGCGGCCGCACCCATTTTTCGGTACACTTTATAAACTATACAAATCCTAAGACTGTATACATCTATACACAATAGACACTCTATATTATATGGGGCGTGTAAAAAATTGTTTTACATTCCGATAACTTTCTTCTCGCGGAGGTCACGTATTTTGAATTATTTTGTTGCACCTAAACAATTATTATCATTTGTGGAACTGTACATAGAGCATACAATTTGGTTACCATGACATTTACTGTGCCTATGTGTGTACACATTTTTAAACCGTATACGTGATTTATATTGTACATTATACAGTATATACGTTTTAATATTTTATCATTATTCAATATGCTGTTATGTATTTGAAGATTCATTAAGTTTCGAGTCAATTCGAAATAATAAAAACAATACGGGTAATCGATATACATAAGTAAATACCCGGATCCTAGGCACACTTAAAATCAGTAGCGCAACCACAATTTGTTCGAGGAGGGGGGAGGTTGATCAAAGACTTCTATTAGGGTATATGGCCGGACCTCGACACCTCTCCCGGTTGTGCCATTTCTTAGAATTTATTTTTGCCAATGAAATTGATATGTAATTATTCATGTTACAATAAAAATATAGAATTTTCGTAACCGACTAATGAAGTGTCCGAATGTATTTTTAAATACTTGACGAACAAGTTAAAACGAATAAATGTTTTAAAAAAAAAAAAAAAAACAAAGAATATTAAAATATGTTTTCAAAATCAAATTCGGCGAGTTGGGGGTTGTGAGGAAATTTGTCTCTAGCTTGTCGGTCTGATTCATGATATTTACCCGTAAAAACGGCCGTACCACTTGGCCTTTAAACGGACAAATCGGTCTTGTCAATAATGGACGGCCGTTAAGAGGTGGAAAATGGTTTTCAAATTTTACTCAGTAGAAATCGAAAAAAAAACCGTTTCCGACCTCGTCGAAATATTAATACGATCGCTATATGCACATTGCGCGTTTGCTACATAATATCATTTCGCATATTATAATATGCATTAGGGAGCTCTACGACATCTGTACGTGCGTTATAACACAAGTAGGCACTTACATTATAACACTCCAGGAACGAAGTACACGACGGCAGCGGCGGCGGACGAATAATGGTCGACGTCGGCAGTAGTTGAGCATTACTGCAGCAGAGCCGCTGCGGTGTTTTTATTTTCAATCATTAAATCGGTTAAACGTATCTGACGGACCTCCTTTTCCATTCTTCCCTATTCATCACGGGTACTTTATTCCCTTATAAGTGTTCTGTATTTCCTATACGATTTGTTACGTAAACAGATACCTTGGTCATCCCACTTTATCCACGACCTTCCCGTCCACAATTATTTTGTTGCCGTCCGTTCATTACGTCTCATCATAATATTATGTCCGATAATAGGTACAATGTTAAAAAAAAATATATTATAATGTCTAATTAATTATTTCACTATAATATGACGTATATATTGTTAACAAAGCAACACTATTAACAGAACTCAGCTCAGAATCGTTTTTCCTTAGCAACGGTTAACCGCTACCTACAGATTGACATGCAATTTCTCGTCTACCGTTCCAACTTCTCACCTACAACAGTAGCCCACCCACGTGCTGCGTTTGATCCGTTTCTTTTGATTCTTTCTCTTATCGTATTCCGTAGCGTTTTCCGCTCGTTCATTGTCGAGTATGCGTCTTATCTATTTTTCGCTCCCCCTGTGACCGAGAAATGTCCAGCGTTTGCGTCATTTGCGTTTCCGTCCCGCACAGCGGTTGAGCGGTGCGTAATTCTTTTCACGCGATACTATAGTTGTTGTGCTATCCCTAGTGCACTAGCTATTTTGCAATATTGCGCGTAATCTGGTGTGTTAGAATTCGTACTATGTTCTATTCACACTATTAAAACTATAAAAGGTACTAAAAACTAGTAGCAAAGATAAAAAGGACGATAAGAAAACTCCTATATTTTGTGCATCACGTTTTTGATTATTATTTACAGTACGATGTATAGTATTTTAGCGTAGGTGCCTGGTAGTTTTTGTATTTACGTTCGTTTACAGCCGCGATAACATAATAAATGTTGATCAAACGTCCGTGTTCCGACCGGTGCCGAATATTTCTATGCCGGTAACTAGCGTGGAAAACAGAATACGTTTTACTATCAAAACTACTATACTAGCTATCGAACTAGAGACAGCACAACAACTAGTATCGTGTGTAACGGGCCTGATAAGGCATCTCAAAGACCTGCATTAAGGCCCATCGCCGCAACAACAACGCCCTTCTACTTCTCCCCGCCCCTTGACGCTTCCACCGCGTTCTCCACTCCAATACCCCATTGGCCCTGTCGGCCCACCGTGGTCCGGGTCGTCTCCGGTGCCGTTTCGCTACGTTCCCCGCTGTCATTCACCGGAATCTCCTTAACACGGCCGGCCCGTTTCGTTCTACCGCCCTCCGTGATAACGTCGGCTTTTCCGAATAACCGAAAACGTAGTGTATTATTGCTGCGACGTACGCGGGAAGCTCGGCGCGCACGTGCGTTCTAATATAAGTAGGCACTTATTATAATACCGCTGCGGGAACGAAACACGCGGCGGCGGACAGTTATCGGCGGGCGAGTAATGGCCCGGCGTCGGCGTCGGGAGCGGTCGAGCGTCGCCGCGGCAGCGATGCAAAACGACCGCGGCGTTTTATGCGCCCGTAAATCTCTCCGGCGCGCGGGGCGAGGGGGCTGCGGCCGGTCCGCGGGTGTTACTACGGTCCGCACGGGCAGTCCGCAATTAGCGATCGTTCGCGAAACGCCGCCGTGGCGATCGACGCGGCGCGTACACGGGGGTCGCAAGATAAACGTGTACGGAGGTGTCCGCGCGCGCGGTCCCGACCGGTCGGCGCGCGTTCGAGAAGACGTACGGCCGCGGCGCGCCGACCGGCACATAAATTCCCGGGGCCCGGCAGGGTACGCCGCCGCGGAGTCGACTCGGACGCGGGAAATGCGCGGCGGCGCGGCGACCGGCCGGGGATTTATTCGGTTTGATTTTCGAACGGTCCGAGAAATAAAATCGGCCATTAAGAGACCGCCGCCGCCGCCGCCGCCGCAACGCCCCCCCCCCTCCCCCCCCCCCCCCCGCTCGCGAAACGTTAAGACGAAAGAAGATGGAAATGACCTGTACCCGCCGTAATATATTACGCGCCCGTTAATGTACACGCGTATATTGCGCGCGCGCGCGCGCGCGTACGCAAACGCCTCGGGTTCGATTTTTCGAAATGGCTTTTTATCGCGTTTTCGCGATTTACGCGTTTCCGCGCGGTACACAAGCGGCGGCGGCGGCGGCAGCGATTCTTTACTTATCCGCGCGTCTTCCGCACACGCGCCGCTCGACAATTTCGGGCGGGGTTTTTTTTTTTTTCTCCGCGCTTTTCGGTTTTTACCCGATTAATTTATTCGGCCGCGCTCGCGCCGCGTATAAATCGTCCGCGCAACAATAATATATATCATTGTGCCGGTCGCAAACGGATATCCGAATTCTCGCCAATATCGTTAAATTTACAAATTACACGGGATGCGGATCCGGTTTTTTACGGACGTTTTACACCGGCGGGCCGCAGTGATACGCACCTACGCTGCCCGTACCGCCGCGATTTATGTTCCGCGAAAACTCTAATTTGAATTATCCGATATCTCGTCCGCGCGGTTTCGTGCACAATATCGTTTGTTCGGTTTATCTCGTTCATTATTCCGGTTAAATTTCACGATAAGCGGCGGCGTGCGCGGGTGGGGGTCATACGCCCTCCATTTTGCTTTGCAAATACAATCTACGGCTGTTTATTTCGCAATTTAATCTCGAAGTGCATATGTATTTCGGCCAAGTCACGTGGAAAAGTTCGGTCCGTCGATTAAATGTTGGTGTTTTTGAATCTAGCTTTTAAAATCCCACGCGGTCAAGTCGAGTCAAGAGAGAATACGCGTGCACGGTTCGTGCATAGTTATCATTCGCTACGTCCTCTCTCATTGAAATATTTTGAGCACGCCACTGTACACGATTACTCAGAGGAGTAGCCAGTTTATCATTTTTTCTTAAAACAAATTCAAAAAAATACACACAAACAAAAAAAAAATGTTTTTTTCAGATTTCAAAAGAATTAAACACATTATACATAAGTTAAACGAATGAGACATATTGATGCCACACACAATACTAAATATTAATATTGTTCTCGTTCTTATTTATCTATTATTTCATCGTAGTGATTAAAGAAGGAGGCCGGGGGAAATCCTACCCCTCCTTATTTAAGGTAAAATTATCAGTCTTCTTTAGTATAAATCTTCAAAGTTAGCGAGTAGTTATTTTCACTGAGATATTGTTAATCGAATATTAAGTCTAATTAATTTAATTAAAATTTAAGTATTTTATAGATTTGTTTTTATTAAATTAACCAAACTTATAAAAATCTATTGTTTTCTGTATAGGTCCATTGATATGTGTGAAATTTGACACGTTATGCAACAAAAATCTTCCACAAGTTCTAGCTGTACACCATCACTCGCGGTGATAAGGTTATCTTTGCTTGTGACGCTGAAAAAGAGTCAAACTGTCACGGCTTGTACGGGGTGAATATGGCCAATTGAATTAAACCTGTAAAGTTTACGCTACTCGAGATGTCTTTATACTAAATTCCACCACAATTAGCGACCAAGAGTGAACAGAACCGTCGGTTATTATAGTCAAACAGCCGAAAAGCGGGTAAAGTCGGACTTGAATTTTGTGGCCAGCTCACAGGAGTCAACGCCAAAATCGTTACTCGAATAAACGCGAAATTGAGAAATACGATTATCTTGTTTATACTACAATTTCGGTAGGAGGGGTTTTTTTTTCTAATTATATTTGCCAACGTTTTAGCAAAAATTCTTCAAAAGGACCACAGCGATACACGGAGGATTGCGTTTTTATATAGTTTACCGAGCCGCCAAGTCAACTTGGCGCACCATTCCTTAATAAGTTATTGACATTTCATCTTGGGAGGTGCTGAGAACATGATTGCACTCCCCGATTTTAATTTAGGGTCATAGTCTCAAACTCAATAATAACAACAATTGTGCTAGTTATTTCTGTATTTGGTGCTCGTTTTCAAGCGCATTTGAACTTTTGAACGTCGTCCAAAAGACTGCCTGTATATACACGCCCTAATGTGTTGAGTTGGTATATAATTTAGGTGTTATTATAATGCATCCCTATAAATAATATTATGTTGCATTATCTTTACATCTTTCGGACCCTCGCTGAACTATCTTTAACGCGAATCATTTTTTTGTGTTTTTATACAATATTTTTGCCGATACAAATGAAATAAAATAATAATTATCAATCGATATAAAGTATTATTATTATTTTTTTAATTTCTATTGGTCGTTATGTCAAATAATTCGTGCAGATAAACAGAAAAACAAAGGACTGTTACTGCTGATGGATGCGCCTAAAGTTACAACAGTAGGGCTTACATAAAGTAATTTGACTTTCCGGGTTTATCTGTACGTGACGATAAATCGTTGCTAACGAAATGCGATTCCGAGTGATTAAACATGTTTTGAAATGCCGTGGTTTTCGCGATTCCTATAAAAATATAACTTGAAAAATCTAATAAAAAAAAAAAAAAAACCCATTACGTTACGTTTGATTTAACCTCGTATTAAATTTTCAAATATGATAGCAGGACAGACAAAATTACGTCTACATAAAATCAAATAAAAATTTTAAAACTTTTTTTTTAAATTAAATTTTAAGCATAATACTCTGAGTGGATTAACAATAATTATAATATGCATGTCCGATGAAAATTCAATATAGTAAATTACAGTATTGTTACAATGCACCTATTGTGTTCACTTAAAAAAAAAAAAAACACTGAAGTGGCCGTCAATAACAACGCGTATATAAATCGAGTAAATTCGAATGTTGATACTATATTGATATAAAATCACCTGTATATACGCACATTCAATTTAATCGATATGAGGTTTTAAGAATTTTCAAATAGATTGAAGTACAATAATATTAATATAAGTTTCCTCCATATATTTATCATCGACCTCCTAAACTGGAGAATTTAAAAGTTGAAAAATTTGACTGTTATTTTATTTTTCATGATATTTCATCACATTCAGCGCTAACATATTTCGTTTTACCGTTCGAGTGAAACAAACTATAAAAGATATAGTTGATTGACATCAACGAAATTTATAAAATAATAATAATAATAGTAATGAGAAAAGTTATGATAATAATTATATTGAAGAATTAAAAAACTTAAAAAAAAAAAAAAAACGGTTTTCCATTACTATTATATTTATAAGATTCATAAAATATTCATATTGTATTGTTGGTATACACCTACGAATAATACCCTTAGGATACAATATATTATCGTGGCCGTGATATTACTCGCCGCAGTAAAGTTATAAATCAGAGCGTGTTAAAAAAAAAAAAAAAAAAAAAACACACGTCGATAATTCCATAGGCCGACTACCTATTAATAATAAACCGATTTAGGTATACGTGGTAACCTGGTGGTGCAGCAGTGTTTGAGATACCCACGATGAAACTACATACAGGTACATAATACACGCGGTGCAATCTATATTATAGGTGTACGGTTACAATAATACAAACATAATATTGTAACGGTAATAAAATAAAACATAAATAATAATAGTCACAAGAAAATTGTATAGCGTTTCTCATTTTGGACTGAACGGCTGCAGTTGGACACCGCACACAAAACGTGTGCGCCTATATACTTGTCTATTGCACGGCATCAATCGTCACTTAAAGATCAAATTTATTTTGACGCCTTTATGTTATTATTATTATTATTATTATCATCATCGATGGGCATTCGATGTTGTTATTGACGGCTGTCGATTCGACTGTCATTGTAATCGCGTGATGGACGATAACGGCCGAAAAGAAACTTTCGGGTATGGTGTCGGACAGCGGCATGTTGATGCACAGGGGCAAAAAACGATCTACCAGCAAACGGCATGTATCAATTACCATTGATACATGAAAAACACCCTACCGTGCTGTGTAACCATAGGCGTGCACGCCTATGCCTATGGAAGTTAGGTTTGTGTGCCTGAGCGCCTCATGACATTTTGTAATTGGGACCCTAAAATCTAAGTCCCAGAGCATAAGGCCCGTATTTTAACTGATGTCACTAGAATAGTGTGTAATACATTTCTAATTTATGTGGTAAAAGTAAATCATGTTTCCTGATAAAAAAATAAAACGTAAACTGTGTTTAATTTGCTTGGAAAAATGTATTATGACTACAACAGCTAGATACTGTTGACTACCAAAGTACAAATAATAAGTAAACATTAGAAATATAGTGGAAATAGATATTAGATTCAAGGAGCATTGTATACGTTACTTGTGGTTTGTGTGAACGGGTATTTTCAAAATTAAATATTGTGAAAATTAAATGGCCCGAGACCGTTTGGAATCATTATTTTTTTCTTTTTATGCGAGAATAAGAAATGGCCTCTAATGTCGATGTGCTTTAGGTTATTAATGAGTTTAATAACTTAAGTAAGAGGTGCGTGTTACTATAAATTTTTCATTTTTGCATTAAATAAAAAAATGTAAGTGGTGTTCATGAGTAAATTAAAATGTATTAAATATACAAGTCTTGGTAAGAAAAATTAAGAAAATATTGTAGGCATCCCCGGAATTCGGGTCTGCGCACGTCTATGAGTGTGACACTGTGATTCGTCGAATCACCATAATGGATTTGTGAAACGGATCGGGAAAAAGACCGACGGAGACTCACGTCCACGTCTATAGAAAGCCAGCCACGTTGAGTTACCTATGCGAAACAATAACACTTAACACATTTTTAGTCGACACAAACTATGATTGAAATTATAATAGCGCGACGTGTATAATATATTGATTATATTCTTATGGAAGATACCCACCGTAAGATTTTGATTGTAAATTCGCCGGTAGATCGAACCGTTGGTCGCTATTATACCGGCGTTTAACACAAGTGGATAAGTATACAGATGAAGATAAATAATCAGAAATTTTTTATCTTTATTAAAAAAAGTTTAAGAGATTGTTTTTTTTTTTTTTTTTTAACTGTTACAAAACTAAATGCTAAAATCAGGTTAAAGCGTACCTGCATCTACATATAGTAGATACACATCAATAGATTTCATATAAAGGTTGTGCGGTTGACGTGAACCGATGACTAATTTATCAAACCGTATAGTATGATAGTATGATAGTGTATCATTGTATAACATAGTTTAAATATTTTAACAATTATTTCTAATAAACACGGGCAGCTATTTGTCTCGGATAACTCATTTCTCGTTTATCCGGATAAAAATTAAAAAAAAAAAAAAAAAAATGCAAATATAAATAGTTATTTAGATAAAACAAAATACGCTGATTGTAAGAGATTACGTTGCGTTCATATTATTAAAGTTACGGCCGCGACAAGTGGTCGATTTTACTCGTTTCCGTCGTCGTTGTCGTAGCGTTTACACGGTAATTATTACCCCGCGAAGGCCGCACGCCCGTCGATATCTGCGTGTTAAAATAAGGAGGGCACACCCGCGTTTAGTGTCTCGGCGCAACACCGACAAAGGCAACGGAAACGTTTAAAACAAAACCCGATAGTTAACGCGGTCGTGTAACTTTTTTTATCTTGATAATGATTTTTGGGAAAACTGCGCTGCAGAAACCGTCCTCGAAAATATTTCTCGTCTCCTCGATATAGTTTGTTGTCCGCATTTAAACTCTATAATATTTCAGTCTAGACGCCATAATTTACGTTTATGTTCCGAGCAACGTTGTGCTGTGTCGCCCGCGGATCCACGCCGATAAATATGATACAATATGAATTCGAAAATAACAGACAACGTTCTCGTTTTCCCGAATTGTTTTCTTTCTGGTTTTCCTCGTCATTAAAAAATGACTTCCGCATAATCGTTTGATTACGTAATTTATGTCCGTATACGGAACGATGAATAATCGCCAACAAAATACAAATTCAGAGGTAAGTTTTGTTGAACGTGTTTTGAAATGCCACGGTTTGTACGATTTCCTGCACTTTCTAATCTATTTAGAATATTGAACCACACGACTATACTCCAGTACTCCAGTCCAATATCGTATATCTTGATAACCGAACGGCATACAGTATTATTATCTATACGGAGCGATAAGCATAACGTAGTAAGACGTTTATAATTGCCGCGGAAAGTATAAACTTTTTTCAGAATTTGTTTTTTAGAATATATAAAAGAATAAGCAGCTCTACGATTTTACGCTATTTTCCGTTACCCTTATAGTCGGCGGTCAAACCACTACCTACATTAGATTTTCGAACGGCAACTTTTACTGAAAATTCCGCCAAACAGGCGGACCGTTATAGTTTAAATGCGTTTTGCCATTTTTTTTTTCTTTCGAAGCGGTTTCGCCCGCCCAGGGCGGCGAAAAATAAACCTATACTATTTCAGAGCATCGCGTTTCTTAAACGATCTGGAAAAAAAAAAAACGAATTCCGAAAAATTCAATGCTTTCCGGGACGTATATGAGTACCGCGTCAAGTCGACCGTCCTGTATGTCGACGCGGTATGCCGTCGTCGGCTCCCGTCCGGTGCGGTTATGCGGATCGAGACTATACATAAATGCGGCTATATAGGCATATTATTATTATTATTATTATTATTATTATTGTCGTACAGCCCCTTTGTTATTACTTTACGATCGAGAACCGAGAAAATATTGTTATCGTTACCATTATTATTGCGGACGGCTTCTACTCGCGAACTGGTCTGCGTACGAACGGCACGCGTTACTACGAGCGTTACTTATCCGATATAAATTTATAGAATGTTGTTGTTTATCGATTAAAACAAACAAATATTGTTGAGAAACATTATGTTGAAAATGAGTTATCCCCATTCTTGTAATGTCATTTGTATCCCTGAAAACTACAGTACCTTTCCCCTGATCGGGCAGCGCATTAGTCGGACAAGTGTTCTTCTTTTTTTTTTTTTTTCAAGAAGGCGATTGGAATTGTAAAAGTAAATTTCAAAATTCACGAAATCTGAGAAAATTTGGAAAACCGACATTGTGTCCCGTAAAAATTTAAATTTTGGGCCGCTAACTTGTCATCGAAATGATCGAATCAAGCGTAGTAGGTACTACTCGATTCGTCTGACACTGTTAGACAGGTCACAAACAAGTTTTTTGTTTTTAGCTCTATGTATGAATCCGGCAACGGCGACAACTCGTTTCGTTATATTATAATGCGCGTTTTGATTCCAAACGGCCGCCATACAAATAATAATTCCAAACGGTAGTCTAGACGGAGACTTTTAGACGGTCAATATATTATAGACGTAGGCGTAGACGTCACACATTAGTTTAAAATTTAAACGCCGCACGCCGATATCGGAAAAGTTATTAAGTGTGTTTGCGCGCGGTTAGGTTTTCGGTACATTGATAATAATTGAGATTTACGCGAATCGCGATTTTTACGACCGGGTTTCTCGTGGAAAAATATTGGCAACTGGAAGAGAAAAACAAGAAACATAATACGTATAATATATCATTATTGTACGGTATCGCCTTTATCGCCTTTTACAATTCGTTTTTCTAATATTTATTATCATATCGGGCGACCGAATTTCATACGTATATTATTATAGGTGCGCGTCCTCGCAGTGCGGCTGCGGCGCTTCCCGCCCGCGCGAAACAATACTTTGCACCCGCCGCACGACGAGATAAAAATGTACAGGGTTTTTATTGTCATCGTTATTATTATTATTGTTGTTGTTATTACTACGCCAGCCATTGTCGTCGCCGTCGTCGTCGTTGTCGGGAGACGTTTTCTGTTGTGTGAAAACATTGTGTGTGTGTGTGTGTGTTATGTTTTTGCATCGGAATAAACCTCTCGCCCGTCTTTATAATACTGTTTACAAACGAAATCATTACGACTAAATTTTCGCCGGGGACCGACACAATGGTTTTCGGAGTCATTTGGGAATAAAACAAAAAACCGTTTCCGTATGATTCGATATTTATACGCCAACGTTATATTAGCTGGGTCATTGGAATTTTATCGCGGACGAGATATGTTTTTTTATGATTTTCGACGGTTTTCGGAATGAATTAAGGGCTCAAGTCGCAAACGGTTAAATTTTACACAAGAGACGAAAAACCGATCAAGACCTTTAGCGTTTTACCACTTACAGGGCTTTCTTGTGTCGAATCGACATTTTACGAGAATTTAAAAACGTTCGAATGACTGCACTTATTGCACCACAAACCTGAATGCTGTTAGCTACTGTTAGTCACCGTTCAAAGCGACTTGAAATTTCACACAGCGAAAATGGTCAAAACCTATTATCGAATCATTTATTATAAAAAAAAAAAACCGTCTACCTATTATAATAATTAAGACTGCACTGTCAGTTGATTTTTTCCGTTGGTTTATAGGTAATGTCTGGTTTCTTCGTTTTTCTGGACAGCCATGTATCAAACCTTTTTACATATTGCATCGAATAACGTTCACCATACTAAAAAAAAGAAAAAAACATATGGACATAATTCGCACGATGGATAGGCCACTGTTGTAGGTGAGAAGTTGGGAAGGTAGGATATATAAGGGAATTTAATTATATGTCTGAACGCAACGATTAATCTTTGCTTACGAAAAACAATTCTGAGCGGAGTTTGGCTGTACATCGTGTTTTAAAAAGCCATAAGGTTAGGTTTTACGGTTTGAAAATAATTAATTTCGTAAATTTTCCCTTTTTCCAAAGTTTTTCCCCGGTTTTCCCATTTATTCTAAAAACCCCTAGAAAAATCGAAAAAAAAATTAGGTACCATCCCAGTCAAATTTCCTTTCAGAAAAATGTTTACATTTGAAAATTGGAGTAAATTTGCCGGTGGAAATGTCCGCAGAAAAAAACCACGTGAAATCAATATGTTCCTCACTCCGCTGAAAATCTAAAATTATGGGATAAATAAAACGTACGCATCAGTTACGCCGATCAATTTCTAAATACGAATATATAAAAATGCGAATTAGTATATTTTGTTATTATCTCCTCGATACGTACACTGCTGAATATTGCATCTCTTTTACCGTATCTTTGGGCATCGTATGATACATCAGGCGAGAGAAATACAAATTCTTGTGCGTCGTTTTTCCCAGTATTGTCTCTGGATATATAACAATGGGTATATATTCGTGGGACACCCTGTATAATAATATACAGGTAGTGTTCAAAAATCGGTGCAATTGCTGAACAAAGACCTATATTATTGTTACACGAAAAAAGCGAAAAAAAAAAATTAAAATAATAAATCCCTTTTGATCTCAGGTATATGGGTACCGAACAATTCCTCACTGTTTTTTTTTTAAAGAATTTTTCAATAATAGGTCAATACGATATAAAACCATCATGCGAACAAAATATTTCCGAGCGGAACTAATCGTTATTGAAAACACGAGAATATTCCGTATGGTATATAAATCATCGGTGTTTGCAAATATTGGTACAATAAGGACCGATTTGTCCTTGGGCACTAAAAACCAATTTCACGGTTTACGTTTTGTCCTTTTTATTATATTATTAAAAATTATAAAACCCATACATGTACTATACACGCGTAATACTCGTATCGTATTCACCTGGGTGGACCTGCTTGATGGTATTTTAAACACGATGTATACGTATACAATACCGAATAGGTTTGCGTGAGGTTTTTCAACACTCGAAATGTAATATGATGTTAAAGACAAAAATAAAAAAAAAATTAACGACTCGAGATTTTCGATTATCGAAACCGAGTGTTTTTTCCCCGACGGTTTTAGAAACCAACTCGTTTATCTAATACGATAATAACACGGTGTAACAAGTATTTTATAATATACCTGGTTGGTAATAGTAGTAGTACATGTAAATTGGTACCTACCGAAGGTAAGAAAAAAAAATTATTTATCAACGAATCTCCAGCGTCGTCGTCGATGTAAAAATGTTTCGGACGAATATAACGGGACTCTATTTTGGATCTTCTATATTCATCTAATTTTTTTTTTTTTTTTTTTTTACTATTTCAACTATAAATAAACGTACGCGATATAATATGATAATACTGTGTAAAAAAAAAAAAAAAAAACTTTCTAATATAAGGGTAAGTACTTACATATAGGTATTATTATTAAATGACTAAAACGCCTACGGTATAAAACGTATTTGTTTTACAATCAAACCTGTAGTGAGGCGTGTAGGTATACGTAAAAACGAACAGGTCGGTTGCGTATTCCAACAAGGTGTGTGACATGATTGATTGACTGATAGGTATTAATTACTGTACAACAATTACGGTGACGATAGGTTTGAATTATTTATCTATTTCTTCATCGATTGCGACGATGGCGAAGAACATTATCTGGACGCTTTACAATAATTACATTTTAGATTCTGAGCGGAGCGCGAAATTTATCGGTTTTACGATAGTATGATTTTACATTCTGAGTGCAGCGAGGAATTGGTATATTATTTTTTTTTTTTTTGCGGACGATTTTTCTACCAGGAATTTTGCTCCGATTTACAATTATAGCGCTTTTTCTGAAAGGAAATCTGACTGAGGTGGTACTCTAGAGAGGTAATTTTTCGGTTTCCCAAAGTTTTCCCAATAACCGGGAAAGAACATGGGAAAACCGGGAAAAACGGGAAAATAGGTACAACATTAAACGAATGTTATTGTAGAGGATATACGTTCAATGCATATGCAAATTGACCATAATATTAAGACATATATATTGTTGACAAAGCAACACTATCAACCGAACTCCACTCTGAACCGTTTTTTCGTTAGCGATGGTTGCGTACACATTTTCCCCTTACTACCTTCCTACTTCCCACCTACACCAGTGGCCCTACAACACTTGCGAAGTATGTCCGTTATTTTTGATTTTACCGTATTAATTTTGATTTTCTGTCTGTATACAACATTTCCGATGGATATCGGGTTCAAATCGTTAGTTTTAGAGGCGATTACTGGTTTCGGGAGAGGATTCCGTCTAGTTGTTGCATTAAGTATGTAATTGTTGTCGATTTTCCCTTATAATTTCGCGAATAATCGTAGAAAAACGGGAATGTTTAATCATTAATGGTTTATTTCATTGTTTTTTTTTTTCTTTTGTTTTCTGGTTGAAAATAATCATAGAAATCTGCAATGTTCATCGAATACTCTTATTTGATTTTTCTAAACTTGATATTATTTTCGAAATATTTTTATCCAATTATTTATAGTTATTTTCGATTTTATTTTTTATTCCAGTTTAACGAGGTTAATATATTTGTTGTTTTTTAAAAAAAAAAATACTACACTATTTTAATCAAGTATCTTCATAGATATATTCCACATGTGGTAGTACAAAAATATCGAAAATCCGTAATCGTTTCTTTTTTTTTTTTAATATAATTTTTAGTCCAGATTTTGACGAAAATCGTAACAATCATCAACATTTGCATATTATTATATTATTTTTCGATCTATGTGAATTGAATATTATCAGCCCCGTTACCATGTTCAAAAACTTTACACAAGAATCATCGTACGTTGTACTCATAGTGGTTTGAAAAATGTTTTAAATGTTTATTTTTCTAAACTTATTCGAGTTGATGCATATGTGTACACTTACGTATTATACTTATGTAGTTTTCATATTGGAATAAAATTATTCAACTTGCGCCTGTATGCTAAACATTTTATTTCACAATAAATTGCTTAATAATTTATTTTTTATTATAGTTTTTAAATCAGGTGCAAAACAATAATAATATATCGATCTACCCATTAAACTAAACCATTATAAATATTACTCGATGAAACGTTGTAATAATATAGTATACCTAAACGTAATTTACATGTATAATCGTGTTGTGCGAGTGAATAAACATCAATTACTTTATAATAACGATAAATATTATAATATTATAGCTAGACAGTAAATTATAATATAATTTATAGCAATAAATTTAAATGCCATATCAATTATTACGTGTTTATTGAAACAAATTTTTTTTTAAAAAAAGGCTGTTTATGTTTGTGTAATGTTGTTTTAGGCGGGCAGTTGGAAAAAAGTATGTCTAGTGTAATTGAATTTATATCTGTATGCAATGGTAAACGATTGCTAATGAAAAATGATTCTAGGATGCAGTATATTAATAGTCGTTAAGGTTGTAATACTTCAGAAGGGCAATCGCTTTGCTGAGTTAGAAATAGAAATTAAATTAACAAATTAATCTCGTTGCGAGGAGACCGAAATTACTAAACTACTTTTTATGATCCTGAAACATTTTTCGTATGGATGTTTATTAAGACACGTGTTTATCAAAATAAATCTCGATATTTATACAAGAACTCGTACGAGAAATTTAACGTGTAATGGACGTGTGTGAATGAGTGCACGGGTAGTAGGATGATGGGATAGGGGGAGAGTTTTGGGTCACATGCCCGATATTGTTTTTCACGTTTGAACCTCAGGATGTCCCGAAGCGAATAATTTGTGTTATGTACCTTTTTATGAAAAAATATTGTATAATTCGATTAATGTATATAGTAGATTTAATTCCGGTATTCATCATACCCTATATTAAAAACAAAAATATTCTTTATAATATTTTATATATATTTTTATTTTCAATTTTATTTATCTTTAATATTTTAGTTGTTACATCCCCTCCCATTGAAAATTCCTGGGCACGCCGCTGCCTGAGCTACTGCAGGACAAGATATTTCAAAGTTATCGGCTTAGTATGATGATGTTAGTATCGACAATGTCTATAAACAAGATGCTGACTATTTATGTGACCGGTGATGCCTGCTAGATCTTACGTTTTACGCATTTAAATACTATATACTCCATACGTTAAAAATTAAATTATTAATAGCGTTTTTCACGCTCGTCGTGGTATTTTCGAAAAAAAAAGTGATCACATTCCCTTGGATTTCACTTTCGCTATTAAATCGCTTTAAATATGTAACGTTTCCGAAAATCCGAAATTTGGACGCGACTCTCGTGTCGACGGAAAATATTATTTCTTCTCCGTGCCATACACCGTACCATAGAAACATTATTATTGTAAATGCGGTGCAAATAACGTCGGCTCCGGGCGAGGGGGGTGGGGGTGGGGGGTTCGGGCGCGCGCGCGCGAAAAAGATAAAAACGAAAAGAGACGATATAGATAACACGCACGACTCCCGACGGTAACGTACAAAACGCCGGGCTCCTCGAACGTTTCGAATGCGAACCGGCCGTTTATCATTTATAAATATATACGTAGGAGGGGGACCACGCGTATACAATATAATGTATAGATGATAAAAAAATACTAAAATAAAATAAAAAAATTGGTGCGTAGGCGCCCGGTCGTTTTTCCGCCGCGCCGTCGCGTAGCCGGGGACGGTTAGGACGCGCGCGCGCGCAATATCGCGTAATAAATCCTCGGGATCAAAAACGCGCTTGCGCGGCCCGGCGGCGACCCGAACGTGATAAAGTGCCCCGAAGGCTTTTATTTTATCTTAAATTTCGCCGAGACGCAGTTTCCCGCACTGTTTCCCCGTCCCGCGCGTATACATACACACGGCAATAATACGTATACAATACACGCGGAGGCGCTCTCTTTTCCGCCCGCTCCCCGGGCCCCGAAAATCGCTCTCGATCTCTCTCGTTTCCTCCGGTCGTCCCGCAGTCCGTCCGTCTTCGAAACTCGAATTCTTCTTTATATCCTCGCTGCGTGTTTACATTTTATATTACGTGCACGCGCGCGCATGACGCCGCGGAAAAAAGACCGGGTGAACTGCCGCGCGAGGGATGATGGGGGTGGGGGGGGGGTGGTGAAAACGGTTGTTCCGTGCAAACACATAATAATATAATACGAATACTATGCGAGTACGCAACACCGCCCGTTCGTCCGGGACGTCCGCCGCTGTCCGGCCACTGGTTTTTATATTGTTTTATTGCCCCCTCCCCTCCTCGCTCTCCTACTCCTTCTCCTATAGACGCCGCGCGCGATATATATAAGTGTGTGTGTGTGTGTGTGTGTGTGTGTGTGTGCGCGCGCGCGTAACGATCCCTTTGGTCCTCGCCGCTCGCGACGCGGCGTATCCCGCGTATACATGGCGGCAAAAAGAGCGTGTACGAGGGCGAGCGGCGGCGGCGGCGGCGGCAGCGGCGGCGACGACGACGACGACGACGGGAGGGAAAAAAATTATTGCGCGCCGACACAGAGTTATAGCGGGCAATTTCGGATGCGTCCGAGTTCCGGCGCGCGCGGGACGGCCTCCGTTCGGATAAGCCCCTCGTCCGTATATTATACGCGGACCTTTTTAGGCTTCGATTCGACGTTTATGTGCGCCCGCGTCGGCAGATCCGTGTACGGGCGGCGTCCGTTTCGGCCCGGGGCCCCGGACCGTTGTGCGGCGTACGTCTTGTACATTGTGGACCGTTCGCCGTGGAATCATACCGTAACGATACACGCGTACACGGCACGCCGAGGACGTACGTCCTCGGTGTGCCGGGTTGAATAACGACGCGGCGCGTGTCTGGTCGCGGACGATCCGAGCGCGATTATTGGGTTCGGGGCGGACAGACGACAGACCTATCGGGCATTGTCTGTGCGCGGTTTTTCGTCCGGCTTTTCGACCGGAATGCTTTGTATCCCGATCGTAAAACGACGCGAAACGACGTTTATTTATATTTCTATCCGTTTCTTTTGCGTTTTGAAACCGGTCGGGGCACACTAAACACGTTTTTGTTTGATTTTCCGAGGGGTTTCGCGAATTAACGGAAACTGAATCATAAAACGGCAAATGTTCCGTTCGGAATTACCGCGAGAAGAGAATTTATATTTTCATAGAGATTATTACCCGAATGAAAATTCTTAAGATTACGTTAAAACGTAAGCGATTTTGAAATGGATCGAACGAAATGCGATAGTAATATTACACACCTAATTTGTATACATTTGATGCGGTTAGTACGGTAAGTCCAAGATATTTGAGTACGTGACGTGTTGCACTTCGGTTTTGTTCACTCTCTTATTCACCAACTAGATCAGAAATGCAACGAAAAAGATACCTTGTTGCTTTTCTATTGGAGTAATATCTCTGATAGAAAACATAAATCATAAATATAAAAAATAATGAAATTGTATAACGCCGAAAATTTGTCAGTTTTTTCGAATTTTTATGAAAAATGCTCGAGAAATCAAAAAAAAAAACTTTTATTGTGAGCAACAAGATACATAATCCAACGAAAAAGGTCGGTTGGCATTTTTTGATTGAAGAAGTATTTTTGGAAGAAAACATAGTTTGCAAAAATTAAAAACAAAAATGGAATCGGTAACGTTACGGCGCGTAGTTGCGCCGTTTTTCCAATAATTTTTTTCTCCCGGTTTTTTCCAATTAATCTGAAAACCCCTTGGAAAATCAAAAAAATGATCACCCCAATTTACCAACTGAACAATTCTCTTTCAAAAAAGATGCTACACTTAAAAATCGGAGCATGATATCTGGTAGAAAAGTTATCCACAGAAACCTTTTTGATTGGTATTCAGGGTCGAGGTAGATAGATGCAGGTCCGTTGGTGTATGATTGACGACGATTGTCAATCATCTGTTTTTGTACCGATGGATATTATATATAATTTGTACAAACGCCGTTGTCTTTAATTTAGTGAAATAACTTTTTTTTTTATTAAATCTGTATTAGAGCTAGGACAGATGGAACTCAAAAAATATATTTTTACTATAACGCTCATTAAAAAGACATACTTCAAATGTTTCTGCGGCATCATTTATTTTTTTACGTCCTCTATATATTCTTATAAAATACAAATATATTGTTATGTTATAATAAAACCATTTTCATTTTATAGGCATTTTTAAAACTATATTTCATGGAATTCCGAAAATTATTATAGTAAGTGCGAAAACGTAAATAACATCACGAAAAAGTTATAAATATTAAATCATGATTAAAATATAATTTTTTATCAGTGTAGAAGCTCTGATATTAAAATTTAAAAGTATAAATTTCAGTTATTTTGTTTGTATAACTTAATAATCATTTTTTTATGTGTAACAAAGTGAAAATAATAATTTTTAGAGAAACATAAAATAATAATGCGTTCGGCTTACCTATTTTTGGAAAATATCTTTATCCTAAAAGTATGTGTGGTTTTTTTTAACGAAAACATGTTTTCTCTATTTCTATGTTTATATGTTTGAGCGTTTTAATGACATATTTATTATTAAAATGTACCGCAATAATTAGTTATTATTATAGTAATGGATGTAGATATCGTCGTTGGTCGTAAAACGTGAGTTACACAAAAATATTTATTTAATAAATTGCAACGAGTTTGCAAAATAATGTTACACCGAAGTGGCGTGCATAAACAAACGTTTTTAATAATTAGAACAATATTTAAAGAATGAAAAACAAAGTCAATACTACTCGTGGGTTTGTCATTGTTATAGGAGGTAAATCGGAACGGAGGATATATTAATTAATTTCCATATACGTAACGATAAACCATAGATAACGGAGAACGAAGAAGAGAGTACTATGAACAGAGTACTATTAGTCGTATTTTCCCTTTTGTCCAACGTAACTCAAAAAACAACGAAAATTATAGAAAAACTGTCTGTTTTTCAATTTATTGGGAAAACCACAAAGAAAATCACAAAGTGTTCACCTCAATGCACTAACAAGATTAAAAATTCTACAATAGAGTTCCCATACAGTCTTTTCTTCGAACATGATTCCTAGTAGAACATTCGTTACAACGGAGAAAAAACAAAAAAAACTTAAAAACACATTATAGTAAAACCAATGTGCATTTCTAGCTTCACCAGTAGCGGACGCGAGATATTTATTCGGGAGGGGTTTTATTTATAATTTTAATAATTTCCGAGATGGGGGACAGCACATATTACCAGTACGGCGCACAATCGCTATTTTTACGGAATAGATGATTTTCGATGAAATTACATTTTATTTTATTGTGCGGTGTAAGATAGTATGTTGTTGTAGTATGTAAAACTTGATTTGAAAAAATGCAGTAAAGAAAGAAATTTCGGGGGGGGAGGGGGGTTTGACCCCCTAATTTCCCTTCTGTGTTCGCCACTGAGCCTCTGACCCACAACTTAAAATAAATACGTAATTGTAATTGTATAATTTACAATAGAAGATAATATTATATTAACAATAACTGAGCGACCGCTCGCTCGTCTGGAAAGCTATATAATTATATTTATATTATTATTTACCCAGCGTAGTTCTAAGACGATAAAATAATATATACAATATATTATGTCTAGTTTTGTAATATTTTTCTAGGATTTAACGTATTAAAAATCCGGGATAAATTATTACGGTACCGGTCAGAATAAATAAAATACCAAATGACTTCTCTCAACGCGTTAATTCCGTTCGGGCGGTTTTAATAATACTCGAGAAGAGATTGTGTTCCGCCGTCACCAATAACACACACCTCCGTCATAATTCACGAGCACGTCCCGGTATCCTAAATAAACATATTTTATAAGGGATTAACGTATACATCGTCATAAATCTACCGACCGCGGAAAAAATATTAAAACTATCCGCTCGGCGCGGCGGTGCGATTTCCTCCCTATTTTTTTTTTCTCCTTTTTTGTGGGAATCTTTTCAGGATTTTTTGTCGCGGTGAAAATGTAATTATTATTATTTTCCGTTGACAGGCTTTAGAGCGCCGCAGAAATAACCGATAAGAGGATAAAGGTCATTTGGGCGTTGCGGCGGTGATGACGGTCATAGGAAGCAGCAGTCGAGTCGGTATATATAAAACGAACGGCGCAGTGTAGTGGAGTGACGGGATGAGGGGGGGGGGGGGGTAGGAGGAACCGACGGAGAAGTGTAAAGAAGCCATAAATAAATACGACGAGGAAAAAAGCCAAACTGGAATCAAGATGAAGGGTAGAGAGCCGGCGAAACGTGGCCCGGTCCAATATATCAGCGCCTGCAATGCGGGATTTCAAAGCCTAGTTGATTTATAACTGCAAAAGTTGAACTTTTCGAAAAGGACTTTCGATATATCTTCCCCGGGGCTTTTTTTTCTTATTTTTATTTTTTATGTTTTTCGCTCAGTTCGGTTACGATACGATGTTTATTTATATATATATATATAATATATTTATAATACATAACGGTTGTCGGGTTGTACAGCCGATAACGTTTGAGACGCCGCCGGCGCACGTACTTTATAAAACGTTCTATGCAATTGTTTTTATTTTTCCGCATCATAATTATCATTCTCGTAAAAAAAAAAAAATATTCGTATATTTATGGATACAATACTATAAAATCGAGAATTTACTTGAAATTAATATATTGCATTATAAAATATTTAATCGCTAGTTTTTGTTTATTTTTCTGATTCTAGCGCAGATGGACGCAGTTTCAGGTGACCTACCGCAGGGATCGGTCCCGTTTTCTGGAATATTGTCTACGACACGCGGACGGGAGTTCAGTTAATCGGATTCACCAATGACATGGTTCTTCTAAGAGTTGCACTCACTTCATTCGTGCTCACAGGCTTGATCAATTTCAACTCTTTCGATCATCGATGTCTGGATGAATGATCATGGTCTCCATCTGGCTCATCAAAATATCAAGACAATTATATTGACCAGGAAGTAGACCCATTGCTAACCGAGTCTCCCATTTCTATAGAAATAGAAGCTCGCGCTACCTGGGGCTATATAAACTCTCACCTCACCTTCAGGGGCCACCTTCAGACAGTCCCTAATAGAGCGTCGCAGGCTGTACCGGTCGTATGACAACTCATGTCGAACCTCGGAGGGCCCTCTTAGTCTAAGATAGTTATAGTTTTAGATTCTGTGTGTATGACAAATATAAGCTATTAATTGTACTAAGGTGTTTGTTTCCCGAAAAATATTTTCGGATACCAAAAATAATGTTCCGAATGTTTTACAACATACCTTACTTTATTTTAAATATTTATTTAGATTTCCGACGGTTTTTTTAATTTGTAAAAAAAACCGACAACAAACGACGTCATTTCGGTTCAAATTCTGGGTTACCTTGGCTACCAGGGATACCATGAATAATTCCGTCATGTCTTCGAAATCGTACTATCGCCAATAAGAGGGAGAGATGATTCCTAATCCCACTCTCCTTGTGTCTGCCACTGCGTATATGTAACTGGTTAAAACTTGCACTGTTTTTTGTGTACATATACACACGTATGAAAAAATAGATACATTTATTTATTTATTTTATGTTTATTTCAGAAGAATAATGGGCCCCACTGAGCATGCTCGTGCGGGGGCCCACGAGAACTTAGCGTTCATCTTAATTACATTTACTGTTTACAATATTACAATTACGTTAAACAAATCATAACAATTTTGTAAATTATAATGATCTATGTTTGTTCTTCTTCAATAAGACGCGAGTTATTGTCAGAACTAAACATACTTAAAACTATAAATTAAGACAATGTTTTCATTAATTTATTCACTTCTACGAAACCTGTAAAATAATCGTAACGCTATAGAGCTATATGGCCGATACGTATGCCCTCCTTACACGCAATACATCTATTCCGAATAATCTCTTTGATCGTGGTGTATAGTATTCATATTTTGTTTGCATATGAAACGGGTTTGGAATCATATCGTTCAGTTCGGAATCGGTTACCGATGGCGGCGGCGTTAAACGAAAACCCCAGTGTTCGAATACGCCTATGTTTATAATATTATTGTCTACTCGTATTAACAGTCGTTTTTCACGTTTTCTCGGTCGGAATACCGCGCGAAAGAGTTATACTCGTATTTTTATACCGCTGTACCGTGCAGTTTTCACCGACCACCGTGGTTAATCGGTTATGGATTGTTTGTAACTCATTATTCGTATATTATAATGTTGTGCGGTCTTAATTTCGGCCGGTTGCGACGATAAATCATAACGCGGCCGCGAGTAACTTGTTCGACTCCCGCGCTGGCAGCGCGTCGTCTTGCACCGCACGCGAAAAACCGTATTATACCAGCATAATAGTATAGTATATATATATGTATAATAATAATAACAATATTCACTCTAAATCATTTCGCCCGCCGCATATTAGAATATCATCGTCTAATTAGAAACTGGTTTTCATATTATTATTCGAGACCGCGATTCTGAACCCGATTATGATGTCTATATTGTACAATAATATACATAATACGATGTCTGACGGCATTTATGCGTTCGGGTTTAAATTCGGAATTAACGAGAAACACCGTTGTTGTTTTTCCGACGGTCACTCCGCGTAATAAAGAAAAATAAAAAAAAATAGCCAACGCTCACCTCCCTGATAATAACATCGACTATTATATAGACGAAATTTTCCGCCGTCCTTGGAATTGTTTGATCGGAACAATTGGTTGCCGGACGAAAAGTTAAACTCATACATTATTCCCCGTCACTCGGAATACGAAAATTTGTATAATAGTATGTTGAAAAGACGAACGTAATGTCTTCGTTTTCATATCGATTTACAGTCCACGGATTTCAGTGTCGTCCGCACAGATACGCGATCATTACCAAAAAAAAAAAAAATAATAGTAATACAATAAATTACGGATTAAGCAAATATCTATCGAGCAACAGGTTTATTCTTTTGAGTACACGACCGCTGAATTTCGGGATCGCTCTATTATACATAGTTATGCGTATCTACTACTATTTGTGTTTATGTAAACTATAATATTATAGTCGATAAATTTGTATTACGACTCTGTTATAAGGTTAACGAATAATTCTCTATTCGCGTTACACACACCAGGAAATCATCGCGAACGCTCGATGGTATATTTTGTGAAACGTATAAATCAGTATTATACGTCCGCGTACACGTCCGTATAATAATTTATTCACGTAAGAAACATTAATAGAAAACTTTATGTTTTTTTTTTTTTTTTCATTATTATAATTTTTAATGTAACCTATATTATACGTACACAATAAAGTCTAGTTTTATTGGACTGAATGTTTTCGCCCGTGCACATTAGACTGGTATTCAAAACGCATGTATAACAATATATTATAATCCGAGAATTTCATAACGAATAATATAAAACGTATTAGTTAACGATTTATAGATTTTTGTTCTCTGTGATTTTTTTTTTTTTTTTTTTTTTTTTTTTGTTATTATGCATAGTGCATATATTAAAATTTGAAAGTCATCTACAATTGCTTTTAAATTTAATGACGCGAACACTTTAAGCGTAATATACTAACTGAGATTTATTCATTTTTAAGCCACTCATTATTCATTATATGCGCAATGGTGAATATATAGAATAGAATAACATTTTTCTTCGTGTATTATTATTATTATTTTATTTTTTCTATAGAAAATTGCTTTTATAATGCTCATGTTCTATACGCGAAGAACATGTTTAAAACATACACACACAGACCATACATATATATATATATATATGTATTATATTATGCGCGACTATAAAATGAGAGAATATAAAACTGGAATAATAAAATATTATAAAAACAAAATCGTGTTCTTTGTAAATATTCGATCCATTAAACGGGTTTTAATTTAAAAATTAATAAATCATTTAAAAAAAAAAAAAAAAAAAAAAAAAAAAACTGCATCTCGGTTTTTTTTCTCTCGGTATTTTTAGAATACTATTGTATCGAAAATTAAACGTATGTTTAGATATAGATTTTTCGTTATAAATAAATATGTATACGATATTATTCAACTATATTATATCGATGGTGTTTTGTTAAAAGGGCGTTTACCACTAAAAATCGAAAAATACATTTCCGGTATATCGAAAAAAAAAAAAAAAAAATTAAGAGCATAAACTGGTAAAAAGGCGTGTATTTAAATACAGTCGGTAACGTAAACTAAAAGATATCAAGGCGTCATTTTAAAATATAACTAAATCAATTGCACTGATTTGTTAAAAGGGCGTGTATACCGCATTCAATGTATTATTTGTGTAGAAGGTGTTATGTTCACGTGTAATTTTATTGTTTTCCACGATAAACATCATTAAAAACAGTTTTTTCGCTTACTGAAAAAAAAGTGTTTTAGTGGTATACGTACTTTTAACAGAACACCGTCGATATTATGTATAGCTGTACAACATATCAAATATCTTTAGTAGTAATCTTATGATGCGTTTTAATTTCTCGTAAAACTGTTGATTTTCTGTTCACACACGCACGTATCAGTAGACCACGTCCTCGCCCGAGGTTTTTTGGGTGTTTTCACGGCCCATTCTATAATGATATACCGGTGGGGGGGGGGGTACGGATTGTTGTTGTGAACAAAATTAACCGAAAAACACGGACAAGGGATTATACGTATTGCGCTCGCGAACTTTGGTTTCCGCAACAATTTCATACTTTCTAGGACACGCGAAGTGGAAAAAAAAATAACACGGCGTAGAAAAAAAAAAAAAGAATAAAAGGTTTACGATTATAAAATATAGCGGTACGGCTGGCGGTAGGGGACGAAGGACAGATGATTGGGGGCAGGCGTGAGGAATAACGCTCAAACGTTTTGTTGATAAACTTATAAGTAAACTAACTTTGCATTGTTGTACGCCGTGTTATTATATATATACGTATATTTATACTATACGTGTATGTATATATATATATATGTATTATAATGTAAAGTTTCTATAGGAAAAAAAAAAGAAAAAAGAAGAAAAAAAAAATACATGTAAAGCAGGCACCAAACTTTTTAATATCTAAAAGCGTGTATATGTATGCGCAAAGTCTGGTGCCGCCGCTGCTACCGCGGGATCCCTCAAGGCTCTCGAAAACTCCGATCGTAAATAATCCCTTCAAAGTTGCGCCCCCGTTCGCCGTCGGGTCCCAGCGTAACGATAACTCATTGTTATCTCTTGACCCGGGCCCGTCCGCCGTAATATTATCATTCCTCTTTTCGGTCAGCCTCTACGATATAATTATTATTATTACATAATATACCGCCAACTTTGGTGGCGCGCGCGCCCGCGAGAACTCGAGAAGTCTTATTATATTCGCGTTAACGTTGCTATTATTATTATTATTATTATTATTATTATCGTCATCTCGGGGGGGGGGTGGTGGGGGCTTCGGTGGCCTGCGGAGGTCGCGACGATATTAGTCCTTCTATAATACAAATCACTCCGACCCCGCCCCTAGAGACGGCAGACGCATTCATAATGCACGTGTATCGTCGTCCGTGCGCATACGCGAGCATATTTTCTACGCCGGCACGGTACACGCGGGTACACGCGGCCAGTGATACCGAACACCACCGCGAGCGTTTGCGTGTACCTACCCGGCGTATCTGCACGGTTGAAGATGCGCTGCCACACGAGGTTGCCGGTCGACCCAAACGATAACAAGATCGTCGTAAAACAATGGCAATCGAACGCAATCCCCCGGATCGGTCGGTTTTTCGATTGTACCGGCGCCGGTGTGACGGCGTGAGAGAATGCCGAGTGGAGACGCGAAAGACAACACAGCGGTTTATGGTGCGCGTTCGATGTCACACTAGACGGCGGCCTACCATAGTGTTGTAAACGCGAACGTTTCCGGATGTGTGCGTTCGTGTTTATTACGTTTATCTCCGTCACGGCTGAACGGAGTTAATTGACGCGTAGCTATTTTAGGTCTTGGAATACGACACGGGGTATTTTTCACCACGGGAACACGTAAAGTTCCTGTGGGACAGTAACAAAATGTAACAACACAACTGTATTACCGGATGGATTTTTCGGATATGTCCGCTATAACGCATATCTACAGTTTCGAACGCTGTTTTTGCTTTTTGTCTAGAAATTCAACACCCGATGGGCGGCATTAGTTTTTAATATTTTATTTTATTTTAATTTTTTAATCGATTCTGGGTGTTACTTTGGTAATAAGGACGATAAGAAAAATAACTGTTATTACCTAATTCGGTTGTCACAGATAAGAAAGTATTTTTAAAAGATAAATTTCTGAAGAACAACGATTGATTGTAATAGGGATAAGGATCGGAAATAAGGGGGAACAGGTTAAATTTAATTTCTTTTATTGATTTCTATTTTTAAAAGAATCGAGCCAGAGAAATACCGAGCAATACAGCTATTATAGAATACAAAATCCACGCGGAGCGCGACGTGTTTATAGTTTCTCGCGCACTGGTGGATTCAATTCGGTAGATAATTTAGCATTTTTTTTTTTCTCGTCTATTTTTTGGCTCGACTAATAATTGTCATATTCTCGTTATGTATCGTTAATTTGATGACAGTTATCACACTGATCACAGAATACAATGTACTTATCAAATGCAATAAACGTTGTCAAAATTTTTTTTTTGCTCTCGTGTAGATAAGATTGCACTATTATTTGACCGTAGTCGAATGGAATTTGAGCTACCTATGGCATTGATGACGGCAGGTGATAGTGGCCAAAATGTGTGTGTACATGAGCGCAGTCGAATGATGGAAAACGTTCTTAAAACCACGAAATCGTATGATAATAATTTATGTTTTCAGTCAAAATCCTGGCTTCGTCTGATCGATCTTATCACTAAGTGTATATATTGTTTACACCTGTTCCGTGAATTTTTAGGAGAATAAATTATTACATTGTTTAAAATAATACAGACGATGTGTCTTTTTATACAAAACAATAAATCACTGCAAGTTTAGATTGAATATAATATGAAATTAATGTATATTATATAATACAATTTCCGGTTTCCAATTACAATATTATCATATAAATGAAATTTTGAATTGTTTGGAAAAAAAAAAGAAGAAAATAGTGATGAGATACTGAGACTGATTGTAGAGTATTATAAAATGTATAGGTAGGTGGTAGTTCTGGTATTTGAATTTGAGGAGGACTCGGGGAAGGGGTATACCTTATTAAAAACAGAACAAAAAAAGAAAAACAAATATGTATGTATATTTTTCAAAAAAAACATATATTAGCTTACTTTTTCTAATTTTTCACAAAAATCTTCAACGCACATTTTATTTTTTAATTATACTTTGCATCCACCGTTTAATTTGTTTCCAACCAAACACTATTCGTCTCGTTTTTAATAATATTCATCTCGATGTAACTATCCAAATTTTAATAACTGTTTGTCATTGTCTACTTTTTCTCGGTTTACAAACGGACGGACCGGGTGATTATAAAAATAAATACACCACTGTCGACCGGTTCACTGCATTTCCACGGAGAATACGCGCAATTTGCCCCTCGGTGACGTTGCAGGCGTTTTGTTTCCGTGCGTCATTCGGTAATGGTCGTGTTTACCGCCGTCGCCGTACTCATCGCAATGTTTTATACGTTGAAATATTAAGATAATTTTTGTAATTAACAATTATCGTCACATTATCATAATTATCGATTACGCGACAGGTAATGATTTATAGGAAAAGAATGGAGTAAATTTATATACATACCATTTATAATAATTATTGATAATCGAGACATTTATTCTATGCAAACCAAAAAAAAAAAAAAAAAAAA